TTTTTAAGTGTACATATAGACCCCGCTAGTCACATGTATAAAATAACCTCCGAATATGAACTATAAAAAGCAGGAAAGGCCCAGTTCCTCATTAAGGCCATTTGGTTCTACTGTGTTCAGAGTGAAAATCCAGAAAGCCTCTCATTGTAGTAGGGACTTCACTAAATCCCCTCCTCGTTGGGAGGGTAGAATTTTTTCAATACCCCAAAATTTTAGGGATGCATTGGAACCATGATTAGCTTGTACATAATGCCTCGCAATTACATAGTCCATATTACGGTTCCGAATTGCTGCTTTGTGTTCTGCACTGCGTAGTTTGAGGGGGCGTTTAGTCTGACCTACAAATACCAATCCACATGGACATTTCAACATGTAAATCACGTGGGTGGTATTACAATTAATAAATTAATTGATCTTGTATTTTTTACCTGATTGGGGATGGAAAAATTGCTTTGTGTCATTTGAGTTAGAGCAATGGGTACAGTGCCCACATCTGTAAAAACCCAAGGGAGGAGCCGGTAACCACGTAGGTTTTGGTGGAGGGCTCATGGTGGTGTGAACCAGCCTATCTCTAAGTGAGCGAGGACGCTTAAAAGTAATACGTGGCGATTCTGCGCATATATCTTTAAGAGCTGGGTCACTCACTCAAGATGTGCCAGTGTTTCTTAATGGCATGTTTTATTTCTCCGCCAATATGAGAGAAATCTGTGGAGAAGCAGAGTCTCTGCACTGAGTCGCGTTTAGTTTTAACTAGAAGATGTGCTCGTTGCGTCGATCTGGCTCGTTCATAGGCTGCAGAGATATCACTTAAAGCATAGCCCCTGTTACGAAAGCGCTCTGTCATTTCTATTGCCCCGCGCTCAAACTCGGCATCACTACTACAGTTTCTTCTAAGCCGTAAAAATTGACCAATGGGAATATTTTTAATAAGTTGTTTGGGGTGATGGCTATCAGCTCTGAGGAGGTATTTCTACTGAGAGGTTTACGATAGATCGATGTCTCTAAACCTTCTTGGGAATTTTTATAAATAGTCAGATCCAAGAAGTTAATGTTGTCTATGGAATGGTCTACTCTAAATCTTAAAAAAGATGTGGTAGAGTTAAAAAAGGACATGAATTTATCTAGTTCAACCGAAGTCCCCCCTCCAAATAAAGAAAACATCATCAATATATCACTTCCAAAGCGGGATTTTAGGGAGAAAAAGGTTGTTCACAGGGTTATCTATAAATGTAGCTTCCCATAGACCCATTACTAAGCATGCGTAGACGGTGCAAAGCAACTACCCATACTGACCCCACGCTTCTGTAGGTAATAATCGCCCGCATATTGGAAATAGTTCATTGTTAAAATAACTTCCGACAGTGTCAGTAAAAATTCGTTGGGGGGAGCTATATCAGTGGCCCGTCTTACAAAGAAATGTAGTAACGCCTCAGTCCCTGCTTCGTGAGGAATGCATGTATATAAACTTTGCACGTCACAAGTTACCAACATGAAATCATAGTCACATTCAAACGAATCTAAGAGTCTCAATATGTCGGATGTGTCACCTAGATAAGATGGTAACTCACAAACATTTTTTTTCAAGAAGTCGTTGAGATATTGTGACAAAGGTTCAGTTAGGCAACCAATACTAGACACAATGGGCCTGAGTGGTGGATCAATCCGGGATTTATGTATTTTAGGAAGTCCATAAAATACGGGACATACAGGGTGTTTTACAGTCAGAAAGTCTTTTTTCAGTAATCCAGTCCATTTGTAGTGCCTTCACTAATAACGGATCAATCTTCGATTAATGTAATTGTGTCAATGAGCACATTTGCAGCCCAAATCATAGCATATTAATATCTGTCAAAATACTAGATCCTCATCTCAAGAAATTGACTCAATTCTTATTTGTTACCAATGACTCCTTTCACAAATCTACCACTCAAAAGTATGTGGTCTATAGGATTTTTTTTAAAAGAGAGTTCTTATTGTATGTTCACCAAGTTTGTATTTGTTTGATCAAAACAGTAAAAATAGTAATAATCTGAAATATTACAATTACAAAACTGTTTTCTATTTTCATATATTATAAAATGTAATTTATTCCTATAATGGCAAAGCTGAATTTTCAGCAGCCAGTACTCCAGTCTTCAGTGTGTCACATGATCCTTCAGAAATCAATATGCTGATTTGGTGCTCAAGAAACATTTTATTTTTTATCAGTGTTGAAAACAGTTGTGCTCCTTTCACTTCTTTCACACACACAGAAACTCACACTGTCAGTTCTGATTGCAATTCTACCATGTGGACAACCATTAAGTGACTGAAAAAAAAGGCACAGTCAACGGGCCCTGTGGTCTTCTCTGTCATATTTAATTGAGAGCTCTACTAATTGAGTCTTTTCGTCATTCAGTCTGATGGCACTCCATTCTCTTCAAAGGCAATGGGCTGCTTGGCATTGCCAAGATCTCCAGTCAAAGAAAAGTTTCCCATCAACCCATTATAACAAGATAAACGCAGAGCTGTCTGCATGACTCGTTCTGACTTTTCCTTTGAAGGCGGCATGGGTAAAAAAAACACAGCAATTCATGAGAGAGAGTGTGTGACAGTCTATTCAGTAGTCTGTAGTTTCTGTATGTTTCGCTAGTCTTTCTAACCTTCTCAATTAGAGAAAATACTAGAGTCTAGACCATAGGAAAGACATTTTTCAAATCTCAACAGTTTAGAGAAAATGTCTTTTTTTGACAGTTAAATGCTTTGTAATTAAAACGACGTTTTGGCTGAAATTTGTGAAGCAGACTGTGTTACTACAATGCAAATTTAGAAGGTGTGAAATTGGTTGTGTAATGTCAGACCACTTCTGTGCGAATGAGAAGTGAAGTTTTCCACTCAGTCATGTAAGAGGCAGGGTGGAGGTGGAATTAACAAGCCACCTGCTCCAGGGTGCAGTGCCACAAATAAAATGAGAGCAACCCGCTTTAACACACCCCCACACTCTGACGGATAGAAATCTGACAGGAATATAGTGCGACCCTACAGGAACGTATTCATTCTTTTGTGACAAATTTTTAATTAATATGAAAATAAATTTGGATTGTTAGCTTAAAGAGGCCATATTATGCCCTTTTTTGTTTTTGGAGTCTACTAGAATAGATTTTCATACTTGAATGTTCAAAAACATTTTTCACATATTTTTCATTGTTGCAGCACCTCCCTTCCCAGTCTGTCAGTAACGCTCTGTTTAGTTCCTGTCTCTATAAGGCCCCTCCGTTCAAAAAGCGTAATGTGCTCTGATTGATCCAGTGTGTTGATTGGTCAACCGCTTCCAGTGTGTTTCAGAAAAGTCACACCACCGCGTTAGGTCCGGGGTGGAAACATGAAGAACAAACATGGAGACAACACACTATTAAAACAACTCAACCAGGCCCCGCCCCCTTTTTTGTGTATGCCTTGGACATGAATTAATTAAATTAGGAATATTTGGATGTGTACATACCCAGAAGAAAACTCAAGACTATAATTGAGACGTTTCAGGCAGTTCAGAAACAGTGTTCACTGATATAGAGACTAACTCCCTTTGGAGTGGACTTACTGTATGCTTTATAATTTTGCAGGCCTTTTTCATGTTCAAAAAGCAACATTACACACTAAAGAAAGTTTAAAATATACAAAACCATAATAGGTCCTCTTTAAAGTCTCTACAAATGAATGCTTCCATAAGAAATGATGTAGCACTGGATAAATGTCTCCTACTTTTATCCAAGTGATTGGGCAGTGATAAAAAGAGTTTCTTTGGTAGAGAAGAGGATGTCTGCCAGTGCATGAAAAATAGAAAATGTCAGAGAAGATTATCAGTCTGACCATAGCCCCAAAGACCAGGTGTCAGTCTGACTCTGTGATTTATTTTACAGTTTACTCTTGTCCTGAGTTCTGTTGCTGATAAGGGATTAAGGAAGATTTAAAGAAAATTGCACACTGAATCAATGAACTCAACAAAATTCTCAGTCGTATTACTCCAATATGTTCTCGTTCTGTAGGGAAAGCTTCTGGGTTAAATCTCCACAATTTTAGAAAAAAAATACCAAATTAATATAAATTCTGCTTACCAGGTGTGTCTTTGTGTTGACTATATTTCAGGGCTCAACAGTAAAAAGCTCCTGATGGAACGGGGCCAGTGTGAGAGGGTTTGGATGAGCTGACAAGAGCTGTCACTTCCCATAAACATTTGGATTTCTCAACATCGTTCTTCCAAATTATGCTGATTTATATGTCACCAAACTGACATTGTCTACATTTGTTAAAATCACAAGAATGACTTGTTATAGTCCTGGAAGCATAAGTTAGAATGGGCTGAACATTATAAACAAATCATAATATTTTGTCGCAGGGGTGTTTTCTCTGAGGAGCAAAGGAGACTGTTCCTTCTATAAAAAAATGGACAGTACAAAAAATATTCTAAAATAGTGTGTACCAGTGTTATTTTAGTATTATTATAAACTATTATATTATTTATTCATATTTTGAATTAGTTTTTATATTTCCATTTTTCATTTTAGTTTAAGTTTGAATAGTTTTACGTTTAGTTAACAATAACAACACTGTTGTGTAAAACACTCATTTTGTCATTGTTCTACAATAACACCAGTGGTTTAATAAGGACACAGCACCTCTTTAGCTTTCCTTTACTGCAGGATGGCCAGATAGTAAGGAATGCCTTCATCGCACCATAATTGGCTCAATGAACTGTCAATCAGATAATGCCCTATAATTATCAGTTATATTGAAAATGACATCAGACCATGACTATAACCACCATAGGCTATAAATACCATTGACATTGAGAAGTCCAACCCAGTGATTACAATATTTTTGTGCTAAATTTAACAAATACAAAATGTATCATATTTGTGTTGAGGCCAGTGAAAATATTAGGAGGGCAAATGAAAATATTGTTGAGCCCTGTTATTGTCTTACTTTTTCTCCAGAGCTAAAAAATAGTCTCTTTTTGTCCACAGTGCCAATCAGAGGTCTATTTGTGGAGTTGATGATCTCGCCCTTGTGCCTGAGTTGAGATGTGGGGGTGCACCATGGCAATACAAGGTTCAATAGTGAGCCTGGCTCTACTGTTCTTCGGGATTCAAGCTGTTCCTAACCCCACCAGCAAACTAGTGCGGACCACAAGGGTGAGGCGGCAGGTTCCAGAAGGTGAGGGTCCCCCTGGCAACCAGACCCAGCCCATGATCTTCAATCATGTATACAACATCAATGTACCTCTAGAGTCACTCTGTTCAGTGGACCTAGACACTGTACCAGGCCCAGAGATAAACAAAGGTACAACTGGGAGTGACAAGATGCCGACAGAGTACACAGAAGAGACAGTGGACTCGGACAGCCAGGTGACCTTCACCCATCGCATCAATATCCCAAAGCAGGCCTGTGCTTGTCCTGCGGCTGCCACCATGGAACAGCTGGCTAACCGCATAGAGATGCTGGAGAGGGAGGTGTCCCTGCTTCGAGCACAGTGTAGCTCCAGCTGCTGCGGAGAAAGCTCTGTTATGGGTAAGTTTAAGATTCTGAGGTGCACATCCTGCAGTATTACAAAAAAAAATTCTGTGATCTGACTGGATTTGCTCATTCAAGCATGCTTTCTGTTATGGTATTTTCTAACAGATATAATTTTGTTTATGATTGAACTAAGTAAAGATTACTTCAAAATGTTTAAGCTTAAATGTTTAAATCAGGGATTTCATCAGATAAAATTGGGGTTTATGCCATTTATTGTATTCATATAGATTGTATCCACAATACATGCTTTTCTAAAGCTAATACAGTTCATACTCGTATTTTTGCTCCCTTAATAAAACATTTCTAGGTAAAGTTAAATATATACTACCATTAAAGTTTGGGGACAGTTTTATTTTTATAAATAATTCTTTTATTCAGCAAGGGCGTTATTTTTAACTATTCATAACAGAATCCTTCTTGACCACCACATTTCTAAAGGTTCATGTGACACTGAAGACTGGAGTAATGGCTGCTGAAAATTCTGTCTTCTATTTTATATATATTTTAAATGGTAATAATATTTCACAATATTACTGTTTTTACGGTACTTTTATCAAATAAATGCAACCTGTGTAAGCATAAGAAGAGACTTTATTCAAAAACATTAAAAACTAATCAACCCCCAATTTTTGAATGGTAGTGTATTAATTTAATTTATCAGAGTATTGGGTTACATATACATACAAAATTGGTATATAAAGAATTTGACAAGTATTGACAAATTGAATATTGACATATTCAGTATTGACAAGAAAAAGAGAAAATCACAGATCCAAGTTATAACATGCAAATCAACAAATCTAAAAGTTAATGTCCTGCTGTGGCTAAATACACTTATTATGTAAGTATCATGGATATATTGTAAACACAGTGATAAATATACTTAATCTAAGCTAAATATACGTAATCAAAAATCATGGATATATTATTAACAGACAGTGTCTTTAACAACCCTGGTTGTTTTATAATGGATTATTGAAACTTCTTGAATCTTGAATCAGTTGCAATGGCTTTGACTCATTGGTGGACGAAAACAAAAGCTCATCCTGGTCTTTCTGTCGGTTATAATGTGACTGCAGTGCTAAGGGAAGTAGAGGCTGTATTGTGCATTGACCCATAGGGACAATAGAACTGTGGACGATGGTAGTGTTGTGCTTGTTTAATGTCTCAAAGGGGCACTCGAGTGGATTCACACCTGCAAACCTTGGCTTTGGAGCCCCTTCAGGGCAGCTAAAAACAGCTGAAACACTGCAGTAGTAAAGGGAACGTCATATTAAGCTATACAAATGAGGTTAGATTGGGAACTAGATTAATTACAGCACTGCTGCTGGATAGGTCTTCCCCTCAAGCCTTTGATAAGTCCTCTGCTTGCTGAATCAAACCAGGCTACATGTGCTGAAACAAATACGATTGCAAGATATTGCCTCAGAATTATTTATTTTTTTTCTGCTTCAGTTTAATTTTACTCCAACCTGATGAAAATAAAAGGAATAGCTTTCCCAGTGTGCATTCTTGAATTCTTCTGAATTATTTACCCAAGCTCATGTTGTTCCAAACATTATTAATTTGGTTTCTTTTGAGGAAAATGCATTCATTTTTGAAGGACATGTTTAAAAGTGTTCAGGATAATAAAAAGTGAGATGAATGTGGACCAAAAGACCAAAAAAGCACAACAAAATTATTATAAAATGGTTATAAACTTGTTTTGGCACCCATAATGATAGATAAACAGGTTGTAATTTGAGTCGTTATACACTTAAAATCATAGAGTTTTATGAATCAGTTGACCCAGGTCACAAAACCCGTCTGAATGATTAATTCATGAACCCAGGTCCAGTTCTTTAAACAAAGTCCAATAGAAGAGAGCGCATCTTAAGGAGAAGTATCTAGTCAGGGTTCTCTATGGTCTAGGGCAGGGGCGTTGCTAGACCCATTTTACTGGGGCACGTGCCCCAGTATAAATCTGCTGTGCCCCAGTAAATCTGAAGTTTGAGTTTAACAATTTATTTTATTTGTCAGTGTATTTAATATAAATTATGTTATAGGCTTGTAAAAGCAACGCAGTTTAACCGAAACAGAAGCTGACCCACGCGACAGAAATCTGCGCGCGTCTGTGTTTCCTAGCAACAGCAGCGCGCACACATCGGAGCACACCGAAGTCCGGTGTTGGCACGCGAGGTAGGCTATGAAAACATGACGAAACAAAAGTTTCTAAATAATACCAATAATCTTAAAAGTAAAATTGAGTCAGAGTCAAGTGATTGACCGTTTTGCCAAAATGAAGCATAGGCGGTAGCCTACAGTTTAATGCTCAACAAATAAATCAACTTAGTTTGGACTTGGCTGGGGAACTTTGTTTTCTTTTAGAATATACATGCTCTTTATTTTATATAGTATATATTAACTCTTTATTGATTTATTGAAATGATGTAATTGTAAATTCTTGAAAAATATAAAGGCAAATTATTCATTATTATGTAATGTAGAAGAATGCAAAAGTGCAAGAAAGTTTTCTCTCCGTTTTTCTATTCATGCCTTTTATGGCACAAAAAAAAAGAAATTCGTGTAACATGATTTTAAAGCTATTGTTATCCAATTTGTTGGCATTCAAACACCTTAAAATGCACATATGTAGGTCCGAGAAATCCAAATTTTCTCGGGGGAGCATGCCCCCGAACCCCCCTAAGTTACTCTACCCAGCATGGTGTTTTTGAAACAAACACATTTAATTTATCTATCGGTAAGCCCCGCCCTCCTTAGTTACGCTTGCTAAGAACGACAAACAATGGGGGGCCTGTGCCCCAGTAGAGCTTAATGTCTAGCAACGCCCCTGGTCTAGGGTTATTAATAGGCACAGTTCTTTATTTAAAGGGGACCTATTATGTAAAATTCACTTTTGCATGGTGTTTGGACATAAATGTGTGTTGGCAGTGTGTGTACACAACCACCCTACAGTGATAAAAATCCACTCACTCCTTTTTTTTAAATCCCCATAAATCATAAGCAGTGTCTCCCAACGACCTGTTTTCAGAATGCGGCTTTAGTGACGTCACTAAAGCCACAGGCCCCCAGTGTTGCCAACTTAGCGCCTTTGTCGCTATTTTTAGCGACTTTTCAGACCCCCTTAGCGACATTTTTTCAAAAAAGCGACTAGCGACAATTTTAGCGACTTTTTGGATAAACCCCAGTAACCTCCAAATGTTGCCAGTACTGTCCTGCGAGCGCGAGGTCTTGCTTTCTCCCTGTCGTCACTCTCTCTAGCTGCGTCTCCCCTGTTCAGTGAATGGCTGAGAGGAGCGCACGGCCGCTGACAGACGCGAATGAGCAGTGTGTTTTTCCATGGACTTATCACTTATCTGCTTTTCTTTTGTTTTATATTTAAAGAATTTAGTTTGACCATTTTAATTTTATTTCTTTTCTTGTGCTTATTACTTGTAAACACTATCACAGTTCATCCGGTTCCCATTCAGATAATGTTCCACATAGGCCAATAAAAAATGTAATCATTCACTATATTATAGCTACTCGTTCAATTGTCTGACAACAAAAAAATAGGAAACGAGAACAGCTTTATTTGACATTCGGCTATATTATATTGAATAGAACATTAATTTAGAGAGAAAACGCACTAGGCTGACAGAACGCAAGTACGACGCGATGACGTCATTAATATGCTAATTGACGTATGACGTCATCTAGCGACTTTTAGGGAAGGCCTTAGCTACTTTCCTTTGAAAATAGTTGGCAACACTACAGGCCCCGCCCACGAGTGTTGACAGACATTGCCGTTTTAACTTAGACCCGCCCTGATCTAGTTCACAGCAAGTTGTACACATCTGCCATTGCTGCACTAATGAGAATGTCTCCCAAGCGTTGAAGGTGTTGTGGCTGGATGTATTCATTCACATAGCTCAATTTACTCCTGAAATCTGAGCCACCCGCTGAAGACGAGGTGGGTTCATTTTGTCTGAAAAATGCTCCCTCAACTCTACCGAAATTTGTTTATGTAACGTTACCTACGCACTTCTTATACTGTTTACTCAGCTCTTACAGTGATTTTCTGGAGTAAAACTGACGCTTATTCTTTACAATAAACTTTATTAAACTCATCAGTATATTTTGTGTCATCATTCAGACATGGTCCTACAGCAGGCTTGTATTAATAGTGGCTACAATCAATTACACATAGGTTATAACCGTAATTAAACTAAACTATACCTGTTCCAACTCCATACAGCATATATTCTCTGACTATGTAGGCATTATTGTCTATTGAGTCGAAATGAACACCGTTACTGTGAGTTTCTGTTTTGATATTATCATCTTTCCGTGAGTTGAGATTGTTCACTGAGCGCGAGCTGGTTAGGCTCCGCCCCCTGTGCCGTGAACCAGCAGCTCATTAGCATTTAAAGGAGACACACTAAAACGGTGTTTTTCTCAGCCCCAAAAAGTGACGATTTAAACATGCTGTAAAAAATTATCTTTGGGGTATTTTGAGCTAAAACTTCACATACACACTCTGGGGCGATCAGAGACTTATTTTACATCTTGTGAAAAGGGGCATAATAGGTCCCCTTTAAATCACAAATTTACTTATTCAGTCACAGTGTTAAAGTGCCCCTATTATGCTTTTTGAATATTACCTTTCATGCAGTGTATAATTTGTGAGTGTAAAAGGTCTGCAAAGATCATTTTAAAGATCAAAATGCACAACAAATAAAGTTATCATCTCCTAACAGAAAGAATCGATTCTGAACTGCTGAAACAAGTCGTCAGCAATTCCAGTCTCACTTCCTGTTACATACCTATGAAACGAATTAGCATAATGCCAGCCTATGGAATTGATACTGTAAAATCAACGCCATGGTCACTGTTCGTATTACTGTGTATTGAGCGCTGAGGAAGCCTCTGCGCTCAAGCGGTAGACCGATCAAAACAGACTGGGCCATCTGATCAATCAGAGCAGAGTAGGCTTGCGGAAAGGAGGGGTTTAGAGAGACTGAATATTCGATCGAACCATTTTCAGACTCTGAGAGTCTGTCTCCTGCCCGGGGACTGCAGATGAAAATTAGCTTCGGCTAACTCTGGTACAAAACATCTTTTCGTAAGATCAATGTATGTTGTACGTTGTCCCTGATAAATAAATAAAGTAAAAAATATATATATATTATGAGAAAATTAAGGTGTTTATTGACCTTGAATGCATGTAAACCTATTGTAGGTGACCTCCAAAACAAAATTAGGAACATTTAAAATAGCATAATAGGGGGACTTTAACAGTCGCCATTAATCAAATTTCTCAATGATGTTAGCGTGAGTAAAATGATGGCTTTCACTTTTGGGTGAACTGTTTCTTTAACTTCAACATATTTGTTCACTCTTAGGTCGCTTGGACTTCGTCCCTCAGTGTGGCCATGGCACCTTCAGCATGGAGATTTGTGGGTGTGTTTGTGAAGAAGGGTGGATTGGCAAGAACTGCACTGAACCGCGCTGCCCAGATGACTGTTCTGGCCAGGGCATTTGCATCGAAGGCGAGTGTGCATGTGACCGTAACTTTGGTGGTGAGAACTGCTCAGAGCCACGATGCCCAGGTGATTGCTCTGACAGGGGGCTGTGCATTGATGGTGAGTGTGTTTGCGAGGAAGCCTATGCTGGCGAGGACTGCTCGCAGGGCAGATGTCTGAACGACTGCTCAGATCAAGGAACATGTGTGAACGGAACCTGTCAGTGCCGACCCGGCTTCCTGGGGGAAGACTGCTCTCTCATCTTCTGTGCTAATAACTGCAGCCAGAAAGGGGTGTGTAAGGATGGTTTCTGTGCCTGTCAAGAGGGATATACAGGGGATGACTGCGCTTCAGGTCAGTATTCAATGTGTATGGTTGAGTACAGTAAAATATATTGTTATATAATGATTTATATATATTTCATTACTTGACATGTCTGTATACTCAGCCTGCCTTAAAGGGACATTGTGTAGGAATTTCTCCCATCCAGCGGTGAAATAGTTTTTGCATTCAAACGAATTGTGCTCTCCAGCGCCTCGCTTTTTCAAATGCGTGTTGCATCTACGGTAGCCATTATGTACCAAAGAGCTATGACAGGATGTCTTCTAATAGCACTTCGTCGAGTTTTCCTTCGGGTGAACAGGTTGCAAGAACAATCATATGCTCTATTAAAATATATTCTTATCGAATTTCTAGGTTACAAAAATTAAACTTACAAACCTTGTTTTTAGCGCCTTCTCTACATAGCTGCTATTCATCAAAGAGCCTGTTTAACTTTTAACTATAAATGTTCTACTGTCTATATAATAAAGTACACAACCAAGGAATGAAAAAAGCTTGTAATTAAGACTGTAACATTGACTTACCTGTCGAGAAGAAAGCAGGGCTTCAGCGTTTTGAAATCTTTCTCCTGCATTAACGTTAGCTCTTTCCACCTGGAAAAAGCTATCCCGACGTTGTTTTTTGTAATCTCCGGTCATGTTTCCTTTTACGTTCTATTTTGGACTTTATGTATGGTTCGCCATTAAAAATAACAGTGCAATGCAGCCTTTTAAACTTGCCGGGGCAGTGACAAGCGCCTCTCACTGCTGCTCCTCCGTTTCTGCTGCTTTCAGTTACGTGACGCTGGCTCTGAAAAAAAAACGCGTTGTGGAAACGCGTTGGCCTAGTACTTTTTGTCCCTCTCTTGCTATTATAGTTTTTCAAGATGGCGGAACTACATGGAAGCCTCCGTAGACCTACCCGTCCCATGTATATAAAGATAATAAATTCTTCGTTTACAAGGATAAGTCCGATAATTGGCAGAGGTATTTGTACACCATTGAGGACATATTTATGAATAAAAATATTGATTTTAGATAATAAAATACCTAAAAAAGTACACATTGTCCCTTTAAAGAGTTAGTTCACCCAAAAATTAAAATCATCCCATAATTTACTCACCCTCAAGCAATCCTAGGTGTATATGACTTTCTTCTTCCAGCCGAACACATTTTCGGAGTTATATTAAGAAATATCCTGGCTCTTCCACGCTTTATAATAGGAGTGAATGGTACCTTAGATTTTGAAGCCCAAAAAAGTGCATCCATCCATCATAAAAGTAATCCATACGGCACCAGGGGGTTAATAAAGGCCTTCTAAAGCAAAGTGATGCATTTCTTTTTGAGAAAAATATACACATTATAAACTTTATAAACATAACTTTATAAACTATAATCATAGGCTTCCAGTAACGTATGCAAGTCGAGTTCCGGTGGAAGAGTGACCTCTGAACTGATGTATAAAGGGTTAAAGGGGTCATATAATGCCATTTTTGTACAAGCTAATATGATTCTTTAGGGTCTAAATTAAAAGTTTGTAATATACTTTAATTAAAAATTCTCATTAGTATTGTAAGAAAACACTTATTTTACCTGGTCAAAAACAGCTGTTTTCAGCAAGCCGTTTCAGTGCATATGCCTTTAAAGGGGTCATATAATGGTACATGCACTTTTACAAGTTGATTGTACTGAAATGTGTGTTGGCAGTGCCTGTACACAAACATTATATAATGCTAAAAATCCATCCAGTGGTTTTGTTTTAATCTCCTTATATGTTTTCCCCTGCCTCAAATCAAGCCGTTCGTTTTTGTGACGTCAATAAAACGGACGCCCCTCCCACGACTGTTGATTGACGGGAGCGTTTCAACACAGACCCGCCCTCGCACATGAGGTAGCTGTCAATCATAGTCTGCGCGGCGCGGCGCGGACCGGCGCGGTCATTGTTGATATGCTGGAGCACTGTCTATGAGCAGAATGGCGTCTAAGCGATTGTGGTGTTCTGTTCTTGGGTGTAATAACGAACACAGCAGTCATTTTAATGTTCCTGAATCCGAACCGCTGAAGACGCAGTGGCTGAGTTTGTTTTCGAAGGGAATATTCCCCACGAGCAACGTCAATGCTTTCATGTTTGCGCGAATCATTTCACACACCAGACTGCTTTATAAACGAGGATCAGTATAAAGCTGGATTTGCTAAGAAGCTTTGCTAAAAAGGATCGGTACCAGATATTCGTGTTCCTGCTGAACCTCCAGAAGAATGGAAGTGAGTGAAACGTTTTATTAAACTTTATATTAATATATTAATCTTTGCAAATCGCTAGCTGCACGCTTCACAATTAATGCGTCTAAGGTTTACACTCAGTCAGGGTACATTACGGCATGTTTTCTATGTATGACGTTCTCAATATTATTCATAATTCCACGTTAATACTGAACAACGCGTTATGGTTATTTTGTTATTGTGTTACAAACGGTGTATGCACAGAACAGAGGGGCGGAGTGAGCGCAGCTCATGATCATTTAAAGTCATATGCACTGAAACGGCGTGCTGAAAACAGAGCTGTTTTTGACCAGGTAAAATAAGTGTTTTCTTACAATACTAATGAGAATTTTTAATTAAAGTATATTACAAACTTTTAATTTAGACCCTAAAGAATCATATTAGCTTGTACAAAAATGGCATTATATGACCCCTTTAAAAGATAATGAGCTTTGCTCACTCCGCCCCTCTTTTCTGTGCGTACACCGTTTGTAACACAATAACCATAACGCGTTGTTCATTATAGACGTGGGATTATGAATTATATTGAGAACGTCGTACATAGAAAACTTGCTGTAATGTACACTGAGTGTAAACCTTAGACGCATTCATTGTGAAGCGTCCAGCCAGCGATTTGCAAAGATTAATATAAATATTAATATAAAGGTTAATAAAACGTTACACTCACTTCAGTTCTTCTGGAGATTCAGCAGGAACACGAATATTTGGTACCGATCTTTTATTCAGGAGCAGCTTCTTAGCAAAACCAGCTTTATACTGACCTTCGTTTATAAAGCAGTCTGGTGATTCGCGCAAACATGAAAATATTGACGTTGCTCGTGGGGAATATTCCCTTCGAAAACAAACTCAGCCACTGCGTCTTCAGCGGTTCGGATTCAGGAACATTAAAATGACTGCTGTGTTCGTTATTGCACCCAAGAACAGAACACCACAATCGCTTAGACGCCATTCTGCTCATAGACAGTGCTCCAGCGTATCAACAATGACCGCGCCGGTCCGCGCAGAGTATGATTGACAGCTCGCTCACGAGCGAGGGCGGGCGGGTCTGTGTTGAAACGCTGCTGTCAATCAACAATTGTGGGAGGGGCGTTGAACGGCTTGATTTGAGGCAGGGGAAAACATATAAGGAGATTTAAAAAAAACACTGGATGGATTTTTATCATTATATGATGGTTGTGTACAGGCACTGCCAACACACATTTCAGTACAATCAACTTGTAAAAGTGCATGTACCATTATATGACCCCTTTAAAGCTGCAGTCCGTAAGTTTTTTTTGGGGTTAAAAATTATCTAAAAAACATATTTGAGAAAATACATAACCAGCCAGTGTTCAAAACTATCTGCTTGCCTTAGCTCGATTCAAAGCGGTAAGCTTGTAATAATGTTTTTAACTCCAGTGGTACTGGTGGATTTCCGCGGGAGAATCGAGCATGTCTTTGCATCATTACGTCACATCTGTACACATAAAGAAGGAGTCTCGGCTAGTATAAGCTATATTGCGTGTGAGGATGCTGGAGGTGGAGATTTATAGCCTTTTCTCACAGCACTTGATATAATTAAACTTATCAATTTGATGGCGGATCCAGAAAGGTTCAAACGACAGTCACCAGTGACAACAGATTCACCCGCTGTTAAATGCAAAAGACTTCGTACGGACTTCGGACTGGCTACAGAAAAAAATAGACTGCAACCGGACCCATGCGAAAACAAGGATACATATCGGAAGGTGACGCTGACGTTGTTGATAACTATGATAACTTATAAGATAACTTATAAGCGATTGTTAGATTTAATCAGCGCGATTTACTGCAATGTCAGAACCAGAACAAAGGTGGATGTTTCTTACTTGTTCAGATGACATTTTCCGGTGAAAATTCTTATGTTGGTCATAATTCCAAAAAGAATAATCTGTGATTCTGAATGACAGTATCCACACCGACGCGGTGACTGACAGCCTCACAGTCTCCTCAAACATTGTGTTCATCCGCGCTATGAGGTGTCGAGGGTGTTGAAGTACAACTCGCGTAAAGTTGATAATTCCGCGAATGACTGCAATTGCAGATTACGAACAGAGATGGCGACAAAGAGGAAAAAACGCCGGACTGCAGCTTTAAGAAGACCCTATTGCCCATACATTTAAAAAAAAAAAAAAAAATCCTGTAAGGAAACAATACATCCGTTCTTTTACTGTAATTTATATGGTAATTCATACCTTAATTTGCAGCAATTACATGTGTTGTTCTGTTAAATTGAAAACAAAATTCATCATTTTAACATTACAAACACTTACCACAGCTTGATGTATTGACACAGTACAGCAGAGTAGTTAAACATTCCCCAGGAAAATGACTTTGTGCTGGACAATTCACACTTTCCGCTTTATATATTGCAAGTGAATATTTAATGTCTGACTCACTTTGTGTTCTTTGAGCATTTAAAATCCATCAGAGAAGAAATGAAGCCATAACAAAAGCTTGTTTGAGAAAATACAAAAAGTATTTTCATCGTATCTATTCTTTCTCTTTAAGCAAATTGCAGATAAACAAGCCACTTTATTAAGTGAAGTCTAAATGCGACTGGTATATTGTCTTTCGAATATCAATATAAAAATCCACTCTGGGAAGAACAGTGACCGTTTCCCTAGTTACCGGCACACACAGCAGATGCTAAACGCCATGGTAGCCCCCCTGGTCTTCCAGTCATGGCTATAAAATTGGTGACAACTCACAGCGTAACACCATTCATTTGTCAAAAGTCACATTCAATGGGGAAGATGTGTCATATTAACCTGGCCAAAGCAATTTCTCCATCACGCTTACTGAGGTTCACAGCTAGTCGGTGGAAAAGGCTGTCGAAACCCCACATCGCTGAAGATAGCTGTCATCTCACAAATGGGAGAGGGAAGGGCAAATCATATTAAGAACCCAGTTCTCTCCCTCTCATTTTCTGCAAGACTGAGTGGAGGCAAAATTGCTTATTTCATTGCAATTAGGAGAAAATAGTGGGGTGTTGTGCGCGAAAGATGGTGGAATACTGCGAGTGGATGCTCAATTATTACTCTCCACACAGCTTCTGGAGATTCTCTGCTCTCTTAGGTCTTCATATTATCAAGGGAATGAATTAGGATATGGCTTTTTCTTTCAGTTAATCTATCCAATTTTCTCATTTCATTAGGCAGATGAAACCGTAAGCAAAAAGTATTTTGCAAACAGGTAGCAAAGAGGGAAAACGAAGTAATCAAGGAAATGGGATGTGATGAGAAGTTCCTTTTTTGAAAATTTCAAATAGCTCAAAATGAAATAATTTTTGTGAAATGTCTTCCTTTGACAATGATTTTTTTTTTTATTCACAGATATTTTCTATTCAAGGAATTAAATTGCAAACTTTAACACAGCACTACACCCGCTTTTAGCATGTCTTTCAACTATAATTCAACCAAAAGTAATCATAAAGTAATAGCAATTTACACTACACACTTGCCCAAATACAGTCTTGAAGTTATTCTGAAAGACTGTTATCTGACACATTGTTGCTTCAGTACATGACAATTGATAATCTAGACAAGCAGGCTGGCGATGCTAATGCACGTACCAAGCTGAGAATAAATTCATTTGGAGTGGATTGAGAAATAACTCCTTGAATTTGTGATGCTGTGATGCTTAATGACATAAAAAAAAAAAAAAAACTCACAACACATAATGTAAATACAACAAAACTGTAACTTAATAATTTGTTACAAAATGTTACTTAATACTATCTTGTCAAAATATTCTTTATTTATCTATTATTACAATAGATTAATAAATAAATGCTGAATAGATTATTAGAAAATATATGATGATTATGCTGAATATGCATTTCTTGACATAGTAAGACAATTGAAATAATAATTACATTTTACAATTACAATTTTGTAGGTGCTGAGACTTCCAGTTGGACAGACCATTGCTCCCTTTTTTGTCTTAGACTGTATCTGCTTCGCTTCCTGGATTCTTGTTCCTCCTTAAAAATAAAAAGGGAGCTTGGCAGCTTGATATGGGTGAAAAGCACAGATGCCAGAGTGATAAATTTTGCTAAGTATGCACCCTGGGACTTTTTTCTCTGTTTTGAGGGAGAACAGAAGGAACACCAGTCTGTCCTGTTCGTGTGGAAGAAGCTGAATTGCTTCTTCAAGTCCTTAGTAATTCCTTAGGGGCCACTTATAGCTACTCCTATGAGCCCAGATCAGGAGGAAGTCTCATGTGTTCTGGAGACCCTGGTTGCTTCTTAGTCTCAGGGGTAGCCCAAGTGGGATCCTTCAAACTCTTAGCTACATTTTCTAACTTTTTTCAAGTTTACTACATATACCAGGACATCGATGTCAGATAATACTGGATGTGGCTTGAACAAGCATGTAAATCTGCTGCCTTGCAACACCACAACATAACAATGCTAGCTGTGGTAAATGCTTCCTGTGTGATTTGCCTCAGATCACGTTAAAGAAATTTCCATAACTCCGACTCCTAAGAATGATTGCTTTTTGATCAGGATGATTCATATTCATGTGATATCCTCTACCCTTTTTACACAGTGTCACCTCCTATGAATCTGCAAGTTCGGGGAGTGTCAGAGAACACCATTGATCTGCAGTGGGAGGGCCCTGTGTTCCTGACAGACTATCTCATCACTTATGCCCCCACGACCCCTGGTGGAGTCCAACTAGAGATCAGAGTCCCAGGAAACATTACCAACACCACCATCAAAGGGTTGGAGCCGGGTCTGGAATACAACATCAACGTGTACGCAGTGATCGACAACATCATCAGTGCCCCTATGAACACTTTAGCCTCCACCTGTGAGTGCACTTCTCTCCTGAGAGCTCTTTTATTCCAAAACATCAGTGTTTTGGTCAGATAAGGCTTTTTTCTATGGAAATGTCTGAGGTGTTTTGCATATATCTTGAATGTGACATTTTCATTGTAAGTGCATCATTGTTACCCAAGCATGACCCAGGTTTAATAGACCTGGATGTGAGATTACACACTCTTTCACAATCTCATTTGCACACACACATACCGCATGTTACTTCTTCAGAGGAACAACTGGCTGTCTTTGCCAACAGGATATGATTAGACACCCACCACCTGGTGAGTAGCAGTGCCAGATTGGCAAAATGCAAGAGGGCCTTTCGTATACAGTCACTGCCTGTCAGCCTTGAGCAAAATGCCTTAGCTTACAATAGAACACATCATAACAAATATTCCATTATTTGTGAAAAGCCAGTTGGGGCGTTCTGCAGACAATCACAAAGCACCACTGATTGGCCTTCTGTTTTCGTACATTTTCGCAGGTAATTCAGGGATGATAATAAAGATAATTAGAACTTAATGAATTTGAAAGAAATAGCAATTTGCATGTGGCATCTGGCCGACATCATGATCTGACTTATACATCTGAGGTATTCAACTAGTGGAACCATAATTTCTGTAATCTAACAAAGATGAGACTAATGTTGAACATTATTGTAATTATGTATAAAATCCTGGGAAACATTGCAAGAAAGGAATGAATAAGAGAAAAAATAACAGTTGATACAATTTAAAATAACTAGTTTAACTTTTCTAGTTTAATTTATTTTATAATTTATTTCAGTCTTTAGTGTCACATGATCCTCCAGAAATTATTCTAAAATGCTGATTTGATGGTCAAGAAAATTTCTTATTGTTTTCAAAGATGAAAATGGTTTGATGAATACAAGTAGAAAAACAGCATATATTTGAATATAATTCTTTCGTTCTTGGAACATTTTAAATGTTTTTACTGACACTTACGATCAATTAAATCCATCCTTGCTGAATAGCAGTATTTATTTCTTATTTTAAAAAACTATATTACTGACACCAAACTTTTGAAAGGTAGTGCCAGTGAGAAGGAGAGCAACCGAGAGTATTGACTACTGTCAGAGTTTATTTAGCAATACTTATTGTATGACTGTACATTATCACTTACTTACACACCTTTGTATGTCATCATACACGTGGAATAAGCAGAACGCTCCCAGCAGAGATAGTGTTTTATTACTGTTTCCATGAAATTATTTTCAAATCCTCTGGAGGCTCTTACGATTATTGACACTGAAAAGGCTGAAGGTTCACTTTTGTGTACTGTGAAATGACTGTAATACTATTTCCTGACTTCTATTCTTTGGGTTTCCCGACTCCATGTGTTATAAAATAAATGTAAACTGATTGAAGACACACTGCATATTGAAAATAACTTAGAAAAAAAAAATCAAATAAATCCTGAATATGTCTGCAATGTAAACCGCTCTGTATAGAGCCCTCTTTTTACAGAGCTAAAAGCTGAGAGTAAAGATCTGTCTTGGCTGGGAAAATGTTGATTTATTGAACACACACAGGACGGAGGCCAATAATGCATCAATCTGTACCTTTTAGATCTCTCGAATCCAGACGGTTTACTCTTCAAATCCATCATGGAGACATCCGTGGAGGTTCAGTGGCAACCCTTAGACTACTTGTTTGATGGTTGGGAAATAAGCTTCATTCCCAAGGTAAGGCTTTCCTTAGAAGGTCACACATCATTTGATTCTGCCCCTGCTGTAGCTCCTGGCGTAACAACACAGAGGTTTCGGAATATTGTAGCATTTGTGGACTTTACCATCCACCGCATTGTATTTCAACAACAGTAAACAAGGAAACTGCAGTGTAAGGTTTTGACAGACATCTGTGCACAGCTGATAAATAAATGCTTCTTTTTAAGCCAAAGATTATTCGTTTTCTGACAGGTGCCTCTCAGCATGATAAATGTCAATATGTCCGTGTTTGAAAGAGAATTATTTTGCATCATGGCAGAAACAACAATACATCCAGGCAGAGATGTTCTCACTAATCCCCTTTCAAATGTTCCATCTGGAGAAAGGACAAAACATTTTCAGCATGTGCATACTGCACCCTCACAGGAAGATGCCAATAAAATGTGGAGCTTGTGCTTGGTGTCTCATTATGAAATAGCAGTGGGAGACATCGACGTATGCAAAACAGCATGTTTCCTGTGCAACATACCTGTCATTTCACATCGAGGTGAAACATCTCTCCCTATGTATAATAATTTAATAATGTATATAATAATGCCCCTGAGGCATTTTGTTTAGTTGTAGTGTTACTATTAAGACCAGCCATTGAATTTGTAAACATCATGCTCCCCTCCAACAAAAAGATCTGACATATCAGAGGTGTGCTTGAGTGTAATGGAAACCGGTAAATTGGGAATTATGGTTTACTTAAATGGTTCACACAAACAACTTCCTTCAGCCAGCAGATGATTTGGCAAATCTATCTGCAGACAGTTCTGAAAGCTCAGTCAAATAATAGTCACACTTCTTATTGAGCATTTGAAGTGTGCAGTTTTCTGTCCTGGATGGATGGATGGATGGATGGATGGATGGATGGATGGATGGATGGATGGATGGATGGATGGATGGATGGATGGATGGATGGTCCGTATGACTGCGTGCTGTTTTTGTTATTGTTCTTTTGTGCATGTTGTGCATGTTGTGCATGTGACCAGTTCACACTCGGATATTTGCCACATTTAAAAAAAACGATGTGAACAGCCACACAAAGAAATTGGATCTGAGCAATAAATCAGAATTGAGCATTAAGACTCAAAGGAGGCTTTGCAGTATGAATATAGCCTTCGCTTTCAGCTAAAGCCATAGCCTATGCCCTGGCAAAGTGAGCTCCGGGTGGTTCATGAGTCACATAAATCCATCATTTTTGGAATGAAAAAAGAATATACCTTGGAAAGTCAAAAGCCTATTTCGGGAGAATAGGAAGTGAATACAAAGAAGCCGATTTTTTTTGGGGGGGGTGATCATGGTGCACTTCAATCTTCCATCGGTGAGAGGGTTTGCTATGAGTACCGTGCCAACTCCGGCACACCACTGGGGAAATCATATTAGAAGTGGAAGTCATATCCTCTGTGGATTTAATCCTACAAAGCGTAAGAGCCGTTCTGATTTTCCACAATATTGTAATGGATGCGAGGGCAGAGACAAGTGTCCATTCACAGGGTCAATGGCAAAGAATATACATTTAAAACAGTCACATCTTCTGAAACCCTCAAGCACTTTGATATTGCCTGATTTCATAAGCTGATGTCTTGTGGGGTGCAGTGCAGCTCTCAACTTTCTCTGCTAAGCAAGTTGGGGGGAAAAACAAGACTTGATTCAACACATCAAACATCTGGTGAAACGTATCTGCACAGAAATTCCAGCAGGTTTTCTTTTTACACAGCTGACTGCCTTCTGAAAACAATCTCTGTTGATTCAAGCGGTGTACTGTTTGTTCCTGCATGCCTGCCTGCACTCTGATGCCAGAATTGTGAAATGTGATGTTTCTGTATGTGTTTGTGTCTTTTGCATGCCAAAGGACAATGATGGAGGGATGACAGCACAACTACCTAGTACCATCACATCGTTCCACCAAACAGGGCTGAGGCCTGGGGAAGAATACACTGTCAACCTGGTGGCCTTGAAAGATCAAGGCAGGAGCCTGCCTGTTACTGCAACCGTTATCACACGTACGCCTCTCACTCATTGTAGTACATTTATGCATTCGGCAGACTTTTATTCCAAGCAATTTACAGTGCATTCAGGTTATATGCTTAGTTTTTTGTGTTCCCAGGGAGTCACATTCATGACCTTGGCATTGTTAGCACCATGCTCTACCAGCCAATCTATAGAAACACCCACGCCTCACTGTTTCATTCTTCAATAACTTTCAATTCTTTCTTGAATTATCTGTATATATATATTTGATTTTTAATGACCTACCTAGAGTGCCTCCCAATATATACATTTTCCCTTTTCACCCTATAATGACATTATATTGCAAAAATTGTATCAAGAAGTTCTGTGTAAGATTCCATAGTGTAACTTCAGGAGTTTATACAGTAATTGTTTCCATGGACAAACATTTGCATGGCTCCACAGTGATAAAACTAATGCATTATTATGGTAATTAATTGTATAGGAATGAGGTCTGTCTTCAGTTGTGAAATGTTCCACCGACATTGAGGAATCAACACTGGACACTTCTTGTCCACTTGTTAAAATAGTCATGCTTTTTGGAATAGATATATTATATTATATTATATTATATTATATTATATTATATTATATTATATTATATTATATTATATTGTATTGTATTGTATTGTATTGTATTATATTAGACAACTAGGGATGACAAAAGTTTCAGTCGATACTAAGTATGGCATTTTATCAAATTATTTCATATTATATTGTAATATGAAATAATTTGATAAAATGCCCTATTTAGTATCGACTGATACTTTTGTCATCCCTAGTTGTCTGAATTAATTATGCTCGTCAAGCAAGCAAGTTTTGTGATAGACAGCATAGATGCTCTCAATGTGGAATTGTAGAACAGGATGCTTCATCATTAATGGAGACAAAAGTTTGCAAAGCAAACAAATGCTCCTCGCTTGGTTGCACAGTGCAGGGGGAGGTTAGTTTACCGTTGCATTCTGTGCACAGAGAAGATGAAAGAGAGAACAACGTGAAGTGCTTTTCCCTTCAGGTTACTCAGCCAGCTGAGTCACTAGTGTCTCTTTTGTAGCTGGAGTTGACAAGTTGGAAGTGGCTTGAGCAGTGATTTCCTCCACCCATCTGCCATGTCCTGTTGTTTTCCCCCTGTCCTTGGTGCTGAATTCGGTGTAGTGCAGCAGTAGGCTGAACAGAGGGCTCACATTCAAACTATACTATGAACACAATCATTTTACTGTTACTCTGCTGACAGTGTTGTCAGAACGAAACACTATTGCAAATATGTCTGACAAGACATGCTGAAAAACATATAGTGATATAGTGCACTCACAAAGGAAGGTGTGTGAGAGGGGCTAGACTGGGCCGGAAAGGCATAAACTGCAAGGAGGTGTCACATTGCTTCAGTTAATGGAAAATGTCACCATGATGAATGGGTGAGTCTGCCAGCAATTATGCACTTAATGTAAACTTCACCCAAGAATTCTTCTTCTGTCACTGACAGACAGTAGGTTTAGATTCAATTGAACTTTTCATGGACAATTGAAACTGCATGTCTGCTGTGAAAACGCCATTAATTTCTACGGGCCTCACCATCGAGCATAATTAAAGAGACATTAATTATGCATGCGAGTTCATTAATATTTCACATGTCCACTGCGGATACCTTATTGGATAAAGAAAGACAAATTTGATGTCATTTAATTATTTATGTGTGCAAAGATTTATCTATCCCCAGAGAAAGCCTAGGAAGACGAGTTTTCGCTAACCACACGCTTGGTTCCTCGTGAGTTTGCAAGCTGCTTCACAGTAATTACGCTTAAGTGCTAAAATACAACATTTTTAGGAAAAAAATAAACAGTAATCTATTGCCTGGTCTCTGGTGTGACTAGACTTAAAAATGAGACTATGCTGGTGTGCCTTGAATAAAACCAAGAAATCACCCTTGTGGATTGAATAGGCTGTGCAAAGAACTTAAAGTAAATATTCCCATGCATGAACCTGACGTGACATCATTTCCCCATTTGCTTGGGGTTCCTCCTGAACCCCAGTGTTTGATTAACGGTCACATTTTGTAGTTGTAATATCCTGTAGAGAGTTACAATGGTATCATGCACAATATACTGTATGTTTTGGACTTATTCTTTAAAAGGGAAATGTGGTATTCAGTGCAGTCTTACCTGGTCCAATTAGTAGCGTTTTACATATCACAGCAGAATGAGGGCGAGGTTAGAGATGAGGTCAAAAGTACCAGAGGTGTTCATCTTCCGTCACAATACTTGTTTCTGAGGCAGATGGTCATGTTGCCCTATATAAAGAAGCAGGTTAATTATTCACACAACCAGTTAGCGTCTTATTAAAAGAGCCTGTTGGAGGCTCAGCATGGCCACTTGATTCAGTAACTTGAGTGTGTGTTTGCCTGCTGTCAATATCTGGTGAATACTTTCTCATTAACTGTCCTTGAAAACATGGATAAGTTAAAAGTGAAGTGTGTAATTCTCAATATTAAAATACTTTTCCAGTTTAATATTATGACTTCATTGTATACACTGTGGCTCTCAGTTTTCAAACATTGTTTGGTTTGACTGGTCCAACATGGAAACTTTTGGCTAAACCAGTGGCTCAGAACTACCTGTTTGGCCAAAGAGGTCAGCGTTTGGCTGCTTAGCTGTAATAAAACCATAAAAAGCATATTTCACCATTGACAGCCATGTGTTCTGATGTTGCCATGTTTTCTGGCAAAGTAGTATTTGTTGCAAGATATAGTAGCCTATAGTTTTGATGAGCAACTTATAGATGAGGAAAGGGCAAAAAAACGTTTTGGAAAAAAAGTATATTTTCGCAATTTCATTTGGTACTTTTTGTGCCACATAAATTACACCTTTAAGATGTCAGACAGTCTTATTTCAGTATATTTAAAGTTCAAGCTTAACTTGCAAATTCAGTGTTATCAGGTTCTGCACATTCCTACAACATTGTGCTTCCTCGTTTTTAAATAAGTTTTGCCACGACTTTTATGTTGCTCCATTACTTTGGTAATATTCTTATGATGCGATAAATAAAGAAATAAAGCAATAAAAATCTTTTTTGTGGACATTTTGACTACATCCAATAAGCCATGTTAGTTCTATAGCTTAGGGCTTCTTTGTGTGAAAAAATAAGCTTTAAGCAAATTCACATATTTGCTCATTTGTATTTTATTTTCATTTGTATTTAATAGTTCAAAACAGGGTTGTTTTTTATGCCCATCATTCATCACTGTATTTAATCATCCAGACTTTCATGTTTTTACAGAAAGCACCGGTATATTAAAATCATTAAATAAACTCCCCAAGGCTCATATGCCAAAAAAAAAAAACTTTAATGCCAATGTTACAATGTTCTTCTATATTATTGTGTTTTATATTATAGAGTTTTAAACCTTTACAGATCAAGGATGTTTATCCTTTGCTAGTTTTTATTTATTTTTTATTTCACTTTAATGTTATCAGATCATTAGTTATTTTTTTATTAAAACGGTTTAAAATGTCAGAGTTTTAAAAGACAATTCGGTATGTTTTCTATATCTTCTCCAAGGACCCCCTCCCGTGCTTTACGGGCACTCTGGTGTCCACTGACTCATGGTTGAAAACTCTTGAAGCATATTGAGAAGCTCTGACCACACTTTTCTCATTTCATTGATGTTGTCTTATTTTTTTCTTCTTTAGTAATTGATGGGCCAACACAGCTTATTGTTCGAGACATCTCCGACACGGTTGCCTTTGTGGAGTGGAGCCCACCCAAGGCTAAAGTGGAGCAGATTTTATTGCGGTACGGGCTGGTAGGGGTGGACGGACCTAAGACCACCTTTCGCCTGCAGCCTACTCTGAGCCAATACTCCCTCCAAGTACTGAGGCCTGGATCCACATATGAAGTATCAGTTTGTGGAGTCCGGAATGGCAGTGAGAGTGGAGCCATTTCCACAGAGTTCACGACAGGTGAAAGAAAGCAGTTCTGACTGTGTAAATAATCTTTCATCAGAGTTAAAAGAATAAAGATCTTTTAGTGAAGTGTGCTTCATCAGTCTGCTTCACAGAAGTAAACATTTATATTTGATTACAAAAATGCAACATGATAACAATGCATGACATCTATTTCTAGCTCTCTGTGATCCATCTGAGTGACCAGTTCATTATCGATTGTATCTTTTTTCTCAGAAATCGATGCACCAAAGAACCTGAGAGTGCTGTCAAAAACGTCCACTAGCCTGGAGCTGGAATGGGACAATAGTGAGGCAGATGTAGAAGGCTACAGTGTGGTCTACAGCACACTGGCTGGCGATCAGTATGACAAAGTCATTGTCCCGCGCAACGATGGCCCCACCACCAAAACTACTCTCAATGGTAGCTCAAACCGAACCTTTTACTTTATTTCGTAGTACTGGAATATATAGGATATGTAAAACAATTTAAAATGGTTTTATTTATAATAAAAGTGTTTCTCTTAAATGTAAATGGATTTTAAAATAAAATAAAAAATCGAACATTTTCAATTAAACCGTCAAGGCCGTTAGCCTCATGGCCAGTGCTCCTGCATGTAGATCATGTAGAAAATTATTATAAAACAGCATGTCATCCCACATTCACATTAATCATAACATTTTAAATATATAAATATATATTTTTTGTCCATTGCGTTGTCACTGATGAATTGAGGTCTTTTTTTGAGTACATCATAAAGGCATTTATTTTATTAACTCGCTATTTTCTCCAAAAATGTGAATTGTGATCAACATTATTTTCAGTGTAATATTTTTAGTGTTCTTAAACATTTGCACACAAAATACAGTTGTAGTACACTTTTGTGTACATTTGGATATGCATGGACTTTATGGAAAACTTAAAAGTGAATCCTCTTTTAAATTTGCTGCCATACTGATTTTTTTCTCTCTTTAACAGCTTTTTTATTCAAGTGAGCAACATTTCTGACAATAAGTGTTGAAAAGAAATTATTTGTTTGTTTCTCAAAGATATTACAAGTCACATCCAGGTATTCAGTTGCTCCTGATGTTTTTCTTCTCATTATGAGTTAATTCTGAGCGCCCACAAATCTATTTTTATACTTATATAGTGACAACAAAATATATTGCTCATTTGCCAAATGTATTGATCTTTTTTTAGCTCTCTCTTTCCTTTTCTCTTTCCCTTTCTTTCCCCTTTAGATTTACTGCCTGGCACAGAGTATGGCATAGGAATTTCAGCTGTTGTAGGGGCCAACCAAAGTACCCCGGCAACGATGAATGCCAGAACGGGTAAGCGAGAAGATTATGGGTCTGCCGTTGCCAGATCACAGTGAAATAAATTTATTTTCAATAGTATGGAGTTTGTATTTCTGCTGCTGACCGTGCAAATCTGTATTTGCCAGTAGAACTGATATATGATGTTTGTGATGGCATAAAAATATGTTTACTGAACCAAACAGTGTAGTACTCCCATTACAAACCTTGAAACAGCCACAGTCACAGTATACTCTTTATCTTTAGGTCTGGATGTCCCCTTGGATTTGACAGTCACAGCCTCTACAGATAACACCATCAAGCTGTTCTGGGGCACAGTGCAGGGGCCTATTGATCACTATAGGGTGACCTACACATCCTCCACTGGAGTCACAACTGAGCTAACGGTGCCCAAGGACGTCACCACCACCACACTGACAGGTCTAGAGCCGGGCACAGAGTACACCATTACAGTCGCAGCACAGAGAGGCAGGCAGCAGAGCACTGCAGCTACTATTGATGCCTTCACAGGTAATTTGATCTTTTGGGAACTCGAGTACAGGAATCACTGTTGACTGAGTGTTCAAAGCATTGCCTCACCACTGCCTCATGACATGTCATGTCAGTTTTGGGCAGAAGTCTCTCGTTAATCTCTCTGATAATTGCATGAGGAATGCAGCATGGTGTGGAAGTAAGACTTTTGCTTCAGTAGCTATGTTTCCATCCACACGTTTTTATCCGCATTAAGTGATATCGAATGAAAAATGCCTTATGAAAACAGTAAAATTCGATTGAATTTCATGAATATCGGCTCAAATGAAATACTATCGGTCTCATCGGATTTTATCTTGATCGATATACGGCTTATGCGATAAACGCGGATGGAAACGTTATTATGGTGCAATCCATTTTGCCTAGTAAAACTTTGTTCGCAAATGTTGGCTTGAATGTTGTGCAATTCGGTGAGAAAATGAATGGAAACCCCTTAACATGTCTCAAATCAATTCGATATACCAATTTGATCGCAAAACAGCATGTGACGTCATTACGCACAGGTTTTTATCCGCTTTAAAGCCGTTTGATGGAAACACACTTTCACCACCTTTATTCACATGAAGTTTTTTACCGAACTTCAGATAATTCGATTGACAAGTGGATGGAAACATGGCTAGTGTCAACAATGTGCAAAGAAGATTTAACAGCTCTTGTAGATTTTTTTGTTCCACAGCAGGTTAATTTCTAGTTAATTCAAATCATCCTTCATCAAAATTCAGCCGTACATATGTCCTTTACTTCAGGGGTTATCAGTCAATTGAACATATTTAATAATTTTGCTCATGTGACATTTTGTCTGTTGTTATCACTCACTTGCCTGGCGCATCAACACTTAAATATCTACAGCATCAAGATTTTATCATATTTCATTACCATTTTCCACTTTTATTCATCCAATTTTCATCATTTGCTTGATGTCTACTAATAAGATTCATGTGATTTGTTGATAGCCCTAATAAAAAAGTATGAAATTAAAATTATCTAACAGAACATTGTTTTGATTTATTTGGTTTTAATTAGGGATGTCAATCTATTAAAAAGAAGCAAAAGACATCGCAAACAATATATTGCATATATTGTAACATTATGAGAAAATGATTCAAAGACATTGTTGTGGCAGACAAGTAAATTATGAAATAGATATTTATATTTTTATATCACTATCACAATCTACCGCAATCCATTTTTGATTGATTTTGTCAACACATCTGATGTTAACCTAAAAGCTTTTTACACATGACATGTTTTTGTATTCCATCAAAAACCATTTGTATTATTTAATTTTTATTTTATTTTTTTATGCAAGTATTATCATTATTATTATTGTTCTATGTAGACATGCGAGTTGCAGTCTTTGGCTGTTGCATCACATTTTGAATGCTATATTGTTATGGCGGTATGCCACGCTCAACTTTGAAAATTAGTTTTGAGAACCCTGCTTTCTCTTTCATTCTTTTTCTGGTTTCATTCTGCACTCTGTCCAGCTGTTTTTGAATCCATGAGTGCATCCTGCGTGAATGGCTCTGTCTGTTCTCGGTAGTGTGGTTTGGTGAGGTGTGTTGGCTGTAGTAGCGGTATGAAAGTTGTACTTCAAGCTTCAATTGCTCCAATGGTAAAAAAATAAATCCCTTTTTATGGGATTTACGCATGACTTGTGTCAGAGGTTCCAGGTTAATTGCATTTTTTTTATTCCACTGTTATTTCTGTAATTAATGCACTAAATTATTGCATTAAATTAACAGCTCTGATTTAATTTAACATTTCTATCATAAAATGTGGGTTGGAGAATCCTTTGTTGGAAAACACTGCTTTACTTTGCTTCACTGCTACATTTAGATTTTTTTTAACATCTACCAAAGAAATAACCCTTCAGACTTTATCTTCCTTATGCAGTTAGTCTTTGTTGTTATCAGTCACTCACTTGCTTTGGCCGGGTGCATCAACACATGTATATCTACAGCATCAAGATTGTATCATATTTCATCAGCATTTTCCACTTTTTTTTCTTCATTCAGTTTCCATCCTTTGCTTGATATCTATTGTCTGGCTGCATCTCTTCTGCAAACTACATCCAATCACCTCATTGTTTTTCATTCTTGTACTCTTCATTCCTCCTTCCTGTGAGGATGTGCCAATCATTTAAGAGATCTTTACTCACAGAAGCAAGCATTTCGTAATATCGTTGTTGTCATTCAATTTCAGGGTTCCGCCCTATCACGCAGCTCTTCTTCTCTGAAGTCACATCTGATTCATTGACTGTGGCGTGGAGTGCACCGGCACCGCCTGCTGACGCATTCATCTTGAACTACAGTACCCAGGACTCCAGTGATGATTCTGAAATAGCTCTAGACGGGTCCAAAACCAGAATCACCCTCACTGGTCTCCTGCCCTCCAGGCGGTACACTGTTACCTTGGTTACAATGCACGGCAATGTGACCTCAAAGCCAGTTATAGGCTCAATTGCAACAGGTATTAATACTAATGATGTTCAAGGATATTATTTATACAATATGTCTGAGGGAGTTAAAGGGTTAGTTCACCCAAGAATGAAAATTCTGTCAGTAATTACTCACCCTCATGTTGTTCGTTATTTTGGGGGGTTTTGCGCACAAAAAGTATTCTCGACGCTTGATAAACTTATGGTTGAGCCACTGTAGTCACTTGGACTATTTTAAACATTGTCTTTACTAACTCTCTGGGCCGGCAAGTTTCAATTACATAGAAGCCTATGGAGGAGTGAGACCGCTCTCAGATTCATCAAAAATATCTTAATTTGTGTTCCGAAGATGAACGAAAGTCTTACGGGGTTGGAACAACATGAGGGCGAGTAATTACTGACAGAATTTAAATTTTTGGGTGAACTAACCCTTTAAGTGTTTTTATTTAATGTTAGAATTTTTTTTCTTAATTGAGTTTACACATTTTACACAAAGGCCAATGCTCTCAAAACAATTTCACATGCATTTTTCCTAAACAGAAGGGCTTTTCACACTGTGCTTAATCCCAGGTTTTTGTCGTTCTAAACCCTGCTTCTAACTCAGGCTGGAGGAACGTTACACACTTGTGTGAAACAATACAGTGTTAGAATGTTACAGCTAGATGCTTAGAAATATACAGCCAATAGTGGGCCTTATATTCACATGCTTTGGACAGTCAGGGAAACGTTGCATAAACGTTTGAGGCGGCAAATGGCAACGGAAAACACAACAGTTTGAGTGAAGAAGAGGCCGTATCGTTTTTACCTTTATAGTCGGAAAAGTCTTGTCTGGAAAAACTTGAGAGTACAGTCGCCAATGTATTATATGAGGATCTGCAATACTTGAGACTTTATGTAAACGGATTGCTGCTGTGTTTGTCCAATGACACTGACACTGCAATTATGCAAATAAGAATGTTAACCCTGTTAAAATGGTACACTAAAGTGGTACATGCACCACGTTAAAATGGTACATGCACCATTTTCATAAAACATTTCAAATTTATCTGATCCATGCTTCTTGCATTCAAAAACAGTCGACACACAACTAAAATGCCATATTCTCAAAAGCACATGATGGTATGCTGTCAAATAGCACTGTATTGAGACCTGCTGGGTTTGTAATGTACACAATACAGGAAGTTCAATTTATGAAATTGTCAACTATCATGACTTTGCTATTTATATAAGAGTCATCAGTGAAAACCTATTTATGGATGGTGGCCTATTGCCATATTCTCCATTTCTGAATCCAGTTGTTGAGTTCTTCTCTTCCTAAATATATAAAGTGTTCAACCGCAACGTAAGAAAGTCGTAAGAAAGAGCAATAAAAGAGGCCTGCAGTGATGTACTACATTTGTGCCTTTTATGGATTCGCCATTCACACTGTTCTTTCCTTAAATTCATCACTTGAGAAACGTGTGTTGTTTGATGTGAATAAACTTCTCTGGGTTAACAGAAATTAGAGGGATGATGAATATGTAAATTTACAGAAATTTCAAGAGAATGAACGATCTGTATAGAAAAGAAAAATGAAATTTGTACTTCATAATGGTACTGACAATAATGTGCTTCATCATGAAGCGTTTGACTAAATTAAGAGTCTATTTGAATGGTTGTGTTAAATGTTTTGAGAGCATTGGCTTTAGTTTGTGGAAATCGATTACGGAAAGTTTAACATTTGCATGCTCACACTAGATTCACAGTGCTTATTTTTATTATTTTTATTTATTTAAAATGTAAAGGTTTTTACATTTTGTTTCGGTTTTATCAATTTCACTAGACAGTCATTTGTGAGTGTGCGCGTCTCTACCTGCTGGATTTCCCCATTATGATACTTGCACACAGCTGCACAGCAGATTTTTCACCATTTTGTGTCTTAATTAATTCAACACTGTGTAATCCTCCTCTAATTACCTCTCTCTGAATATGGAGGTGTCAAGAATTATTCAGCTGTTCTGTCAGTGAACTGATATTTGCAGTTGCCAAAGGAGATATTGTCTCGGAGCTATTTCTAAACATAGATATGAGCTCTGCAGAGGAACACCTGCACAGCAGCTTGATTACCGGTAGTTAAAAAAAAAAGTAAAAGTTTCAACTTTTACTTCACATGATATTATTATTATAATAACATGATTTGTACGTGGGCACTTTAAGTACTTTCACATTTTGTCGTCTAGTGTGTTTTAAAGCCTGTTTGCTTAGAAATGTGTTTAGTACATTTTCAACATGTTCCTGCTTTAGTTAGAAACCATATTTTCACTCATTAACTCTCTTTACATTAACATAAGTGAAGAAGGTCACCATATGCTCAACAATACAAAATGGAATAAATGGAGATGGAATGGGCTGAAAAAAGTTGTTCTTTGTGCCCTTTATTCAAAGTCTGAAAATATATTTATTGACTGCTCTGCTGAGAGTGGAAAATAAATTAAGATATGCATACATGAATAATCACGACTCATTTACTGAGGAATATTTTACCCTGAAAGCATTTAAATGAGGTTGACAACCTGTTTATGAATTGCCACCCATAGTTTATGAATTGAATGCATTAGTCTAATGAATATGGGGAGGTGTGAATGGCTTTCCACTCGTTTTAAGGACTGGCCACTTCAATAATTGCAAGAGTAAATCTGTTTATTTCCCTTTCAATTGTCAGAAAGCTCCAGAACCACTGTTAGTCTGTTTAGCTGTTTTTTCAGAGGCGGTCTAACCTTTGCTTTTCGCGATGCTAAGAGCTATTGGGACAGATAAACAAATCATGAAAGAGTCCCTGCTGGACAGCGGCAGACAATAACAATGTAAATGTCCTTGTGAAGAGTGTCGTTTGTCCAGCATACTCATACTCCTCCTCCTTTCTAGGGCCTGTTGGCAAACATAAATAGGAAATAAATGACATGAGAAAAGAATTACAATAACTATTCCATTGAAATGAATAACAAATGAAGCATGCAAATACAATGGAGACTATATAATAATAATAACAATATATCAATCAATTGTATAATGTAATATATTTATATAATATTTATTTTACATGCAGCACCTTATAGGTGCAGACGCCTTGAGATCACATGACCAAATGAATACTGCTAATTTTGTCCTGGTAGTTCCCTGTAATTGGAAATTTTCAGTCCCCGAATAAGTAGTGCATAAATAGTGCATTTCTACTATCAGCGTAATGTTATCGAGTGCTGATTTTATGAGTGCACCATCTGTACACTTAAACTCCTGTTCAAAAGTTTGGGGTTAGTGAGGTTTTTAAATAGTTTCTGAAAGAAGTTTCTTATGCTCAACAAGGTTGCATTTATTTGATCCAAAAATACAGTAAAAAAAAGTAATATTGTGAATTATTATTAAAGTTTAAAATAACCATTTTCTATTTTAATGCATTTTAAAACACAATATATTCCTGTGATGGCAACGCTGAATTTTCATCAGACATTGCTCCAGTGTTCAGTCTCTTCAGTGAAATCATGATATGCTGATATTGTACTGCTACCTAATATTTTGTGGAAACTGTGGTAAAAATTTTCTTCAGGATTTTTTTTTAAGTTCAACAAAAAAATTTGTTATTTGAATTAGAAATCTTTTGTAACATTATAAATGTCTTTACTGTCACTGTTGATCAATTTAATGCATCATTTCTGAATTAAAGTATTAATTAATAATAAAAACCTTACTGACCCCAAACTTTTGAACGGTAGTGTAGATCTAAATCAAATATACTTTTTTTCTCACTCATGGTCATCTTGTCCCCCATGATGCAGGAATGGATCCTCCCAGAGACATGACTGTGCTGTATGTCACCGAGGAATCTGTAACCATATCATGGATTCAACCACTCGCACCCTTTGATTACTACAAAATGTCTTACCAATCACCAAAAGGTAATTCCTCCGTAGTATATTTAAAGCATGTTGAACAAAGACAAATAAGCCAGCATTACTGTTTGTGATCGCCTCACAGGTAGGATGGACAATGTGGTGATTGACAATGATGTCACCAACTACACCCTAACCAGCCTCCACCCAGCAATGGAGTACGAGATCAAGCTGAACGCAGTGAGAGGAAGTCAAGAGAGCAAGGTCATCACCACTACTGTGTTCACAGGTATTTCTGCTCTCAGTCAGTTACTCAGAGACTAATATGCCACTGCGCATTCTCCAGACATGTACTGTAATTTACCCTAGGAAATGTCTTTTGGTATTTCGTGAAGGATGTGCTCTCATAGCCTCGTTCGTCACAGAACTTTGATTTGATAGAAACATGGATGACAGACTGAGGAATGATGCACATCATTTACCATGTGATGAGTGCCATCTCTCACCCTGTGCGTTCCGCCCGTCCTCTGGGAGGCTGCCAGCCATCTCGCAGAAGTGAAATGAAATTTTACTAATGGAATCAGTGATCAGCAGGGATGCTCACCTGCCATCGTACTTGAACAGCACCACACGGCGGTGACAGCCAGCTAGTACTATGAAAGGATTGTGTCTAATTCACTCATAATTGAAGTGTTCTTACTTAGATGTACAGATCTTTCTTTTGCAGACAATGTCCATCAGATGCACAATATGTTGTGCATAAATATGATCTTTACCCTGTTTATTAATAGTCTCGATCATTCTAATGAGGATTATTCTTAGTGTAAAATGTAAGTGTGTGTGTGTGCATATACTGTATATATATACACACACACACTACTGTTCAAAAGTAAAAGTACGATTTTTAAAAAATAAATTAATACTCTTACTCATTAAGGGTGCATTAAATTGATCAAAAGTGACAGTGAAAACAACTATTTCAAATAATCCTGAAAAAAGAATGATCACGTTTTCCTAAAAATATTAAGCAGCACAACAGTTTTCAACAATACATTTTTGGTAATAATGAGAAATGTGTCTTCAGCAGCAGATCAGCCTATTATAAATGGCTGCTGAAAATTCTACTTTGCCATCACAGGATTAATTGTAATAATATTTCACATTATCACTATATTATTTTTTTATCAAATAAATGTCAGGTTTGGTGGTGGTGAAAGGAGCGAGGACTCAGGTGCAGAGATGATGGGTTCTTTAATGATAATAACAAAACAAAAATACAATCAAAACTACCCCGTAGGGGACTCGACTCGACTCGACTCATGGGGTAACACAGCAGGTAACGTAGACTAACCATGTTCCGTACAACAACGATGTTCCGTACAGATTAACTTTAACCGCCGATCGCTGAATAAATACCTCTAGGTCATACACAAAATACATATCTGTGTCGTCTTCATTTCTCCCTCTTTCATCCCCGATCAAAACAGAGACACTCCAGCTGTATGTTCCAGTGATATTTCAGTTAGTTTGCCAGGTGCGCCCACTTCGCTTGAAAATTGCCCGTGGGCAAGCTATACTTCAGACAGCGGCTTGGGTGGGGAGACAACTAGAGCAACGAAAATGTACATTTCAATTTCATTTATGCTTTTCCCAGTATAACAGTCTTTATTTAATGAATATTATGCTATCACAAATTGTTAAATATATTACCCTTTTGTTGACTAAATGCTGTGAAATGGGGATTTTTAAACGATTGCGGCCGATGACCGTTTGGCGCCACTCTCAGGCAGCAAAAAAGGCTGCACGTCTGTCAGCAGTGCAGTGATGATGTTTATATTCATAAAGGGTCAATTAAGTTAATATTAACATAAATTGTTACATGATTAAATATTTTAACATTAAAATTAATCAGTTGACCGGTTAATTTTCCATTTCGCCGTTGAAAATAAGTTATTCGCTCTGTACGGAACACCATTATAAGCCTGTACGGAACATCGTTAACGCTTATCATCTTCCGTACACAGGTGGAGGAGGTAGTTTTCCCCACTTTTCTCAAAAACTATTGGTCCAAAAGACATCAATCAAGGTGTGGACCAATCAATGGGTATTCCCCCGGAGAATGATCACACAAACATGCTAGTCTTGCTCTCAGAAACGGAGGAGTGGTCGCTGACGTGCGGTGATAGGCTAAAAGTGTACGGAACATGGTAAGTCTACGTTACATACAACAACGAAACAGCACAGGACTCCAGACACAAGGAGAATAAATAGGGAGAACAAACAAGAGAGGTAACGAGGGAGGACAGGTGGGGCAAATTAATCAATCAGGTAACGAGGGAGGACAGGTGGGGCAAATAAAACAGGTAACAAGATGGGCGGGGCTAGACAATCAACAGGAGAGCACATGGCACAAGGAAACATAACATGAAAAGCCATGTGCTCACCAAACATGACTATGCCCTGTTTACACGAGAACGATTCCGGGTGAAAACGTAAAAATATTTTATCGGATGTGCCTTTCGTTTACACGGCAACGGCGTTTTGGGGGCTTAAAAACGCAAAAAAGTGAAACCACCCTCCAAAGTGGAAATCTTAAAAACGCTCCACCGTTGCGTTTCCGTCTAAACGGGTAAAAACGCAAATCTGCTCATGGCGGCTCTCGTCGCGTACGCATTTACGTCACAGGCATGCGTGCTATTGGATTATTTCCATACGTCAGACCTTCAAGTTGCCCTAGCAGCAGCTCTGATAAACGTCCAAGAGTCTTTTCAATTTCGCGCTACTAGGGAGAGAAGTAGAAGGAAGGTTGTACGCAGGCGCACGGACTTGTTGTTGTTGTGTGGCAGTGCTTCACATTGCCACCTAGCCGCCTGGAGTGCATACTACATCGCATTTCTAACACTTTTGCGTCTCCATATGCACGCAGATTTCCCCCCCATAACGCTCGTCTAAACGCAGAATAAAAAGTGAAAACGAAACGCCACTTTTGCGTTTTCTCTTCAGATCGTTTCCGTGTAAACATGGCCTAAAACACAAGCACATGGCCAGTAAAACAAATCACCAGCCATGTGCTCACACAAAACAAGACATGAACACGCAGCTAATGAGAACACTCATAAGCCACGTGTTCACACAAAACATGTCAACATGAAAGCACACAACGAATGTAAAACACAAGCTGCGTGCTGCACAAGACAAGACATGAAAGTACATGAAACAAGGCACAGACAAGGCAAAACAGGAGCGTCAGGGCTCTGTCACAAAACCAAGAAATAGACTAGACAGAAGTGACAGAACCCTGACAATAAATGCAGCCTTGGTGAGCGCAAGAGACTTCTTTCAAAAACCTTAAAAATATTGCTGACCCCAAACTTTTAAACGGTAGTATATAAATGGTTGAAAAATAATTATCTATGTATTTTACTTTTTATGAATTTATGATATATATAGAGTGTTTTTATATTATTATAAATATATATTTGTGTATATATACAAATATTTTTAGTATTTATAATTATATATTTTATCTGTAGTGTTTGTGTATATAATATAGAAAATAAATAAATATAATAAATAAAGTAATTATATCTATAAAAATATTATATAATTAAATATTTCAACTTTCCATGTTTCACACAAATTAATACATATGCACGGTTAGTGTATGAAAGCCAAGTGAACCTTTTCTCAGTGTATTGCTTTGTAACTTTGCGTCTCAATAGCCAAATCTCCAGGAAAAAAATGGTCTTTGTCCCAGCTGTGCATTATATCACTGAAATGAATTAATTAGTCTATGTCTCGAGCCTAGGAAGTTAACTAATTAGTCATATCATTGGATGTAGTACTATAGAACAAACAGATGCTGGCCTTTGCTTAAAGACTGCTGACTTGCTTAATAATAACTAGGTAGGAAGTGTGTGCCTACATCAAAACACAGCTACACTCCCCATTGCAACTTAAAGCCTGACAGTTTTGTTCAAAGCTAAAACAAATATGACATGCAAACAATCTCAAGCTGCCCGTGTTGACAAATCTCGCCAGTGCAGTAACAATGCAAAGTGACAAGTTGATCTTCTTTTTAAAAATGCATCTTTTGGAAACAGCTTATTATGTAAGGGATAAAGTACATCCAGCCGGGTGTTATCTCAGAATAACCCTGACAGGGTGATGAGGACCCTGATGCGAAGCGGAGGGGTCTTTTATCAGCCTGAAGGGCGCTTATTACACGGCTACTTGCGAAATAAGTGAATCATTTGACAGAAAATATTGATCTGAGTCGAAGCATTTTATTAGGTCTTTAAACGCAAAGCTTCCACGGAGAGAGCATTTGCTAGCGTGGCATGTTCAAACTAGACAGACATTTAAGGAATACGATACAGTCATACCACTTATTACACAGCATTTCGCCACATAAATAATTATAAAAGCTGCGTTTGTATGAAACAAGAGAGAGCGAGTCCACGATACTGGAAGACATAATTAAATAACTACACAAAATATTGATTCGACAGAGTTTTAATATTTTATTAGCTCACCAAACGCATAACTTCCACGAAGTTAAACCGTTCCTAGCACGCATATATATCGCTGCTGACTTCAGCCTGTGTTATCTGTTTTCAGCGGTTGTTATCGGGGAATGACATACCGCTGGATGGCGCGATTGACCAATCAGAATCAAGTATTCCATAGAGCTGTATAATAATAATTGGATATAGAGAAAAGTCTGGCTTATTTCAGCTGTAATGTTAAGAGTGACAAGAGAGGTTGATATAACATGATGGATCTGGTTCATGGATATGTTCTGGTTCACAGCTCTGCCTAATGACCTACTAGGGATCATCAAGTTCACTTTCATTACATAAGGGAAAACTAATATTCTCCTCCTAGTCTGTCAGCGCATGGGCATGTCAAGACACGGTAATGCAGAGCGAGGGGAAGGTGCGATGAGGAATTGGGGGATTTTGCCTCTGAACTGCTGTCAGGCAACAGAGATCAGCTTCTCTGGAAGGTTGTGAGAGGGCCTACAATTTCTTGGAACAGAGTCAACAGAATCTAATGGGAGGGTCAGATCTCTACAGCTGTAGAAGTGATATGGCTATTGCTAGAGAGGCTGGCAGAACAAAAATGTGCGAGGGACAGGATGGGAAGATGGTAATGTGCGATTACAGTCCACTGACCTCATCTTAGAGGACATACGCCACAGTGCAAATAGGAGAGTGAGATTTTTCCTGTCTGAAAAAAGAAAGGCCATCTGTGAAAGTCACAGCATGGATAGAGGATTACGGAGAACAACATTTCTCATTACTCACTTTTATGGAAATGCTATTGAGAATGAGCTCTGCACACATTTGACTGTCTAATTTCCCCCTCGATGTCGGCTAATTAAGGAAATTGTGATCTTCTTCAGCCAGATAATCACAACAAATTAGTTCCAAGCTGCTGAGGTGCTCTAATTTTAAATTGCCGCTGAATATCGTTTGCACAGGGAAAAAAAGGTAAAGATGAGACGGCTGCCAATTACCTTGGCTGAGCTTATCTAAGAATGTCTGTCTGTAACCTGCACGTAATCTTCTGTTCCACACAGCTATGGACATGCCTATGGAGCTCACTGCATTGAATGTCACACCTCAGGGGGCTCTGCTGCGTTGGAACGCCCCTGTTTCCAGTGTTGATAACTACGTGCTCACCCTCACCCGTAACCAAGGTATGTGGAGGCCTTATGAAGGGAAACACATCTCTGTAAAACTTTCATCAGCATCATTTACTCTTTAAATCACATCCCAAAAGCAGTAGCCATAAACACTAAACGAAATGTAACTTATTTTCTCATGGACAAAGATACGCTGCTTTGCCATTTCAGGTCTGCAAGCGGCAGACAAAAAACCCCAAAACAAAACAATGCGCATATGCAAATGGATCTCACTCAATGGCAATAATGAAATGCAATTAACCATATAATCATGGGTAGTTAGGATGGCTAAATAAATTGGCTTATCAACTTTTTAAAGGGGCGAAGAAAAAGTTTCCTCTATCTTTTGTTTTTTGACATCATACAATCAATCTTTCACTTAGTAGAAGCTTGCCAAATTAGGTAGATGCCAACATGGACAGGTTGCTTGTCATCCTTTAAAAAAATCATCAGCAAATTTATGCCAGGTAAATAAATAAACAAATAAAAAATACAATCAAGACTATGTTAAATATGGTCTCACCTACATCGAGGATAAACATGGTTTGTGCTGACCACAGATTATTTGTACAGTGATTTGTTTTCTTCTGAGAGCATGAAACCATCCAAAAAGTACATTTAGAAAACCAAAATTGTCATTAATGTTAATAATATTGTATATTGGTGAGCCAATGCAGTTCGTGGTCATATTAATACAGTCAGGTATTGTAATATTGAGTATTTTTGTATGATAAAACTGTTGTCGCCACACATGTGTAATGTTTGCTATTTAAATGCCAATTAAGTTATTTTTTTGAATTTCAGTTATAATGGATGATTTTTTTTCTAATTATTTAAATTTGAGAATATTTGCAAACAAAAAGTTTTTCACTTGCATCTGCACTAATGGAACTTATCTTTCCAGTTACGGCAGACACCTTCTTAGTGGAGGGTAGCAAGCAGGAGCACCAGCTGAGTCAGCTCATTCCCAGCACCACCTACTCACTTGCCCTTTATGCCACCAAGGGTCCTCTCACCAGTGGCACTGTCATCGCCAACTTTGTCACACGTAAGTGCAACATCTCTCTGCCCTGTGTTCTAATTAAAGACTAGAGGAGGTCGAGACCACACAGATATTTTTATATAGCATGTTAAAATTGTCACTTTTTAAAGAGTGAGCAAAAACGCACCGTTTTTGTGTCTGTCCCTTTAAATGCAAATGAGCTGCTGCTCCCGGCACAGAGGGCGGAGCTTCTAGAGCTCATGTGTTAGCATCTCTGATTACATCCTGCAGACATGCACTGAAAATTTCAAAAACTTTTAGCTTTTTATGTTCAAACCGGAGTCAGACAAAGATGGAGAGACTCAAGAAGTGACAACATGTAGAATGCAACAGGACATTTCTGAATGGTTAGTCGATGAATTTATGTATCTTATGTGTAGTTATCTTCTAGTCATTGATTAGCATATTCTGTCATGATAATCTATAAATCTCGTTCCTGGGGGCGGGGTTTATGTCAATTTTAGGGTTTGTGATGTCACTAACTCGGGAGGAAGCTTGTGTAGTCCCTTCCAGCGGTTTGTTGTAGTCCTTAAAAAGCAATTTCTTTAAAAGAAAATATCTCCCTTTGACCGTTGTAACTTTGCAGATGTTGTTTATGCTCAAACAGCAACATTACACACTAACTAAAGTTACAAAAGTGAAATCATAATCAACCACCCCTTTAAATAAAACACTGGAGGACAAGACACAATATCTTTCAAAGGTCAGACTGCAGTGTTCTGCTGGATTTTTCTACTTTGATTATAGATTACTTTTCACTGTTATTATTGTACATATATAATACTACCATTGTTTTTTTTTGAAGGAAATGAATACTTTTATTAAGCAAGGACACATTAAATTGATCAAAAGTAGCAGTAACAAAATTTATCATGTAACAAAAATATATATATTTCAAATAAATGCTATTCATCAAAGAATCCTGTAAAAAATGTATCACAGTCTCCACAAAAATATTAAGTGGCACAACTGTTTTCAACATTGATAATTGTAAGAAATGTCTTCAATGTGACACTGAAGACTGGAGTAATGATGCTGAAAATTAATCATAGAAATTACATGTATATAAAATGTATTTTAAATTGTAATAATATTTCACAATGTTACTGTTTTTACTGCTTTTGATAAACCCTTGGTGAGCAGACGTATTTCAAGAAAATGTTAACATTTTATTGACCCCAAACTTTTTGAACGGTAGTGTTGCTTATACTGCCATGCACAGACTTGGAGGGGTAGCTGTAAAATAATGTAATATTTATTTACATTACTGTAAATAAACTCAAAAGCTTAGATATAATTTGGAATGGATTGACAGGACAAGTCAATAGTATTTTCTTTTTATTTTAGTGCCATGTTTCTCAATCCTGCTGCTGATGGCCCACATTTTAGGTGTCTCAGTAACCTGATGTACCCTTACAATGTCTTCAGGTCATGGAGCACTGTACTAATGAGCTGATGGGTTGAATCAGACATCCAAATTGTGCTGAGATGAGCAGGATTGAGAAACACTGGTTTAATGGAAGTTAAAGTTGCTGACTTCATTTTAGTATTATCTACAGCTTTTTATACACCGTCCCAGTGTACTCTAATTTGATTGGACAACCAGCATCCCAATAGTGCTGATATTTAACCTATGGTTACGCATTACCTGCAGTCAAATCACAGCTGTGAAGACACTAAGTAAAACAGCACTCATGCTTAAATATCCAATAGACAGCTGAAAGATGAAGCACTTCTCTAATTATACTATCATCCTCTTTTAGTTTAGCAGAGATGTGAAGCAGAAACAAGGCCGTTATTTTTGGGTTATCTTTGTAGTTCGTGTAACAAAATACTGAAGTCAGCAAAGCTCCAATTCCCATGTGAGAACAGAGAGGAGATCAGCATCACTACCCGTCTTTCCTCACAGTGAGGTTGTTCGCGGAGAGAGGCGAGCTGTCTTTCCCACACAGAAGACTGAACTAGAACAAGCAGTGATTTCATTTCAAGCTGCTTTATTCTGCATTGAAACTTTCAGCTCATCTATTAAAGGGGGTAGTTGGGCCGAGCCACTTTCAGATGCATTAGACCTCAACTTTAATCAAGCGGCCCTCCCAGAATACTTCATTAGTTTGGATTGTTTAGAGGAAATTAATTTGCACATAAAAGTGTCACAGGCCATTGGCTTTGCAACCCCAGTGCCAGCTCAGTGACGTGCAGAATCTTGACACAAAATCGCTTGATGAGGTTTGTGGTGTTCATTTGCCTCCAATACTTAATGACAATTTAATTCAGAAACATTTCTGCTCTAATAACAGTGGATTTAGATCCTGCCATGCTCTGATAAAAATGTAACAATGTTTCATTGCCTGCAATGCCTGAAAAAACTTAGCTGAAATTACCATCCTGCGGTATTTAAGAATCTGCCCGCTCCCACCCTGAGGGAGGTGAAGCGTCATAGATGCATCATTTTGGCATTTATGAGGAGGCTTATGGAAGCTTAAGGGGATAATTAAGATGACAACAACTAACACATTTCATGCCCATTTCAGGATTAGTGCTGTCTGTCATTTTGATTTAAATTACAGTTCTAAATTCATTGTTAAAGAGATTAAGGTGAGGACAGGAATATGAATGTGTTCCTCAGATATACATACAAGCATATCTCTCCATTTCTCCATTTCGGTAGCATTTCAATCTCCATAGGTGCACTTTGTTAGTAATGGGAAATCAAGAGTAGAATGCTGTTCAAATGTTTTGTTTGGTAAGATTTTTTTTTTTTTTTTTTTTTTTTTTAAGAATTATGCTCATTAAGGCTGCATTTATTTGACCAAAATTACAATAAAAACAGTGTAAAGGATACATCATGCAGATACACTGGGACACATCATCAGTGATGTATCCTGGGGTCATTGGGTGTTTCGGGTCTTTCAACATCAGACACCCTCGCCCAGGGGACCCGGCCGGAGTTGATCAGACCGCGGCCTGTGTCCCAGCTGCAATTGCCCATGGTTCTGCCCTCTTAATCCAAAGCCCCCTTGTGGCTTTCTCTGCAGCTTTGGTTGCGGATCTAATCGCCTTTCTCTTAGCTTCCCCTGTGATGCCTAGGATTTTAAACACGTTGCAGAGTGATCGCCCTGCAAATCCTCTGCAGCCCACCTCCAGAGGCTCACAACTGGTTTGCCAGCCCTGCCTCCTACACTCTTCAACTAGCTCCTGGTACTTGACGCGCTTTCTCTCATTGGCGTCGTCCATGCGCTTTTCCCAAGGCACAGTGAGCTCCAATAAGATCAATTGCTTGGTAATATCTGAAACAATATTCATGTCTGGACGAAGCCTTGTGGATATTATTCTGGTTGGGATCTTTAGCTGTTTACCAAGATCTACTTCCAGTTGCCAATCAGTGGCAGTAGTGAGGAGGCCAGACTTTGCTCTGGGTTGTGGAAGGGCTTTCTCTCCGACTCTGAGAAACTTGATGGTCCTTGATTTGTGGTGGCCCTTGATGGTATTAATGGCTGTGGCTATGCTCTCAGCAACTGCCTTAAGCACCTGGTAATGGCGCCAGGGATAGCGCCCATCTCCAAGGGCTTTTGGACAGCTACTAAGAAGATGCCTAGGGATCCCCTTCCTGGACAAAAGGGACAGGAAGGTGTCTCAATTTTGCCCCTGATGTGGAGGTTTGCTGGACTTGGTAGGACGTCATAGACAGTTTGGAACCTGATACGATGGAAGTCTCCTTTTTAGATGTCGGCCCAGGTGATCTTACGTTGCCGAACATTTTCCCATTTAGTCCAAGCTCCTTGCTGTCCCATTCCCACCATCCTGCTAGCTCTGACTTCCTCCACGCCTGCCCACACTTCCTCCTGAACAAGGTGTTGACGCTCTTTACCTTGAGCATTGTCAACTCTTGTTACCGGGAAGTAGCCAAAGCCTGCACGCCCTGTTGCTATGGGCCCCACCAGTGCCTTTTGCCTCAGCCGTGACTCAGCCACCTCCAGCGATTTTCCTGCACTCCATTTCCTGCCTGTTCACACCTGTATGCCAGCTGCTTCCACCTTTGGATCCCTGGACCCTCTATACTGCCATGCTTCCTGTGTTCTTGACACCATGAACTCCTCAGAAAGGCTGTTAATTGGGATTTGCAGGACATTGCTGGTGCCGTACAAAGCAGCACTGCTCAGACTGCGAGGTAACCCAAGCCATCTACGCAGATAGCTGCTGATCTTTCTCTCCAGGGCCTCTACAGTTGTTATGGGCACTTCGTACATCAGCAGGGGCCACAAGATCTGAGGCAGGATAGAATGCTGGTAAATCCAGGCCTTGAACTTCCCAGGTAGACCTGATTTGTCCACCCTGCCAAGACTCAAGCTCTTTGCTGGTTTTCTGGATGGAGGCAGAATCTTTGAGGCTACAGTCAAAGAGCTTGCCGAGGCTCTTGACTGGCTTCTCAGTAATGGACTAATGAAAGCTCATTAAGGCTGCATTTATTTGACCAAAATTACAGTAAAAACAGCAATATTATTTAAAAAAAAAATATATATATATATATATATATATTAGGGCTGTCAGTTAAACGCGTTATTAACAACGTTAACGCAAACCTATTTTAACGGCGTTAATTTTTTATTGCGCGATTAACGGTCTTTTTGGCCTAGCAAACTTTGTAGTTTTATTCACATGCTTTTGCAACAGGACGCGGCATGCGCGGCGCTGTGCTATGAAACCCATTTATTTCAATGGCTTGCGCCACGCGAGGACATTTTGTTGCTTCGTCGACCAAAGCGCAAGCGGATCTAGCTAGACCGGAAACAAAACAACAGGCACGCCACACACACTTGTTTAGGCTTGCGAGCCGGCCAAATTTGGTTAACGTTACGTTTTGAGTGGATGACGAGCGCGAGACGCCGAAATGGATGCCAATAAGATTCTGAATGGAAAGTTTACTTTTAAAAAGTTGCCAAATGGTTCCATTGAAAAGACCAAAGTGATCTGTGTGTTTTGTCGTTGTGAACTGAGCTATCATCATCGCAGCACGTCCAGTCTGAAATACCACTTGATGATGGCACACACACACAGACAATGCGAATTCTCCGCCCCCTCGTCAATATCAGGACCTCGTCAGTATTTCTTTCACCCTTTTATTGATGGACAGTGTTACGTTGTGCGAGAGATTATTTGCTCCAAGTGAGAATGTTAGAGTGAATTTGAACACAGTATATGCCAATGTTGTTTTCAATAAAAATCATTTGCACAAAGTAAGCCGATCCACTTTTCCATGTTGATAAGAACATTAAAATGAGAAAAAATAATGGGACAAAAAGAAATCAAGAGACATTTAGAATAGATAAAAATGTGCGATTAATTGCGATTAATCACGAGTTAACTGCGACATTAATGTGATTAATCGCGATTAAATATTTTAATCGTTTGACAGCACTAATATATATATATATATATATATTTGTATATTTTCAAATGTAATTTATTCCTGTAATTTTCAGTAGCCATTACTCCAGTCTTCAGTGTCACGTGATCCTTCGTAAATCATTCCAAAATGCTGATTCGGTGCTCAAGAAATGTTTCTTATTACCTATGAAAACAGTTATTAATTTTTTTTTCATCAGGATTTTTTGGTGAGTAGAATGTTAACTGTCTTTACTGTCACTTTGATAATATAGTATTATCTCAAAGGGACAGTAAAGACAGTTGACATTCTTATTACAGTCTTCATCTTATTACAGACTTCATTACAATGGAATACACATCTACCCCATATAATTACGCATCTGAAACCGACCTCTGCCATCCAACACTTTCTAACCTCTTACAACTATGAATCCTTTCTCTCCTCTCAACTCCGACTCCTCCCATCTTTTTAATCAACCCACGGATATTACTGCATTTTTTTTATTTTTGTCATCATTGTCATTATTATCATTACTGTTACTGTTATGATTACTATTTTCATTTTAATTATTGTTGTAATTGCTGTTGTTATTGTCGTTGCTCTCATCATTGCTATCACCGTTGCTATTATCATTATCATCATTATCATTTTTATAATTATTATTATTATTGTTAGTGCTGTTTTGGAATTACTAACCTGGTGTTTATTGTTATCACTACTGCTATGGTTAAATCAATTGATTATTTCCAATTCCCCCCTAATCTTTTCATGTGTTTTTAATGCACCACAACGTAGAATAGAAAAAAAAAGTATATATGTGTATATACACTCACCTAAAGGATTATTAGGAACACCATACCAATACTGTGTTTGACCGTCTTTCGCCTTCAGAACTGCCTTAATTCTACATGGCATTGATTCAACAAGGTGGTGAAAGCATTCTTTAGAAATGTTGGCCCATATTGAAAGGATAGCATCTTGCAGTTGATGGAGATTTGTGGGATGCACATCCAGGGCACGAAGCTCCCGTTCCACCACATCCCAAAGATGCTCTATTGGGTTGAGATCTGGTGACTGTGGGGGCCATTTTAGTACAGTGAACTTATTGTCATGTTCAAGAAACCAATTTGAAATGATTCGAGCTTTGTGACATGGTGCATTATCCTGCTGGAAGTAGCCATCAGAGGATGGGTACATCCTGGCCATAATGGGATGGACATGGTCAAAAACAATGCTGGTAGGCCGTAGCATGTAAACGATGCCCAATTGGCACTAAGGGGCCTAAAGTGTGCCAAGAAAACATCCCCCACACCATTACACCACCACCACCAGCCTGCACAGTGGTAACAAGGCATAATGGATCCATGTTCTCATTCTGTTTACGTCAAATTCTGACTCTACCATCTGAATGTCTCAACAGAAATCAAGACATTCAGATGACATTCATTTTTCCAGTCTTCAACTGTCCAATTTTGGTGAGCTCTTGCAAATTGTAGGCTCTTTTTCCTATTTGTAGTGGAGATGAGTGGTACCCGGTGGGGTCTTCTGCTGTTGTAGCCCATCCGCCTCAAGGTTGTGCGTGTTGTGGCTTCACAAATGCTTTGCTGCATACCTCGGTTGTAACGAGTGGTTATTTCAGTCAAAGTTGCTCTTCTATCAGCTTGAATCAGTCGGCCCATTCTCCTCTGACCTCTAGCATCAACAAGGCATTTTCGCCCACAGGACTGCCGCATACTGGATGTTTTTCCCTTTTCACACCAATCTTTGTAAACCCTAGAAATGGTTGTGCGTGAAAATCTCAGTAACTGAGCAGATTGTGAAATACTCAGACCGGCCCGTCTGGCACCAACAACCATGCCACGCTCAAAATTGCTTAAATCACCTTTCTTTCCCATTCTGACATTCAGTTTGGAGTTCAGGAGATTGTCTTGACCAGGACCACACCCCTAAATGCATTGAAGCAACTGCCATGTGATTGGTTGATTAGATAATTGCATTAATGAGAAATTGAACAGGTGTTCCTAATAATCCTTTAGGTGAGTGTATATATATGTATATATACATTGAAAAACTTCATAAACACTTAGGCAGGCAAGACAGGCGAGAAGTGGTTTCCATGGGACAGCATCTCTGTCCCAAGTTGAGACACTCTCACACTATACACCTTCTTTTAATGCACCTTAGACACTACACATAACATAAAAAAAAAAAAAAAAAACTTGGAGAAAATAGGGACTGAAGAGATGTGGGGAGGGTTATCTTTTATTATCTTATTATAGTATCTTTTATTTTTGGAGAGTGCTGACAATGGTAATTGTTACATAGGAGAAAAGATGGACATAAGAATAAAAATAAAAATTTACTAATACAATGTTGGCAGTATGATGGTAGTGAGGAGTGGTGGTGGTGATGGTAATGATGATGGTAATAAATAATAAATGGTTACTTTGCTTATGCATACACACACATACACACACTCTCACCCACCCACACACACCTATACATTTATACACTTTTATTTCACTTCTGGAATTATGGAATTACTAGATTGTTCGTTACTGCACTATTTTGGTCTGTATGTCTGTCTGTTAAATAAAATAAAAAAATAAAAATAAAAAAACATTCTATTCAACAAAAAATCCTGACAGAAACGTAACATTGCAAGTAAGCTTGTACATTTTACAAAAAATATTCCATGTTGAATTTGTCATATTTTATTAATTAGTCAGCCACCAAGAAAAACGGTAAAAAAAACAGTTCAATAAACAAAACAGCTCAAGGTATTTGATATATATAATACTGGCTCTCACGGCATACATATGTTTGTGTGTAAAACCAGAATGACTTTTGATATATTTAACTAATGGTATGTTCTGATATGTCTTTCCATGCCTCCGTAACTCTGTGATAGTTTCTTATTAAAATGTTTGGTAACACTTTATTTTAAGGTGATGTAGTTACACGTTACTACATGTACTTACTATAGTAGTAACAGTAAATTATGCATAATTACAAATAACTAACCTTAAACCAAACCCTAACCGTAACTCTATAGTACGTACATGTGGTTAATTAATATTACTCAGTACTTGAGTAAGTATAATGTAACTACGTCACCTTAAAATAAAGTGTAACCAAGTGTTGTCTTGTCTGCAAGTGCAACAAATCATTTCATATCTAGGACATTTCATACCTTTAGTTCCAGAGAATGAGAGGTAGGATTGGAGAAGGAGAGCTGTACTTTTTAACGCCCTGAAAAACAATAATACATCAATTTTTTCTGCACATAGACAGCAGATGGCTTTTGAAGACATGCAAAAGAAGCATCAGCATTTGTAGTATGAAAGGAAAGTGTGAGTATGTGTTCAGCTTGTGTACCTGTGCTCTGCTGGAGGGAGAGTGGCATGTTGACTGATAAGAGATCACGTTGAGAGACAGGACGCCGGTGAACACACACTAATTGTCTTCCCTCTGAAGTGGATCTGTCAGTGTGCCTGAAACCCATACTACACACGCAACCATGTGATTTATTTTGTCCTCAGGCAAGCGAGCATCTTACATGCCTCCAGCGGGTGTGCTGACACAGCTCCAAACATACACACTGATACATAGACAAAGCATCTGATAGTGAAAAATCAGCTGAATGTCAGGTGGGGGATGGTCATTTTAAACATGCTCTGTTAGTGTAGCTTGTTGTTTTAAACCAAGCAGGTCTAAAATATCTGTAGAAAATCCATTAGAATTCCCATTCAGCTCAGTAGCATTTGCTTGGCATTAGACCTCTGTGAAATCTGCCGTGTTTGCCCATGATTTCTGAAGCCATGTTGTTTTGAGCCAATCACTGCTGCCATAAATGCCATGTGACCAAGTACTATTGGGAGCTGCAGGAAAATTCTGACAAAAAATATATATATTTTAAAGCCTCCAAAACAAATGGAAGACTTCCAAATCAAATGTTGCTTGTAAATTTTTATATTGTCTGAATACATGAATATTTTTGAATGCAGTTTGAGGTAGGTAAGATTTTTTTTGAACAAAAATAACAACAACAACACTGGTCAAAAGTGACAACAAAGACATTTATAATGTTACAAAGGATATCTATTTCAAGTAGAACTTTATATTCATCAGAGAATCCTGAAAAAAACATGTATCATGGTTTTCACAAAAATGTTAAGTACCACAACAGTTTTCAGCATTTTTAATTATAAGAAATGTTTATTGAGTAGCAAATCAGCATATTATAATAATTTCTGAAGGTTTATGTGACTCTGAAGACTGGAGTCAAGACTGAAAATGGTGAAACACATGGAAAACTAATGTATGTCATAGTTTATTATATACATAGTCACCCCCAAGAAAAACACATAAAAACAGCTAAAAAAGAAACAAAAACATAGATTTGCGCCGTTCAAACATAGTCCATACAAGTAAATATTATCTGACCAAATAAAGTTACTGGGTTTTACAATCAAAGTGTCCAGTAGATGCCAGTGTAATGTTGCTTGTCAAATTTGGTAATGAGACTTTACTCTAACAGATGTGTTTTGTCTATAAATTGCTTTTGCTCTTTGATCTCTGTTTAAACAGCCATGGATGCGCCCCAGAACCTGACAGCTAGTGAGATTAACCATCGAAGTGCCCTCATATCCTGGCGACCGCCCATCGCGGACATCGATAACTACATGCTGACCTACAAAGCAGCGGACGGTAGTCGAAAGGCAAGCATAATGTGGACTTTAGCTTGAGTGACAAATACAGATATAAAGTAATGCAATGTGTAACACAAATTTAGAAAACAAAAATAGGAAATAAAAATGCATGAATTATAGTGTGAACATTTTATTGGTGGTTTTGATATTTTGCTGTTCACATTTCTGTGCTCATTGCATTTCAGATTTGAACTGTAGTTGATGTACAGCTTGATTTTATAAAAACTTAACGATCTAACATAAGCTAAATTCCGCAGAGATCAGCCATCTAGGGAGCAGTTACATCTTTTAAATCTGCCTATCGGAAAAGCTCAATTTAATTAAATCATTTAACAAAGTCATTTCAAAGTCTATTAAAGACTTCCCTGAAACAATTTCTCTGAAATGAGAAAGGAGATACAGTATCTGTTTCAAAAAATTGCATTACTTTTAATGCATGATCACTGTCCTATAATGTTTTTTTGGTCATCTGTATTTAAACAGCTTGACTAGGAAATGCAATGACAAAAATGAGGTTATGGATTATAATCTTTAGATTTATGTTGTTATACACAGACGCGCACACAATCAATGCAACAGAACACTCTGACCTAGTAGCCAACTGTTAGTGTTTGAATCCGTCCAGTGGGTGTCAGTGGTGCACAGAGGATTTAAACCCTGCTGGTGCATCTTAGACATAAAGGATTTATCTTTCCATTAGAGCCAGGTTGGCAATAACAGACAATATGGGAATTGCCAAAAATAATAATACAGTGTAGTCTACATCCACTATGTGTTGCCTCAGCCTATATTTCAGATTCAGGATTGTGAAGGAATCAAAATGAGAACATAAAAATGTTCTAATACAATTACCTGCTCAATATCCTCTGCATACTAACATTAATGCAACTTCATTAAAACACCGCTGTGTTGCATAATTCACATTACACATTGATCAAAAGGAAAAGGATAAATATGGAATCAAATGTTGTTTCAAAGGCGTTTGGCATGTCCATCCAGGTCCTCGGTAAATCCTCTGAGTAAAAGTTCTGAAAAGGCACAAAAAAATGTGTGGCACATTAGTTTGATAGAAGTGAATTTTTTAAAAAAACAAAAGAGGGGAAGTGAACTGTCATGAGCTAAAAACCAAAATAGAAACGCTGTTTCTCCCCAGCAGCACCAGTGCCTGATAAGCCTCTTCCTCCCCATCAAGGGCTTTAGAGCTGCCAATCATATGGAAGAAAACACTGGGAGGAAATGCATTGTATGAAAAGCACCCAACAGTAAGCAGCTTCAGATCACAACAATTTGTCAGGCAGTTCTTAAAGTGATTGTGATCTGTCTTCTGTTTGTTTATGAGGAATATCTTTCCTACCCACAATGCTAAGAGCTGCTGTTCTTTGTACTATCTCTAGGCATGTTTTCCACAAAACTGTTCTGCCGCCTAGCAGTTCTTTGTTTAGTTTTGGTCTACAGTGTTTGAACAGAGGTAATGTACTAATGCCTCGGCGTGCCTACGGATCAGTAGACTGTGTTTGATTGTGTTTTAGGAGCTGATCTTAGATGCCGAAGACACATGGATTCGTCTTGAGGGGCTGGCGGAGACCACCGAATACACTGTGAGACTCCAAGCCGCCAGAGGATTAGAAACCAGCGCCATTGTTTCTACTTCTTTTACAACAGGTGCAAATCTTCCACATCTCCTGTAAACTTCGGGTTCGATCGGGTTCGTTCACCTCATTAGGTACAAATGCACACTATTGCCCAATCAACGTCATCAAGTACAAATCAGTAGCGACACATTCAGTGCATCTGTTCACATCTTGCTTCACCCTCATTTATTGCCTTGTGTTTCTGTGACTTTACAAGCACCCGACTTCCAAAGATAGCATTTCATAACGTCTCAGGCAGTAATCAACAAATTTACACTTCATCTGATTAACCTCGCAGTGACCCTTCGCTTTCTTTTGCTCTGTTGTTTTGGATGTTTCTCAACCCTTTTCCTCCTCAGGAAACCGATTGTTTCCCACGCCACAGAACTGTGCGCAACACCTCCTGAACGGAGAGAACCTGAGCGCAATCTACACCATCTACATCAACAGAGACCTCAGCCAAGGTGTGCAGGTTTACTGCGACATGACCACCGACGGAGGCGGCTGGATTGTGAGTGAGAGATCTGACTATGACATCTGAACCCTGTCTGTATTGTCTATATGTTTGGCACAATGTATGATTTACACAAAATCCCACAGTGCCATATTATAGGATTGGCCCCTGTTGAAAAGACCAGCTTAGACCAGCATTTTTGTTTTTCAGACTGGTTTGTGCTGGAGTATCCAGTGTAGCCATACTGTTCAAACGCAAACTTAGCTAGATGAAACATGTGTTTTAGGTTTACCAACCAAATCTTAATGGTTAAGCTAGTTGAGAACTTGGTGTCAACACCAGTACATATATATCCAGAGTCCAAAATATCTGTCTGGCAGTTAAATTGAGAAAATGTATTGCCCAGAAAAATGTATTACTGGCCACACACACACACACACACACACACACACACACACACACACACACACACACACACACACACACACACACACATACACATGCACATACATACACTGAACCAAATTATAAACGCAACACTTTTGTTTTTGCCCCCATTTTTCATTAGCTGAACTAATTCTTTTTCTATGTACACAAAAGGCCTATTTCTCTCAAATATTGTTCACAAATCTGTCTAAATCTGTGTTAGTGAGCACTTCTCCTTTGCCGAGATAATCCATCCACATCACAGGTGTGGCATATCAAGATGCTGATTAGACAGCATGATTATTGCACAGGTGTGCCTTAGGCTGGCCACAATAAAATGCAACTCTAAAATGTGCAGTTCTCTTACGAGAGGTTCTCTCGTATTGCGTAAGCTAGCTTACGCTACGGGTAAAGTCATATTTTCTCGAGATATGAAGCCAAAAAATGATCCTTAATTTTGTATTTATTGTCAACGCAGTGCAGCAGCTAGCAGACCTAGAGCAGGCTGTCTAGCGTGCTCATTGGCTGCTCCGCGGCAACTGCAGCAGCCTACCACTGAGCCTGGCGTGACGTCGCGCCCTTTACGCGTCACAGCCCGCCAGAATGGGTGTGGCTTAGCATATAAAAGCACGGCTCGGAGGCTGCTTCGCTGATTTTTCATCTCTTCAGCGAAGCTCTACGCATCGCTGGATCCTGAGAGAAGCCGTCGCCGTAGAATCCAGCGACCAGCAAGTAGAGGAAAGCGTCTGAAGAAGCCGGTCGTCTTCGCCGCCTTCAGCCATCCGTGCCTGCTACGCTATCCGGCGACAATATCCTTTTGCTCTGCTGTGCGTGTTCGCCGCTGCGACACACACTTCATAAACTAAAAGAGCGCGAGACGTTTATCAAAACGCCTCGCATTTCCTGTGGCTCGTCCGAGCCCCGCTTAGCGCCGGAGACCGCCATTGATTGCGCTTTCTGCCTGGGCCCAATCATGCAGCCCTCGCTCTTTCGCGGGCGGCTGCGTCCACTGCGAAGAGTTGTCGATGTCGACCCTGCGGGCTCGACTCGACCTCTTCAAGTGCTGAAGCTGTCACTCCTCCCTCTGCTGGACCACGCAAAAGTAGCGCCATGTAGCTGCCGGAGCCTCACGTGGCATTCAAGCGCTCGCCGGCTCAACTCCCTCGAGCGCCTCTCTCTCCTTCTCGCCTCAGGGGACGAGGCGCTTGATATGGATGAGGTCGCCGCCGCTGACAGCTGTTCTAACCGCTGCTAGCTTTCTTTACGTTACAAGAAAGCTACCCCACGCGCATGCGTTACTCACCGGCGAAAAGGGGAAAGAGAGTGGTTTAGTCCCATCGAGGCCGGACAAACCCCCATTTTCCAAAGATTTCTCAGCTCCTCCGAGTTCGAGCGGCTGGAAATGTCAATGTTGCAGCAATGAGCCTGTTATATAACATGCACGCCTGCTACAATCACGCTTATGTTGTTTCCCCCTGTGGCTCAGTGGTGAAATCCAAGGCTTTCGCGCCAGAGACCCATGTTCGAATTCTGCTCGGGCAGCAAATAAAATTTACGCGGCTCTCCTCTCTGAGCGCGCGGCCAGCTTTCTTACGTACAGAAAGCGAACGCGCCCTCGCCCCCTCCCGTTCATATGGCGGGCTCGAGTATTTATGAGTGTCTCAAACATATGAGCCTACGCCGGCCCGCCCCGCGTGACTCACTCTAACATTGAGACACCCTCGCCAGAGACTCGAGTAAAACTCAAAAACATTTCTCAGCTCCTCCGAGTTTGAGTGGCTGGAAATGTCAATATTGCAGCAATGAGCCTGTTATATAACATGCACGCCTGCAAACAAAAGCCGACACAACACTGTGATGACGCTCTCTCTCCTCTCTGAGCTCGCGCCAGCTTTCTTACGTTCAGAAAGTGAACGCGCCCTCGCGCCCTCCCGTTTATATGGTGGGGCTCAAGTATTTATGAATGTCTCAAACATATGAGCCCACGCCGGCACGCCCCGCGTGACTCACTCTAACACTGAGACATCCGCGCCAGAGACTCGAGTTCGAATCTTGGCTGCCCTGAAACCTTTTTTACCAAATTGAAGAGCTCATGCCGGCCCGCCCCTCGTGACTCACTCTCTTTGGCAGCGTCCGAAGACGGGATTGGTCGGGCTCGACCTGACCCCACACAGAGCACACTCTCATAAAGCCGGCAAAATAAAGCCTCTCCAACGCTGGTTGAACGCTCGGGTGCCTCACCGAGCCTGGGCTTTAGGCCAATTCCGGTGAGGAGAGGTCTCCTCTCTCAAGCCCGCGGCTCAATCTGGCATCCCCATCCAGAGCGCTGGTCTCTGCACGTATGGTTGACCAACGGATACCCGTTATCCTGCCAGAAGGAGTTATGAACACGATCACGCAGTCGAGAGCTCCCTCTACGAGATGGCTCTACGCGTCTAAATGGTCTGTGTTCTCCAAATGGTGCACCGACAAGCAACTGGACCTAGGTCTTAGAGGCCCTGAAAACATGTCCCCTGGAACCGTTAGATTCTGTGGATCTAAAATACCTATCGTTCAAAACCGTTTTTCTGATGGCACTGTCATCAGTCAAAAGTATGGGGGACTTACACGCGCTCTCGGTTAGCGCTGCGTGTCTCGAGTTTGGGCCAAATGACTCTAAAGTCATCCTCAAACCAAGGCATGGCTATGTCCCGAAGGTGATTGGCACTCCCTTCAGAGCGCAGGTCATTTCTCTATCGGCTCTGCCTGCATCCGATAGCGAAAACGATATTAACCTCCTCTGCCCCGTCAGAGCACTGAGGGTTTACATTGCGCGCCTTCAGGCGTTCGGAGCAGCTTTTTGTTTCGTTTGGTGGGCGCACCAAAGGTCTCGCCGCCTCGAAACAGAGCCTGTCCAGATGGAAAGTGGACGCCATTGTAACTGCTTACGCGTCAAAAAGTCTGCAATGCTCTCTGGGCATCAGGGCACATTCCACCAGAGGCATAACCTCATCGTGGGCGTGGTCCAGCGGAATTTCTATTCATGACATCTGTACGGCGACAGGCTGGGCCTCTCCATCTACATTTGTGAGGTTTTATAACCTAGAAGTTCCCGCCTTGCAGGCTAAACTCTTGTCAGTCTAATAATGTGTATGTTCTACCCGTGTCTGCAGCGCACAGGCTAATATCACGTGACTAAGCTCTACTGGTTGAGCTGCACTATAATGGGCCGTTATGCCAGACCGGCTACGCTGCTCTGCATTTCCCATAGGGTGCTTATATACATGTGTCGGCCCGCTATGCTGGCCGCCTGTTTTCCCACTTATCTTTGTTCCCCGGGACTCCCGGGGACTCATGGAGTGTTGCGAGTGGAAACGCCTTTGGAGACGGCTTATGGTAGAGAAATGAGCAGTCAATTCACGGCAACAGCTCTGGTGGACATTCCTGCAGTCAGCATGCCAATTGCACGCTCCCTCAAAACTTGCAACATCTGTGGCATTGTGCTGTGTGATAAAACTGTACATTTTAGAGTGGCCTTTTATTGTGGCCAGCCTAAGGCACACCTGTGCAATAATCATGCTGTCTAATCAGCATCTTGATATGCCACATGTGAGGTGGATGGATTATCTCGGCAGAGGAGAAGTGCTCACTAACACAGATTTAGACAGATTTGTGAACAATATTTGAGAGAAATAGGCCTTTTGTGTACATAGAAAAAGTCTTAGATCTTTGAGTTCAGCTCATGAAAAATGGGGGCAAAAACAAAAGTGTTGCGTTTATAATTTTGTTCAGTGTATATATAAAACATTGAAGTTTTTCATTATATTAAAAAAATATATTTTTGGTACTATGACTGATTATTTAGCCATTTCTAATTTTATTTTTAAATATTTTTTTATTATTTACATATTTTATTATCATGTACAAGATCATATTATTATTATTATTATTATTATTATCACACAAAAAATGAGCCAATGTCTGCCACTCATTAAAAGCACAGAGGTCTGGAGAAAACATATTTCTGATAATGCATTTTTCTACTGAAGGAAAAAATTGGGTGTTTCTTTATTAGACATACATACACCACTTACATCAGCAAAGGCCAGACTATCGATTTTACAATTCAACTTGAACCATAAAGTTAGCGGCCAATTGGCAAATAACTATATAATTGCCTTTGGCGCATAACAAGTGTAAATTTTGAGCCTTATCTGTATCCCACACCAGAGACCAGTGTTTAAAACACAACATATGCTGGTGATTGCACATTCTGGTCTTTTCAGTAGGGTCATTGACACAGCTGCTTCTATTGCAGATGCCATCATCCCAAAGTAAAATTACTGTTGGGATAAATTGCCATTCATGTGCTCCATATTGCCCTAAACGCATTATATTTAATTGGCTTAGAGTGTTGTGTGACTGCTGTACCTCTGCTGATTGTGTTTCAGGTGTTCCAGCGACGTCAGAACGGTTTGACTGATTTCTCCAGGAAGTGGAGTGACTACAAGATCGGCTTTGGCAACCTGGAGGATGAATTCTGGCTCGGTGAGAAGACGTGAAATACACTTGAATTATGGACAGAGCGGTTAGAGCTGTCTGGAAAAAAAGCTGCTACGTAATGACTCATTAAAAATATGGTCATTTTAGGCCCCATTAAACTCTTCAGGCAGATCTAAATTTGGTCAGCACTTTCTGGCAAATGTATGAGTTTTATTTAAGCATCAATCCCTTTAAATGTAACTCAGTGAGGAGTGCTCTTGACTAGCAATTAGATGGTTTCTTCATTTAAATTAATTAAAGGCATTTTGGGAAACCATCTAGCTTTACCTTAGTACTTAACCGTAACTTGCTCCAGGGACACGGTATGTCTTTCCTATTTACTTGCATTATACGGAGCACACTTTCAAATGAGAGACAGTGTAGTGATGCTCTGAATAAAGATGAAAATAACACAAAGTCTTCTAGCTCTGTGAGAGGCTGCATCAAAGCACCATCCTTCGAAATTCTCCATGTTGTCCTCCTGCATTCAGTATCTAGTGTTTGTATCGGCTCTGTGCTTCAGGGCCCCTCAGTCTGTTACTGGTGACTCTCAGCTTTCAGATTCTGTTTAAATGATCCCGTAATTATTTTCATCAAAATCCAATTTGATGGAAAACAATAGAGCCCATTTTCCTTGTTATCCCTTATGCATAAATCTTATTAGAAAGCTATAATTATATTCATTAAAATTCAGGGAAAAAATAGCATTTGTGCACAGCATGAATTTCAGAGCATTGTCTCAATTACAGATAAAAAGTAAACATTACAAATTATCCCTCTGCAGACATTTAGGCCTGGATAATATGTATAACTATATTTAGTGTGGAAGGAGCACATTTGAAAGATTTCAGCTCATGAGCAGAAAGTAAACACTGTTTGAAGCAGTGCTGCATTTCATTTGAAGAGCGGCGTCTTCACATACTACATGTATATACACAATAGACATTTAACACAATGAAATTGTGCCACTTTGCCACTTTGTGGCTGTTATGTTGGAGTAGACATTGCCATCATTGTGGTAAAAGCAACTGCCGTAATCACAAGTATGCTTTCTTACCAAGGTAATAATTAGCAGGGCTAGGCGGTATATTCTATGACCAGTAGATATTTTCCTATACCACTGTATAACCACAGCATGATTTAAAGACACCAAGCTGAAAACAGTCTATTCCGTGTACTGCGTCATAGATGAGTGCTTACGTTATATATATATATATACTGTATATATATATATATATATATATATATAGTTAGTTTTTCAACAGTGAGACACTCTGCTTGGTCTGGTGGAAACATGGTGTTAACTGTAGGTTGTTTGTGGTATCACAACTTTGTGTCAGCTATTTTGAGTTTTTTGCTGTTCAGCCCAGCTGTTATTTAATGTGAAGCTGTTTTTGTAATGATGAAAGACTTGTCATGTACTACACACCTTTTTTTTTGTTGCAAATACAACTAAACTGGACTACAAACACTATATGTTCATCAACCACACAACTTGGCAGATAAACTTTGCTTTCCTGCTTCATTCAAGCAAAGAAGAGAGCATGTCTGTTTTCCTGTGGTACTTGTTACTTCTCCATGGTCCCTGGGCTCTCCTTGTAATTCCTCACCTGGTCATGACAGTCAGTTACTCCTGAATGGTGTATTTAAGAAATGGGGCTGGAGTTCAACCATGCAGATAGGACAGTACTGTAGAGATATGGTGTTATGGAAGAAGGCACAAAGTAATTCAGAAAAGTAATAGACTCCGCTAGTCTGTTTGCCATTATTCCAAGACATTTGCAGTCTTCCTGAACTGAGAAAAAAAAAGGTTATTTTCTTTGCAACACATTTGAAAATTAGAATGTTTTTTTTCATTCAGGACACTGGAATGATGTTATGCATTTTCAGTTTCTGCTTGAAATAATGCTATGATAATTGGTGTACAGACTGTATTTACCTCATTAACCAGTCTGACTAACTGGTTATTTTTACTCACTAATACAGCGTCTTGTTTTTCAGTAAAAAAAAAATTAATTAATTATATTGATTCTTTCTTTTTTATTATTATGTTGATTACACCTTCGGCAAATACATTTTCCTGTTTTAAGCAAACATCTAATAAAATTTAGTGAGGTATAAATAATATAATAAAATAATATGTTTAATAATTTAAATAAATAATAGTAATAAATAATAATAAAATGTGCAGTGTGTTGTTAAAAGTGCAGTAATTGGCCCAAAATGGTGATTAAAAGTAAAATGATTCTGTAATATTCTAGATATCATGCCATGTGATGCCTGGCTGATTTTAATCAAGTAAAAACACAGTCTCTTGCTGAGATTGTACTGATTGGGTCAGTAAAAAAATGGTGTTCATGCTGCTATTTAATAAGGTTCCCCCCACCGCATTTTTTACTAATCTCATTACAACATGGCTGCCCTTAAAGATGCTTTTTGACCATGTCAGGTGATTCAGATCGTTTCCCCTCACTGTTACAGTTCATCAGCCTTCTGCTTCCTAGGTTCATTCTATGGCTTTAAATCCTGAGGTGAGTTTAAGGACTTAGTTACAGTTCAGCACATCCTTGTAGACACTCACAAAATAGATGGAGCTCTATTATCAGGAGACATCTACGCTATCAAAAAGTGATTGTGTCTTTAGCCAGACAGGACATTTCTCCACTGCACAGTCAGAAAATGTGATTATCTTCAATAAACAGACTGTTTATCTGCAGTCTTTTGCTCCTTATCTTCAGAACATATAAGAGGCAGAGAGAGTGAGATGGACCACCAAACAAGCACTGCTTTCATATGAAATTATGGGCTCTTATCAGTGTGGACCATATTTGAAGACAACATTTTCACATGTTAAGGGGCTGGAACACAGAGATGGGATGGCTGGATGGTAGATAGTGTTCTAGGTGTGTTCCTCAGAACTTTTTCTTCCATCTCTCCATGCAGGGTTGGACAGCATTCAGAAGATTGCAGCTCAAGGTCGTTACGAGCTCCGCATTGACATGAAAGACGGCCAGGAGTCTGTATATGCCAACTATGACAGGTTTTCCATTGGAGATTCCAAGAGCCTCTACAAACTGAGGATAGGAGAGTATAATGGCACTGCAGGTGTGGCCAGAGAACATCTGGGCATTCATTTGAAATACATTGAAAGGAAATAACTCGGGTTTTTTTATCCATTTAAACAACCCAAAGATGATCTCTCCAGTGTGGTTTTGGATATTTAAGCCAATCAATTGTAATTATGGTCTCTTTTTGCCCCAGGTGACTCTCTGAGCTACCACCAGAGCAGACCTTTCTCTACCAAGGACAAGGACAATGACATCGCTGTCACCAACTGTGCACTGTCCTACAAGGGAGCGTGGTGGTACAAAAACTGTCATCGGGCCAACCTTAACGGAAAATACGGAGAGTCCAGACATAGCCAGGTAGTCCTAAGCACTGGACTGAAATGTCTGCTATATCCACATAATTAGCCTAAAGGTGCGGTCACATTTACCATTGTTCTGCGAATCGTCTCAAGCGAAATCCAGTCAGTTCAATAGAAATCAACGCAATAGAGAATTTCGAGTGAGGACAAAAGATATCTGGATTTGCTGTGTTGACCAACAGAAAGCTGCTTGGTTTGAAAGTTACTTATGTGTGAGCTGTGCTTCATACATCACTACACTATTGACAATAGACAATGGGCCTTTTTTGCAGTTCGCTAATGTTACCGCACCTTTATACCTTAATGCATGCATTGTTTCCACCACCTATGGAGTAACAAGTAGACACAAACTGCCTACACATGCAAACTCTTGTTTTTACACATGCAAACAGGAATTTAGTACTTTGATTACATCTTAATTCGGGTATTTAATCTTACACCTACAGGGCCTTTGTTAGTTGTGACTCATTCTTTGTGGTTTCGTTTGCAAGGGCAAGCGCTAAAGACAGGAAACATGCAAGAGCATTTCGAAGCAAACTGAAAGCAAATAAAGCTTGCTTAGTGAGATTCACAGGCCAATGTGTAAAAATATTGTAGATCCGTCCTTGCTTAACTGTGTTGTGTCATGTCCTGTTGTCTCGCTGTCTGCTTTCATTTCAGCTTTCTCACAAGCGTTAGCGGGTTGGTGTAGCTTATAACCGATAAGGTCATATTTCCCATTGGTATCTGTGATATGTTTTCATAAAAGCAGAGGTTAACACTCTGAAAACTAATAAAGGCCTATAATATAAAACATATTCTTTTGAGAGGTGTTCTTGACTTTGTGAGGTATTTCAGTAGTAAAAACATTGAATTGCTAGAAAAAAATTGCTATTTGTACATAAATTGTAAACGTATGTTTTTGTGCTTTTGGATTGATACTGAAATGTACATTATCAACATACTGACATCTAAAAACATTTTTCTTATGTATAACTTACCTACAAATTGTACAGATCTTTGCAACTTTTCTGGCAAAACTGAAACTGGCAAAATGGTAAACTGGTTAATTGCACAATTCCATAAATTCCATAAAATGAACCTATGAATTCAGTATGGTTTCACAATATTGTATATCGGTTACTGGATATTAGATATGTTTTATAGCTGTTGGTCTGTATTTAAATGTTATGCTCATTTCCAGTATTGTTACATTTAGATTACCTTTGCCGTCATCTAACACTCATTTAAAGTTAATCTTTAAAAATAAAAATGAGTAATTTTATAACATTGTTAAATAGCAAATCTCAAAACCAATATCCATTTTCAGACTATCCATTGATGTTGTGATGCCTAATTTCACTTTTTTTCACAGATTTTTGGTGTTGTATTTTTTATTTTTATGAGTTATTGGATATAACATTCTATTCTTTGAATTTCATAAGATTCATAAAAATGTATACACTTCTTAAGTTATAAGTACATACAGTTAAAGAGTTTAAAATGCTAATACAATGTCAGTATGTTGATATTTTATGTTTAATTTTCTGTCTAATCATATGACAGTGTATCTATCCTACAGTACAAATTCTAATGAGATCGCTTTAGTTAATATAACTGTTGGTGTATTAACATTATGTGTTTGACTTCCGCAGGGTATAAACTGGTATCACTGGAAAGGCCATGAATTTTCCATCCCTTTTGTGGAGATGAAGATGAGACCTTTCAACTACCGCAGCATCAGTGGCAAGCGGAGGAGGTCCACCCATTAATCCACCGTCCTACTAGCTGTTTCTATTTTTAAACGGGGCGAGGAGGACACAAGGAGCGAAGTAACTTATTTAAATCTTTGAATGACAAAACCCCCTTGACGAATGTTGGTTGTAAACTGTAAACCTTGAGGTTCAGTGACTTTCTTATGTGTAATGCAATTAGTTCAGTTCTGGGAGAATGAAGACTAAGTTTCGGTATTGTTCAGCACGTTTACAGTGTGAGGCCTAAGGAAAGAACCTCATTAAATGAAGAAAAGAGGTCATTTCTCCCTTTGAGATAAAAGATTTTGGGGAAAAATGAATGCCCCTAAAAATGAGATGCTTCTATTTTTATAAATGATGAGAAATACCTTTAAAGAGTAACTGAATGATTTTCATGTTCATGTGACCCATCACAGTGTTAGATTTTGCATTTACTGCACCCTGAAGCCTAATTTCATCTCATATTTAAACGTATATTAACAATTGGCCATGGTACCGTTGAACACAAAATTCTATCATCATTGAAACCTCAGAAACCAAAGAACTATTCAGTATCTGAGGTCAATTCAGACTAATCTGAAACAAAAATGCTTTTCAATCAAATCATTTGTCCCATATTTTAATTTATTTTAAATTCTACTATTTTTTGCAAGGCTGATTAGTAGTAATAATGTCACATCATCCCACATCAGTGTTTTATTTAGAACATATAAGCTGTCCTGAGAGCGCTGATATGTACATATGAAGAACTCATATGGAGAATTTTTGCATAGCTCCGTCTCACACTCCATGCTTTAGAGTGTTTCAAATGTTTTTGTTCCTGTAGAATAATTGTGTTAATCTGTGTCTTTGTAAATCCTCTAGGTTAACAGCAATTCATAGTTGAGTGCAGGAGAAAGGCTGTCTGTGTTTACCACTGTAGAGAGAAGACCATCTAAAGGGTTCTTTTCATAGATGTTTCTATTCCTTTCATTCAGAGTCATTCTAAAATGGAGTTGGGCAGACACCTGCTGACAAGCAGTCAGGCTTGAGCTTTTAAGGCTTGGCATATACACAATAGGTCATAAAAGCAATGCAACTCCTAGTGCAACTTAGAACATAGTCTTTCTTCTTTAAAGTTTGGTACCTGACAAAAATATATTATTTCATTCTGTAGTTTAACATGGCCTCAATGTATTTTGTTCAGTGACTGAAAGGTTTGTGAAGGAGTGCAACCATGAGATATTTTTCTAAACCTTTCCTCATGCAGTGTAACACTTACCTCATGCAGCAAGTGATATTTCTTTTTTAGTAGCACATCGCTCTCTCATTTCTGAACTAGAGGGTGTTTTTGTCTAATTAACTCACTGAAGTTGTAATACATTGTTTTCTATTTATTCACTTTTTGAAAGTACTGAAACAACAGTAGCATAATACAGATATGCTGGAATTCAATTAAAACATTTTAAAGATCTACATTTTATTCTGCATTTCAACTTAGTGCAAAACCAAAAGCTGAAAATGATTGACTCGCTCTCATGCTGTTCCAAACTTATTTGCTTTTTTTTTTTTTTTTTTTTTTGGAACACAAAAGGAGAATTTTGAAGAATATGTGTGGGTGTCAATAACATCAAATGAAAATATTACAGTACGTGGTCCCAAACACCAAGAATTTCTTTAAATATATATTTTGAAGTCTGATTTAAAATTGCGATTCTTCTGCTTCGGTATATCTCTGCATAGATAATTCTCTTCAGGTCTCCAGCGTTCTGCTTCTCTAACAACACCTGTTTCCCATAGTCGCAGATCTCCTAATGAGCCTGTTCTGAGAGACAACACTATGATGTTTTCAAAGAGTTTCTACCCTTTTCCTATGCTTCTATTTTTTTCTTATCTTTTTGAGGGGTAAGATTAGAGAGTGTAGCAACAGCTGGGATGGGAAATAGAAAACAAGTAAATTCTTAATCAGCTCAAGCTAATTGCATTTAACACTGAAAAAGACTTACATTTTGCATGCACCAGAAGGCATCATTTTATCCATTTACTGTTCTGTGGAGAACATGGGTGGAAATATGTGCACCTTCTTGTGTTTTCTAACCGTTTTCTGCAGCAAACTAATTGTTTGTGGTTCACAGGAAGCAGCCCTTCTAGTTATTTGTGAAAGAGGAATAGAGACTTCAGCTTGTGATTGACCGCTTCTCAAGAGAGAGACAGGGGCAGATTTTCCTTCATTATTCATTGACTCAGCATATGGTGGAGACACTTCAAGTCCCCCTCCATTCTGACATGCCTCCTATCCACCAAACCACTTATGGCTCAACATTCACCATGGAAAACATGTTACACATAACACTTGGAACTCTAACTCTGTGTTATACAGGCAACCTGGTCATTTTGCCACTCTCATGTGCTTTTATTTAATTTTGAACATTAGGATATTGTAAAAATCCCCTACATTTTGTACCTAAATGAAAATGTGTTTAGCATGAACACTAATAATGTGTGCAAAAAAAATCTTTGAGGCATTTCTCCCTAACTTGCTAACCACATTGTCAGATAACCTTGGATATTATTGTAACAGATCGAATTAGCTCTAGTTTAACTTAAAATGTGCTGTATAGTTCCTTTTTTAATACATTTTCTACACATTAATAAAATATTCAAAATACAAAATCTGAGTTTGATTGTGAAGTGATTTGGGGGGGGGGGGGGGGGGGGGGGGGGGAACATTAACAAGTTTTTGTCTTTACAGAATAAAATTATAAAATAACAATCTAATGCAAAGCATTCTGGGAACCAGAAATCTTCATCAACCTTTTTCTGTTTTTTTTTAGTTTTTTTTTGTTCCCAGAATGCTTTGCATGAGGCTCTTATTTTAGTTTTATTCTGTAAAGATAAAGACTTGTTAATGTTTAATGTTCATTTAACTTTGAACAAACTGTTGCCAGGAAATAACATCAATTTAAAACTACAGTAAGTTACTGGCAAGCAGCTGCCAGTAATACTGTAATGCAGCGACTGAGTGGTGGCGCTTACCATCCGCACTTGACATTTCACTGTTGATTTTTCAGTATTTTTTCTTTTCTGCAGGTTTCATTTATATACCAGTAGGTAGAGGCAAGTTTATGAGTGAGTCATTGGATCATCCGTTCAAAACATTGATTCATGAACTGTGTTGCTCAGAAACGCGAAACTGTTTCTGCTTTGACTTCCTTTGGAATTATCATTGGTCAAGCAAAAATACACAAAGTAATGCAAAAATGTGCTTCTAAAAAGTAAGTTACTCAATATTGAACTGTGGTGAAGGTTAAATGAAGCTTTGAGAAGCACTGAGGTTTTCCTCTTAAATGTACCGTTCAAACTAGTGAAATATATAAGTCACTGTTAAAGTGACTAATTCATGTCTGTGTATTGACACTAAAATCATAATAAAAAATTAAACAAATTTATTAATAAAATATGTGATCTGTCTATTTTAACTATGTCCCAGTCGGGACTTAGCTGTTATTTCATAGTCAAATGAACATTGGGCTATATATATATATATTAGTTGTTGTTGTTGTTTTTAATAATTATAGTAAAGTAAAGAAAACAGCATTAGGATTCACTCCTTTTCAACAAGATGTGAAGCAGTCACCTGGTTCTGCAGGTGAATGAATCTTCAGATGTGCTAAAGTGCATTTTGGCAAAACGAATTAAGCTCAGATGTGGTATTACAATGTGGAAGCACTTTGGATATAATGTGTCGAAAACAACATCACTGTTGAACTGTTATAGGCTATGAATAACACACTCACAATCATGCTGTTAGTCTGAATATGCATGGCCTCTGCATAAAAAATGTATATGAATATATATGCTCCTAGGAAACGTTGAGAAGAACGGGGCCGTGTTGAGTGCAGAAAGGATACATTATCAATGGTGGTTGCTTGGTGACAGAATTTTATGTACCGTTTTTATGTGCTACTCTCCTAATGCTGCGTCACACGCTTCACAGCCATAGACACTCTTGCTAGGTGTTAATTTATGATCCAAAAATACATAAGAAATCCTTTATATGTGATTCTGTTCAGTGCTACAGCTGTAATAACCCCTTTTATCTACATAAGGCGGGTGGACAGAAGTCTTGAACTGACTTGCTGGGGCTTGTATTAAGTAGCATTAATGCTTGCCTTTTCAATGCTTTCTCTGAGGCCGCAGGTATTTACTGTGCACACTTAAAAGTGTCCTGATAATGCACTTTATAGCCCGATCAGCAACCGGAAGGGCTCTCGAAATGGTTGACCCCTCTGGCATCAGAACCTCTTCGCTCTATTATCAGAGCTCTAGGTCCCTGTATGCACCGTGCCCAGGGTGAGTCTGATGTAGGCAGAGTACACCACCCCCGAATCTTTACAAGTCACTGAACGCTGCAAACTAATCACTCCTGACACCAGAATAAGAGGCTGGGCGGCTGCCTGTAGGAGGACTCACACACACACATACGGGGGTTAAATCAGAAACCAAGTTCAAATCTCTGGAACAGCTTCAACAGAACAAGTGGAGGTATGTTCAGGGCACATGCTGTGGAGGAAACACCGGCGATCAATGTACATCTAAAGGTAAGCTTTCCTTCATGCAGTTGCAGGTGATTCCTAAACGGAAGGATAAAGAGTTTGCTAAAAGAAGTAATGTGTCTTTATTTGAAGTTTCTGCTATAAAATATTTTGATGTTGCAGGTTCATCAGTCATGCAAAGCATTAGAGCTTGTTTTAATATTAAGATACTATTACCTGTCTTTATATGTTATTTTTCAGAATAAGATTATTCAATCCTACCAGTATGTAAACGACTTTGTGGTTCGTTTAGGGTGCAATATAAATAATTGTAAACTAACTGAGTTATTTTCATCTTTAAATGATGGATTAGTCATTGTTTTGATTGTAATTAACAATAAGTTCATATTACACCTCCTTTTGTGATATGCGTGACGATTGTTGACAAAACATTGCCTGGATTTCCAGTGCACACTCTAACTTGATGGATGAAATAAAGCTTTCCAGAAAGGAGCTCTTAGTACAAAAGCAGGCTTTTCTGAGTTCCTCAGCCATGTTGGAATTCATGCTCTCAGGCAACATCAACCTTCTTGTATTGAGCATGCCCGAGCTTTTGTCCTATTATCAAGATGTCACAACATTCGGTTCAAAAACCACAGAAGTGCCCTTTAGGGCTGGAAACCCAATAATAAGCATGTGACCGAGGCCTTTTATGGGATGCATTATTTTGAAACTATTCTGTCTTTTTGGCCTCAATATGGTCCAGGCTGAACCCAATCCTAGAGCGAGTTTGGCCCAAATGAATCATTCTATTTTAAGCTTTCTGTTGTCAGCTGAAATGACATTGTAAAACGGAACTTAAAAAAATGCACTGACCTTGTTATAACTATCTTTTTTATTATATAAAAAAAAACAAAAAAACGGTGTATTGTTGGGCATTTCAGTTAAGCGGAAGTAAACATTCACACATTCAGCCACAATCTTTGTGATCATCTCTTCTAAGCTACTTGGTATTGGGTCATTTAGGCTGATATTCTGAATATCAACAATACTGTCATATGTTTAGACTACCTAACATCATGAGATATTGTGTTAACAAGACTTGCAATAATCTAAATAAAAATCTGAAAGTTTGAGACGCCTTAACGTTAAAGGATTACCCAAACTTGAAAATTCTGTCTTCATTTACTCACCCTCATGTTGTTCCAGACCTGCATCCATTTCTTTCTTCTGCTGACCTCAAAAGATTGAAGAATGCTGAAAACCAAACCGTTTCGGTTCCCATTGACTTCTATTGTATTTATTTTGTCCGAAGTTCTTCAAAATATCTTCTTTTGTTCTCCAAAGAAGAAAGAAAGTCATTGGAACAACATGAAGATAAGTAAATGATTATGATTTTATGGGTGGACTTTCACTTTAAGACATTAAATCAAAATAATATACACTGCACAAACTATAGTGCTACCAATGTCTCAAAAAATTGGACTAATGTTATTAAAATGATTGAACTATTCGACAGAATTTAGTGGACATTTAAGAAAATTAAATGTATGCATATAAATGTATTAAGAAAATGTATGCTTAAAGTATATTATTGTTTTATGTTTGAAAAAGCACTGTTTATTAAAGTATAGAACAAAGCAACAAGCCACTTATGCATTTTACTTCAATGTGGTGATCAGCAGAACAGGAAATGAAGCAAAACACCAGTGATGGCTTATCATAAAAACAGACCAATGTTTCATAAATATTCAACTAATTAAAAAAAAGAAAAAAAACATGAGCATAAACAATTCTTCCATGAATAGTTTATTAGCCTAACAATGTAGGCTCTTTATATGAATATAAGGTGAGGTACTGTCAGTCATGGTGCATTTTGACTAGTCTAACTTTAAACATGGATAACCCAAACAAATTTGAAAAGTTTTAAAATTCTATTTATAAAAGCACATAATATTCCATTACTAACTCATTACTTCCCACCTCTCGTAGTATACTGATCTAAATATAAAAGTGACAGTTGGGGGGAGGGATGGGTGGGGTGAGGTGCGTGAGTGAAGACAGGAAGCTTCATTTCAAGGTTCAGCACAAATTCATGTGATTGTATCTTTGCATCATTTCTGAAAGGAGTAGTTCTCTGTTTTGAGAAATGTCCCCCTCCAAAAGTCCAGTAATGAAATAAAAATGTAAAAAATCCTACACGCAAAGATTACCTCATACTTGGATTGAAATGAAAAACCATACGAAAAAAGAAATGTAAAAAGTTTCAATTACTGTGTAAATGACCTGATTCTTAAGTCACAGAAAGTTAGGAGGGAGTACAGTAGGTCCATTTATGGCAGAGCACAGAGCCTTCTCTGGTCCCTCCTCTTGTTTTCATAGCACTGTTCTGATACATTTCATTAGAATGACTCATAAGCTACAGTTCTGACTGGTTGGGAACGGCCTGGACTATATTTGGATTCAGTGGCAGCCCTCTTTATTTTTCATTAGAAGGACTGCACATAAACTTCACACCCTTATGTTTCCGAAGCACACTGTGCCTTTGGGATGTGCAGATACTGCTTCTGAAAGATCCAATCAGAGGCCAGAACGTCAGACAGAAGGATGATGGCTGAGAGAGATCATTTTTGAGTCTGCCTTCTTTGGATCTTTAAAGTTGGGTGTGAATAACCACAGTGACTTGCGTCTTAACCTCAAGCTTGTGAGACATCAAAGATGATGAGTCCAGGTTTTACATCATCAAGTGTACAACTAAACACCAGTCTGGTAGAAGGCATATTTAAATGTGTTAAAGGGTTAGTTCTCCCAACAACAACAAAAAATCTGTCAGTAATTACTCGCCCTCATGTTGTTCCAACCCCGTAAGACTTTTGTTCATCTTCGGAACACAAATTAAGATATTTTTGATGAAATCTGAGAGCTGGATCACTCCTTCATAGGCTGCAAGATAATTGCATTTGCCAGCCCAGAAAAGTTAGTAAAGACCTTGTTAAAATAGTCCAAGTGACTACAGTGGCTCAATCTTAAGTTTATCAAGCGACGAGAATACTTTTTGTGCGCAAAACCCCCCCAAAAATAACGACTTTATTCAACTATTCATTTTCTTCCGTGTGGGCCTCTGACGCGAGTTCACAAGAGCGCCACGACGCAATGGGGTTGGAACAACATGAGGGCCAGTACAATGGGGTTGGAACAACATGAGGGCGAGTAGTTACCGACATAATTTTCATTTTGGGGTGAACTAACCCTTTAAATGCAAACAAGACTTCTCTTGGTTTTATTTAAGTTCAGCAAAGCAGCCAAGACAGTTCTAATTGTGAAAGTAGTGTTGGAAATGAACATCAGCAGGGTTGGAGGTCTTCCTGTATGACTTGAATAAGAGAAGTTCAAGTCTTGAACGTGCCCAAAATAAACGCTCAGTTCTGCATTTCCATGCTTGATAGATTAAAGCCCATGCACAGTATTTGTGTTGCTTAATTTTAGTCATAGTATAGTATAATATCAGATAAATGAATATAATTATTACCCTAATTGGTAACACTTTACTTGAAGGGGTGTGCATAAGACTGACATGACACCTTCATAATCATGACATGACACGTCATGAATATGAAGTACGGTTTATGCATGTTTGAGACAACTGTCATTAAGTGTCTTTCGCTCAATAATGACATTTTTAATGCAAGTATGACATTGTTTGAGATGTCTTTGTTATGACAACTTGACATAAACCAATACATCTTAATCTGTCAGTGTCTTTGTCATGACAACTTGACATTACTAAGACAACACAACCTGTCATGAATATGTCATAAACATGACATAGCAGATTCATTATCAAACTTAAGAAAGCACTTAGCTTTATGGGTTAACATTACATTAAACTGTCATGTGATTGGTTTTGACATTGGCTGTCATGAGGCCAAAGCGTCTGCTAAATGACTAAATGTAAATTATAACATTTTAATGACAAATTCAATTTGCACCACTGTAGTTGAGGTCAAGAAAAATATTCATGACCTCATGTCAGTTATAATGGCCTCATGACAGCCAATGTCAAAACCAACCACATGACAGTTTAATGTAATGTTAACCCATGACGCTAAGTGCTTTCTTAAGTTTCATAATTAATTTGCTATGTCATGTTTATGACATATTAATGACAATTTATGTTGTCTTGGTAATATCAAATTGTCATAACCAAGACACTGACAGGTTATGATGAAAGACATCTCAAACAATGTCATATTTGCATTAAAAATGTCATAACTGAGCAAATGACACTTAATGACAGTTGTCATAAACATGCATAAAACCTCCTTCATATTCTGAATGCTTTTTTTGTACTGATTGTTTTACTTTTATTGTTTTTGATCAAATAAATGCAGCATTGGTTAGTATAAGATACTTCTTTCCAAAAAAAAAAAACAACACCAAACGTTTAAACAGTAATATTATTATACTACTATAGGCCCTATTTATACATATTTTTTAAAATTGTAGTGAATGTTATGAGACGAAGAGAAATGAGGCTAAACTGACACACAATTTTACATTACCTAAAGTCAAGCATAATTTTCCTTTTCAAATATAATTATGCAATGCCTTCTTTTGGACAATGGCATTTTGATGAGTGTGAGTAAATAAACCCTGTTTACTGTTCATTTTATAAATGTTGCAAACCATAAATCAAATCTACAAAAAAAACACAACTGCTATTTCTCTTGCCCTCATTCAATGTGAAGTATTAATTTAGATTTAAAACAGTTTCTTAAATGATAAGAAATCGTTTGAGACTATTCTCTAGTTCCTCCGTGCACTTTCAAAATGCTACCATTACATGCTGAAAACTTTTTTGTGGGCACTATGTAAACACAGTGACACATTTTCCCCACCCTTCGTTCTGTGACATCACAGGGAAGTTGAGTTTATAAAGTAACCACAAGAATGCAGTGTGTGTGTCAGGCGAAAGAGTTGCGAGCAGACAGAGGGCTCTTTCTTAAAGCGTACGGCCTACAGTGACTCAACTCCTCCTCTCGCACGCAGGTACAGCTGTGGATATGTGCCTTCCAGTCAGAGCAGCAGATTGTGTGGCTGACTGACAGCAGGGTTATGTGATGCCCGCAGAGACGTCTGGACTGACCTCTGATCAGAGCCGGTAAGGTTTAATGCTTCTGGGCTGAGAAATGATGGATTACTGTCCTGATGAGCATCTGTTTGTCACATGTGGCATAGCTGAGAGCAGCTAACTCAATTCAGGCCATATGCCCTTTTAACTTCTGAGTTCCTCCCGTGTTGTGACTGACATTCTGTGTAACGGAGAAGCTTGTGGACGTGCTGAGAAATATGCTTTTCTGTTTTGATATATAGCACATGTGCATTCTGCTTAGCTTTCTCTGTGTTTCTGGCTGATATTCCTTAAATAACTTGACCTTTTTCAGATTAGTCCTGGCAAAGATGTGGTAAAACTCATTCTGTTCATATTGCCGCCCGGGATTGTACAAAGTCTGGAAAAATATTGCTGTTTGGCATCACCAAAGTAGGAATGTAGGAGATACAAATCATTCATGAATATAAACTGGGCACCGTAAATGAAGGGCAGGTGGAGGCTTATACGGGCTCTTTAAAAGTCCTCTGCTTTTGTAAATATTTCCATCACAGGTCTTGCAGCAAGCAAGTGTTTGATTATAAGACAGACGCTTTCACTTTAGTTTAATACAGAGCTTCCAACAGATAAAACTAAGCAATTGTGAGTGAAGCTTTCTCAGCCATGTTCGCCCTCTTTCTCTCAAACACATTTTGCGCCCTGAGGGCCTGTGCTGTATTTAGACAGTGTCCTCTCTTGTGGAAGGAATCATGTCCCTGTATTTGTCTTTTCGAAATGTGTTAAATCTGGCTGTGAGTCTCAGAAAAAAAAGCCTTTACTATCTAGGTGAATCTAACAATCCTCACGAACTTCGGAGGAATTCGACTCGATGTGCACAACGGCATGTCTTTGCATGTAACTGATGTTGTCTGTGAAATTCTGAGCTCCATCCTGGCTTTGTGTGAAGCTGAGAGAGTCTTCCTGTTTAACGTTCCTCTGCAGATCTTAGAATTATTTAAAGTGATTGTTCTTCTTCAGAAGGGTCAAGCTGAGGAGGTGAAGGATTAGAGTAAGAACGGAGACATGAATGCTCTTGAAGTCTTACGCAAGTCTACGACTGAAACTTCAAAATGGAAAACGAGATATAATGCCTTTCAAGCTACGTTGAGATTTTATTTTTTTAATTGTCTTTATTTGAAGAGGGAGTTGCTTCCTCTCTTACATAGGTGTTTTTCACAAGATTCTGCTGCACAAACAGATTTCCTGTTGAGAAACTGTCTGCAGGAAGCAGGGCAAACACATTGCACACATGCTGAGGCTTCTTAAAGTTTGTGCAACACAACATTTGGAAACAGGTTTTTTTTTGGGGGTTCCACAGTGAGTTTGTGAAAGAAAATTCATAATATGTAAATCTCACTTTTACAGGTATACTAAGCAATTTTTAATGATGGCAAGATACCACAAATTCCTTTTTGTTAATGCATTGTTCAATTTTGATGTTTTGTGATATTTTTCTTCTATAAAATGCTTTCGTTCAGATAGTGGAAAGAAAACATCTAAAATATACTGAAATAAAATGAACACTTAAATGTGTATGTACAATACATAAATGTACATTACTCAAAATTTGTAATGTACAAGGCGCAATGCCTGTGCAAAATCTGTTTTTGTGTGTTTTTAGTAATTTTTGGTTTGGTATGTTTGAGTTGCTGAATAGCCTATAGGCTACTATTACACAGGAGCCTAAACTCTGAGAAACCGATAATGTTAAGCACACCAGAATAAAAATATAATATTCAGAATTAAACAGTGTAGCTGACTTACAGATTCAGTTAACATCCACAAATGAATAAGCGCAACGATTCAGGGGAGGTTCAGACCTTGGAGCACAGTGAACTCCGAGAAAACACTACGCTTGAGCAAACAGTTTGTGAATAGGCTACTACAAATGATGGCCGTGAATAAAATATTCAGATATTTTTTAAACCACAACCCTCTAATGTCAGAATGTTTAATTTTAAACCACAATTTTTAAACCACAACCTTCTCTAATGTCAGAATGTTTATTTTTAAACCACAACTTCAATGTGTGCTTCTTTTACCGATATATTTAACGATATATTTTGCCTTTCTAATCTAAACAACGTCAAACTTGGCACTGCACTTACTTGTGCCCGTAGAAAGACACGTGTCAAGTTTGAAATCCATCGGACTAACGGTTCGAGAGATATGCGATTAACAGACACACAGACACACACACACAGACACACAGACAGACAGACGTTCCTGTAATTTATAGATAATAATAGATAATAGAAGATAGATATCTCTTTTTAATCATTCCATAAATCAGAAATTATATCTACACTGTAAAAAAAAAAAAATGTAATGTTTCCACTAGCTTTTTCTTGTTGATCAACTTTTGTAAATAACAGTTATACGAACTGAAAATAAGTTGTCTGTGACACACACACACACACACACACACACACACACACACACACAAAAAACGTTTAGTTGAGTCAACTTGACATTATTTGTTTTCTGGAGAGGTGCAACTATTCTGTAACAAATCTTTTGTAGTTGAGCCAGTTCAAAAAAAATTGTCTATTGGATTTTTTTTTATTGAAAATCATTTGGTCATCACGATTTTGAGCGTTTGAGCGTTTCCTTTGGTTGGTCAGTTTGGCTTTTTATGTGAGTTTGTCTTTGTTTAGAAAAACACATAATTTGTTGCTAAGAAAGAAAGAAACCAAGATGATCAAGTTTTCAGCCCAATAAACTAGAATAAATCCCTAATCTTATTTCTGACCATAAGTTATTTTTTTCTGTTGATATTTTACCAGCAAAACTTTCTTGCAGCAGATCAGACATTCTGAATTTTGAATTTTAAAATACATTATGGGGAAAAAAGTATTTTGACACACACACATACATCAAGAATCAGCATATGAATCTCAACAATGGTGACATGCTTAATGCCGCAATGCATGCTGGGAGCCACCATAGTATTGAAATCATGGCTCCCAGCATGCATTGTGGCATGAAACATGTCGCCATTATTGAGATTCATATGCTGATTCTTGATGTCTGTGTATGCTTCTAAAAAAAAATCCCACAATGTATTTAAGAATCAAAATTCAGAATGTCTAATCTGTTGCAGAAAAGTTTTGATAGTAAACCTAATATATTATTCACAAATAACATCTTTGATCAGGAATAAGAGTAGTGACCTATTCCCTTTTTGATGCTGTTATCTAGATCACCTGATCATTTTTTTTATGGCTTTCTTTGCAACAAATTATGTGTTTTGCTAAACACTGTTACAAAGACCACAAAATCACATAAATGCCTAAAGTCAAACTGACCAACTCAAGGAAACGCTCATCACCAAAATGGTGACCAAACATAAAAATAAAAATAAAGCTAAATCTGAACCTGTTTATTCTTAATAAGAACTTCTGTTTCCAATAGACAATTTTTTTTGAATTGGTTCAACTACAAAAGATTTGTTACGGAATAGTTGCATCTCTCCAGAAAACAAATAATGTCAAGTTGACTCAACTAAACTTTTTTTTGTGTGTCACAGACAACTTATTTTCAGTTCGTATCACTGTTATTTACAAAAATTGAGTCAACAAGAAAAAGCTAGTGGAAATTAGTACCAAGATTTTTTTTTTTTGTACGAGATTTTAACAGTGTGGATTTTTGCTGAACCAACACAACAAAATCAGTCATTTCAACTTTTTTTTAAGTTGTGTTTTTTACAGTGTCTGTCAAAAAAAAAAAAAAAAAAAAAAAGTCCATGTTTGAACAAAATTTTATATAAATCAGGTGAACAATAATTAACAAACTCCTCTGTAAAAACCTTCAGAATATAGCCAGGAATAAACCTGGAAAGTTTGGGAATGTAAGTGCTACTGAAGTAGTGGACATACATTTCCAGAAAAAAATGAGAATTAAAAAAACTAGAATTTTGAACCTGCCTTTATCCAATGTTCAGATTTATGCTCTGCAAATGTAAGTAATTTAGTGCATATTTAATTAGATAATGACTTTTTAACTGAAATACAAAACAACTGTCTTGATGTTTGGGATTAATCAACTTGGAAAATAATAAATATGGTGATATCTGTATTTTTGCCCTATTGTGGTGTCTTAAACTTATAAATAATTTCTATAGTTTTATACCTAAAGAAATGAACAGCGTGTACGGTCTCTTTTGAAACCGCTTCATGCAACTTACAAATCTTTTGTTTCGAATCTGTAATTCAGAGCTTGTATCAAACTCACCAAGTCACATGATTTCAGCGAAGGAGGCTTTGTTACGTAATATTGTATCAAACCATGGTTTCGAAACATTTCAAAATTCTCACGGTTCACTGCTGGGGGGTGGTGGGGGAGCTATTCACGAGTGTCCAATAGTTTTAACTGATGTTGGGTCAGTTATATAATGTAGGTTCCTTTTTAATGAATTTAATGCATTTTCATACTTATCCATGTATAAATAGAGAACATTAAATTGCCATGTCTTGCCTATAATTACACAAAACAAGCATCAAACATTAAGACAACTTTTACAGAACCTTCATATTTAATGGTATTTAATGATTGTATTACCTTTAATTTGACATGCAAGTGATCAATAATCATTATAATAATCATTACTAACAATTATTGTAATAGCCTACATTTACTCTAAATGCTGTATTCAGTGCTTTTAATTTTTCAGGAAAACTTCATGAATCGACATCAATAGGTCTAAGTATAGTGTACTAACCGTGAGACGAGTATCAACTTAAACTTACCTGTAATACATCAGTTAATCTTATAGTACAAATTTACTTCATTATTATTATTATGTTCATGACATTATGTTGATGTTGTGTTTGTTGTCCATGTCAGTTAACTGTCATGTGGTGGTTTTTGGTTTTCCTACCATCATTGTGGTATGTCTATTGATGTCAGTGTATAGTTCTTCGGGCCGTTGAAATAATGCATTATCTCTCATTGTTTTAGTTATATATTAATTATTATTACTAACTTACTTACTTGCTTATATATTTGTTTGTTTGTTTTAGTATACATTGATAATATAAAAAGAATATTATATTTCAAAATAATAAACTAAAAATAATACTAAATCAACTTTCTGAGCAACATTGAATTAACTATCGATCTAATTCTACAATCTACAATATGAAGCTCATATCAAGTTGATTTTTTTTTAAACAGTGCACATATTTGCCAATTGCCATTAAAAAATGTAATAAAAAGCACATAAAAAATATGTATTATAGCCCAGTCAGAAGCTGATACAGTTTGGACTCGTGTAGCTGTGCACTGACTCTGTCCTGCAACATTGATGAGAGTCAGAATACACGAGAGACATGGAATCACTGGAGGATCCACAGCTGACTTAACTTCTGCTCTCTCTCTGTCTCTTTCTCACTATTTATTTCTGTTCTCTCTCTCTCTCTCTCTCTCTCTCTCTCTCTCTCTCTCTCTCTCTCTCTCTCTCTCTCTCTCTCTCTCTCTCTCTCTCTCTCTCTCTCTCTCTCTCTCTCTCTCTCTCTCTCTCTCTCTCCAGAAATGCCCCAATTCCATCACATCTGTGAGAGTCAAGGCAGAAGAGACTAAAATAGAGTTGGTGTCTCCAGAGGGACTGATGCTGAGAGGAATCCACCCAGTATAAACACGACCCATGATCTCCGCAGTCCTCACAGCCACAAGATATGAATCGTCAAAAGTCAAAGAGAAACATCTCATAAGCAATGCTTTGTTGTTAGACCCCAAAGGCAAGGCGTTTGTATGAGATGAATGGTGAGGTTTGGGATTAAAGCAATAACTGTGTGCATCAAGGATTTTGAAATTGTCCATCCATCATTTATTGAAACGGGCTTGTGCGATATTTCCTCAGGATGGGACAATGACATCAGAACATTTAACAGGCCTAAACTGAACTGAAGCACAGTGACAGAACTGGCTCAAATGGACAGTTTCTTGATCTCCAGATAGACATCCCATGCTAATTACTGGTTTAATCGGATCTACAGTGGCTTTACATCTCAGATCACATTGGATTTGATCTCTACAGGGATTTGAAGAACTCTTGCTGAACCATGAAGGAGGCAATCCTGCAGTTTTTCAATGATATGTGGAGCCTCGTTTCATCCAAGCATGACCAGAGCATCTACAACACGGTTTGCCTAGTGGTGCTTCTGACTCTGCCGCTGGTTGTGCTCTTCACATCTGTGCTGGTGTGCTGTCATTGTTGCTGCTGTCGTCATGCCGATGGATGTCGGTGTTGTCGCGGCAAAGGCGAGACCTCAGTCACAAATGTGAAGTCCGAAAAGAAGAAAAAGAAAAACGGCAGCCAGAACAGTGAGGACTTGTGGATCTCAGTCAAAACAGATCCCATGAGTAGTGACAGACTTGCACTCACTATGGTGTAAAAAGCCACGTTGAACAATGAACAATTTTATATTTATTTATCTTTTTATGGTACATGTAAAGGTACAAAAGTGTTGCAGCAGTGTTTACTAAACATATGCCCGAATGTAAAAAAAAAAAAGAAAAAAAATTCAAGAGACTTTTTGTATAGAAGTGAAATTTGGGAGTGAATGAATGTGCAAGAATATGCTTTATGATGTGTGTGTGGTCCTGAAAGGCTTTCCCAAAACCCACATTGTAGGTGAAAAGAAATGCATATCTGTCATTATACAACAGTTAATCCAGGGCCTTGGGTTTGATTTGCTGAGCTGTGTTTTTGCATTTGACTGTGCTGCTTTTCTATTGATTTTTTTGTATAAACATGCTCTAGACGGACGTGTTTGATCTTTGTGCTCGAGCATAACATGGCTTTCTAAAAATGTGGCGCTTAATTAAAAATAGTTGAACTTTTTTTTTTTAAACGCATCTCTAGACCTTGCATTTTTTTCATTTCACTGCCATGCGTTTTAAAACCAAAAATGTGTTCAGTGTAAATGGCCCCCAATAGACTGTCCAAAAGCACCAGGATTAGTATCACTCCGCTTATCTGTGTTTGTGCGTTCCGGTGAGGATTTTCAGTGACTCTTTCTGCATTTTACATTGTTACGCCAGTCAGTGGCAACAAGTGACTGTCATTGATCCGTTCAGTAAGGAGCGAAAATAGTGACTGTCTATATGAGTGAGATTCATTCATAAACGAAGCTAGTGACCGTCTAAATCAATATGGAATCGAATCATTCGAAAACACTGATTTATTTTGCAAATGAAAAACAACTATTGTGCTGTCTGTTGCTAGCAAGTGCAACAGTTGATTCTGGTTTGGAATCATTCGGAATTTGTACATTTGTGCCAAAATACACGATTGAACACAGTATTACAATATTGTGTCTAAAATATAAGTTCTATCATGACAACTCTCAGGATATTTTTAGCATGGTAATGGATATGACAATGTTAATTTATTTGGTCTTGGCAGAATAGATCTGCTATGCTGCTGCTGCTGTTATTGCTGTTGTTGTAGATTATTGCCTGCACAGAAACAGGAACTTGCTACTGCTAATACATATGCTGATACGCTGCTGTGAGTATGTAAGACATACTGCTGCTGCACAAATAGAATATATCAATTGCACATAGCAGATCTATACAGGTGGAGCTGGGGAGGTGGAGGGTTTTAGACGAACCCTGAAAGTGCGCTGCAAACTGATATAGTGAATGGTAACCAACCGTTTAAATGTTGAGCATGGTTCAATGGCCATGGCCAATGGCTGCTGACATGAACTAATCAGCTTGTGCCAAGAAGTTAACGCAGTAAATATCATCAGCTTGTGTTAATGACCAATCAGCCTGCGCCATCAAGAGTTTCATGACAGAACTAGGCATTTACTGTACTGAATATGAACTTCTTGTTTATTCAACTGCTGTACAAAAGAAACATCACACTCGCAGTTGTGTTGTTTGTCTGAATATCAACACGGATGTGATTATACCTGCGGTATTCTATCGGAACAACAGTAATAGCCAATTGCTTGATTAACATTTCTAATCGAGCCAGATGTCAGAAATATGTAAGAATTCCAAAGAGCTCTTCACAATTACAAACGCTTCTAAAATCTGCACTTATACCAAAACATTTCCCAAAGATGTCAAAGACACGGGATGCACTTAGTGGGTCACAACCACTTGTCCTTCACTCGAAGGATGCGATGCATTTAAAATGACTTGCTTGAAATGGCTTCAGAAATTGATACTTTCCCTGAAAACAATTTCCCCATAAATATAACCTGCCTTTCTTACTGTCGACTGACTAAACCATAATTTAAAGAAAAATGGGTGGGTGGGTGGGTGGGGGGTTGTTATGTTGGCTCCGCTGTGACGCATATGGATGAATTTACTAGACTAGAGTATAGATCAACAGCTCAAAGACACTTGTCTCATAATCTCCCCCTAAACACCTCTATTCACAATAGAGTGAAAATGATCATACTCATTTTAAAACTCAGACTGTTGGATACAGCATTATCATCACAGTTGTGTGTAATTGGGCTTGCTGATAAACAAACTTTGATCTTCTTGCACTATTCGGATGCAGGGATGTATGCAGTGCCATAATTAGATGTTTATGTTGTTACTTCAACACATTCTGATTATGCATGTCAGAAAGTCATGCATTAACACCCACCATCATGCTCTTTTTTCACTTAACTGTTGTGTTTGGCTAGCACGCATTTTTGTATTATCGGGTAAAGCAACTGCTGAATTATTCATTGCATAATCAGTAAAGTTGGGCCATACTTGTCCTTCATTGATTTTGGTTTCTGGTACAGCTGGATCAAAGGAGAACATTTTTCATTTGTTTAAACAACAAAGCTGTCAAGTTCTGTTTCCTGTGCTCTCGTTCAAAATATGCGATAGCAAAGCTTTGATTGGTCGAGTTCTGCATGAAAATGAGTGTCAGTTTGTATGAATATGCTTCTCAAAGTCTGTTGCTATGCAGGTCGATGCATGCAGATATTTCCAGCCTTGTTTTTCAACCCAGTTTTTTTTTTTTTTGGGTAATACAAAATTTAATTAAATTATTTTTATAGAAAACCGGAGGGGTAGAGGAGCGCTTGCTGCACTCCAAAGTTTGATTAAGATAGAGGTGCTCTGTGGATGGGAAACTAAATACCAAAAATCAAATCCTTTTTTGATTTTTGGTATAAAATTATTTGTATATTTATTGGCCTGTAGTTAGTTTTTTTATACCTGTCAAAGTTAACAAACTTAAGTTAAAGGTACACTAATGCTGCATCCCAATTCAGAGACTGCATTCTGTGCTACCGCCGATGAAGGCTGTCCCAATTCGAATGCTTCATCAAATGCATCTTCCAAATGCGTCCTCCGTTTCCCGTTAAATGAAGGAGACTACAGATGGATCCTTCGAGGCCTTGCCTATACCCCAGAAATCATTGAGCGCCAATGACGACAGGATTTTTTTTTAAATTGCCAAATTACACTTTATTGCCGGATTACAACTTTATTGCTGTTAAATGTTGATGTGGCCAGCAAGGCGGGTCCGATAGCCGTGAGAGAACGGCGCGAGCCTGGTGGCGTGATTGATGATGAGCGGTTTCGAATCTCTCACAGAGGAGCTACGGAAGCATAAAAGGAGAGCGACGACAGTGAAGGACTAGAGAGGACCAGGCCTAGACTATTTAAGTTATGTTTTGTTTATGTGTGTGCGGCAGTCGTCCATGAGGGCCAGCTGCTTTTACTTTCGTTTTGTTGTTTGTTTATTTTATATGATTAAAAGTTTGTGAAATGTTCGCCAGTTCCCGCCTCCTCCTTCTCATAACAACATACTGTGTTACAGTTGACTTATATCTTACTAAGATGCGATTATATATAAGGGTGAGAGGGGCACAACCGTAACGCGGGGCTAGTTGTAACACACGGTTTAAAACTTTCCACACATTCCAGCATGACAAAACTTAGTTTATTTACTAGTTGCTATATCAACACTATGTAGAGAAAAAATTGCACCAAAATAAAAAAATCTTTAGAAGATATCACTGAAAATGTATTTATATTAAAAAACAACAACAACAAACATGTAATTCCCCAGAGGTTCGAGATTTAGCCTTTGCCCCGTCCTCACCATACACGCCTCATTTAGACACGCACAGACGAGTGATGTATGGTATCTCACTTTCCCGTGAAAACCATCCTGCTATGTTAATGTAAACACTTATAATAGGCTTACCATAGTGAATAAGGGTAAGACAAAAAAAACATTTTGAAAGAAGAATTGATTTACTGACTCATTTAAATTGTGTTCATTTTGAACAAAAAAGCTACATAGGTGTACCTGAATATGAGTTTGATTAACCCTTAAACGCCTACCTTGGGTCTTTATTGACTCGGGACGTTATTCACTACCCTCCCTCCTCCTCATTGAATTTTTTAAAGTTAGACATCAACCTTCTATTTATTCCTCAATCAATTCATTATAAACAATATAACAAGAGAAAAATTATAAAATTATAAACGAATGCCTGTTTTCCCATTCATTAAGGGAAAAATGTAAAATTTGTATAGGGTCGCTAATGACCTGAGGTGTGTAACAGTGTAAGTATATATTTTCTGCACAACAATAATCTTTGATGACTGAATAAGTGGAATTCAATTTTATTCCACAAGGTGGGAATGTCTGATACACAATGACGAAGTGACGTTTCACTCATAGTTACTGCAGGCAGAAAACAAAAGAATAGGAAGTATCATCAGCAAAACTTGAAATGGCTCAGAAATTTACTGCAGAGCAAGTACTGAACGCAATCAAATATTAGTGTCACTGTCACTTGATGGTGGATCTAAGTGAAGAAGCTGTCAGCGATCAAAACATTGATATTGAAGATGTTGAAAATATAGTAGTTTTGAGAATATGTTTGAGATTGCGAATATGAGCCAGATGCTGAATGTGATGAAGACAGTGATGATATAAAACATCTGCTCAAACTGAACCCTTCCAAGCTCCAAAAGGTAACAAAATATGCTTTATTTTATTCTTCTGTAAATGTTACTTTAATATCAGGGGAGTTTTATATTATTGCGACAGGTAGAGATCCATGTGTATTAGATGTAGATCCTGGTCGCCAAAGACCTGAATATGTAATAATGAATGGCGAAACATTCATGCATTTAAGGGTTAACACAACTTAACCTAAAAAAACAGTATTATCTTTAAATCCTTCTTTTTAAAGGATGTTCAGACTCAGAAATCATTAAATGAATTACATTTTATTTTATACACCTTTTTTTTTTTTTACTCTGCATATATAATTTACTCTCAAGTGCACTTTAAGTTTTCACAGAACAGCAAATGGTTCATTCACATTTAAGGGTGTTTCTCAACACTTAGCACTTAGTGAACATTTTGCAGCCATGGACACACCCTATTGCTGCAGTTTTCCATCACATAACAGTCCTGAGCGTCAGGAAATTCTCCCCTGGCTGATGGTTGCGCACACCCACTGCCCAGATCCCTCCACACAAACAGACCTTGTTTTGTCTCATGATCCAGCTCACACTAATGCAGGAGGGGAAGGTGGGGAGAGGAAATATAACAAACCCCATTTCAAAACAGTGATTCAGCCATGGACTGATGAGGGAAAAATGAAGCACGCAAAGCTGCAGGCTGAACACATGAGACATAGAAGAGCCAATGCAGTCCTGCTCCTGCTGAGGCTGATATGCCTCCTCCTGATGTCAGTTCCTCTATAAGAACAGTCATTTTACTGCTATGATCTAATTTTACACTTCTGGTTACTCTGAGGGCAACCGGCCCACTGGAGAGACAATGACGTTGAAATGCTGCAATATGTGGTGCAATTTTTCTAATTTCCCCTTATTTTTGGCTGTAGAGCCAGTCAAAACTGATCCTCATACGTGTATGAAAGATGCCAAATGCTTTTTATTTCAACAAACTTTATTTCTGTAAAAATATGTGACACTTAATTTGGTGTCTGTGTCAGGAATCATAGTACAACTACAGTACACATCCAGATGGAAGACATTATAGCTTAGACTTTATTATAAAACGTCTTTTTTATGCATGACATTCAAATGTTATCATAATTGTCAAATATTATGATGGGGGAAAATCATTAATATCCATTAAAAAAATTGAAATTATCATACAGTACAAAGTCCTTTGTTGCAAAACACTGTAATAAAATAAAAAAAGAGGTTCTGTAAAGGTCATAATACAATATGCCCTTACTTATGAAAAGCACCCTTTGAGTAAGGAATGGCACTGTGATGTGAGTTTTCTTTCATATACAGTGTGTATATGTAATACACTAAATTAAAGAACTAAAGCCTATTCTATTCAAAAATCTGCCTTTTGTAACATGATACAAAATACAGTTACACAGCATATAATCTACATCTAAAGTGGCTTTCCTTATATGAAGATCTATTCTAACCTGGTTGGATCCAATTCCCACACGTTTTTGATTTTGTAGTTTTTGTCAAGTGATTGTTAATACACAGCTACCCTCCTCTTCAGTGACCTCTTCTGTCTGCCCGCTGCGCCCACTGGGCGGATCTTAATTTCCGCAAAGTCAAGAGAGTGCAGGTGCCCCTTCCATGGCTCCCAGTTTACTCCCTGGAAGACAAAATCAGGAATGTATTTAAGGCATTTTACTAACATTCATGAACTCATTAATTATATCATTAGGCAGCATCTCTGAGAAATATAAAGCAGTATTTTTTCTGTTCTATTGCCAGTTCAAAAGTTTAGTGTTGGTAAGATTTTTAAAAGTTTTTAAAAGAAATCTCTTATGCCACCAAGGCTGCATTTATTTGATCAAAAATACAGTAATATTGAGAAATATTATTACAAATTAAAATAAATGTTTTCTATTTTATTTCAGCATCATTACTTCAGTGTCACATGATCCTTCAGAAATCATCCTAATATGCTGATTTGGTGCTCAAGAATCATGTCTTAATATTACCAGTGTTGAAAACAGTTGAAAATGTTTAATATTTTTGTCGAAACCACAATAAAAATGTTTTCCAGGAGAGTTGAAAAGAACATCATTTATTTGAAATAGAAATCTTTTATAATATTCCAAATCTGTCACTTTTAATAATTGAATGCGTCCTCGCTGAATACAAGTATTTTCTCATCATATACTCACCCTTGTTGTTCCAAACCTATGTGAGTTTCTTTCTTCTGTTGAACACAAAAGATATTTTGAAGAATGTTGGTAACCAGACAGTTGATGGGCCCCATTGACTTCCATAGTGTTTTTTTTCCCTTTATACAAGTCAATGGGTGCCGTCAACTGTCTGGTTACCAACATTCTTCAAAATATCTTTTTGTGTGTTCATCAGAAGAAAGAAACTCTAAAAGGTTTAGAACAACTTGATGGTATAAGTAATGACTTTTTTTTTTTTTTTTTTAATGTCCTAAACTATAGTGAATATTTGGGCCATTTTTATATAAAAAAAAAAAATTTAAATGCCAAAGAAAAGTTAAAGTTTTAAAAGTTGGTACCCCTTAACACCTAAGCTTAGTATGACATTTAGAAAAACATTTTCTTCTCTTTGTGGGGCCTAAAATGTTGTTTTCACTCCTCAATGAAAAAACATTCAGTATAACCTTCCTGTTAGCCTCACAGAAATAAGGGCTCTAATGGAACATAAATCTCCAACCAACTTGAAAGTATCGTCTTATTTGTGAACTTATGAGATCTGATATATTCAGGACACTGCTTTTCTTCTGAATTATTGGGCTATTCTTTGTAAATGGGTTGGCTTTAAATCCTGCCTTCAGTGTTGTAATTTGAGAGCTCCCTCTGCTGGTCATTACATCTCATTACATGGCATAACTACAATACAGATCCCTTATTTTTTCAAAATATCAGTCAGCTTCAAAACAAATCATCATAACTCACCATACTGTGTCTGTTATCCCCAAATCTGCCGTTCAGATTGGCCAGGTGGCAGTTCTTGTACCACCAGGCACCTTGGTGAGTCAGAGCACAGTTACCAAGAGCAATGTCATTGTCTGAATCAACTGTGGAGAAAGATCCTCCCTGGTGGTAGGTCATGGCATCACCTGTGCACAATGTGTTATTAATAAAATGACTTTGCTTCATATAGCTTGGTAGGCATAATCAGATTACATAATCCAACTCACCAGCGTTTCCTTTGTAGTTGCCAATGGTAAGTTTAAACTTCTGTTTGGATGGTGCTACTTTGAAGTTATCGTAGACGGCATATTTCTGCTCTGATCCCATGCCCAAATCGAAACGCACCTCATACTGTGTAGGAGTATTAGTCAGCTCATGGATCTTCTCCAAGCCTGGTCAAAAAAAAAAAAAAAAAAAAACTCAGAGCAGCTCAAATCATTATCTAGTTCTGTATGAACCGAAGACGTGGCTAGGTGAAAGGTTTCAATAAGCATATTATGTGAAATCTTTATTGGATATACCGAGCCAAAATTCATCTTTCAGTTCTCCAAAGCCTTTCATATAGTCTCTCCAGCGCTTCATGAAATCTAATTTGCCGGTGTTTCGTCTCTGGAACACCTGTGGTCGATGCATTGGGTAAGTTGTTAAATACAACACTCATGCTATACTGTAGATGCAAATTAAATAAAAAACTGAAGACAGGAAGAATATTTCATAAATGAAACTTAGCACTCACAATCCAGCCACCACCATCAGTCGTCATGTCACAGTACACCTGCATGGTTCTACTACGGTTGCTATTGATGTAGATTGTGTAGATGCCACTCTCCATGTTTCCATTCCTCATAATCTGAGTGCAGTCCATTGGGAACGGGTAGGCCACACCCACTACAAATAGCACCAATTCAATGAATCAATGATGCTTTTTATTTCTATTAACTTTCTTTTATTTAATATTTAGTACAAATAAGGCTTGGTGATATGTTGATACACTAGGAGTCAAATAAAGGTGTGAATGAAGGAATATGGTATTGCATATATTACCTGTACTAAATATTGTCTCCACTACCCTACTCCTCTTCGAGCCCCGGTAGGCAATAAGGGTCACAATGTACTTTTTCCCCATTGCAAGGCCAGAAAGAGCAAATGTATTGTCCTGCACAGTCAAAGTTTTTTCCAAAGTCTAAAACAATAAAGCAGATAAATTAATCAAACAAAGAAGAACTCAGTTGTCCCAAAATGACAAATGTCTCATAGTATCATATCAGATAGGCCTACTAACAAACAGAACAGCTACAATTTAAACGGGGAACACTTTACAATAAGGTTCATTAGCTAATGCTTTGGGTATCATATCTAACAAAGAACAATAATTTTTTTACATCAGTTTATTACAGCATTCATTTCATATTAAAATAAAATACATTCACTACTGTTCAAAAGTTTGAGGGAAATTAAGAAGTTAATACTTTTATTCAGCAAGGATGCATTCAACTGATCAAAAGTGACAGTAAAGACATTTATAATGTTACAAAAAAGTTCGGTTTCAATTTCAAATAAATGCTGTTCTTTCGAACTTTTAATCAAATTAAGTGGGATTCTAACTATTAATCAAATAATCCAAAAATGTATCACGGTTTCCACAAAAATATTAAGCAGCACAACTTTTTTCAACTTTGATAATAATAATAAATGTTTCTTAAGCAGGAAATCAGCATGTTAGAATGATTTCTAAAGGATCACGTGACATTGAAAACGTCTAGGTTACGACTGTAACCTCTGAGAACAGGGAACGTGACACTGCGTTGATGGCGCTATGGGGGAACGCCCTCTACGTGAATCGGTGTCTGAAAAGCTATCCAATCACGGCAATCGATATTGACCAGCAACAGCCTATGACGTCACTACTAGCGCGACCCAGAAGTATAAAAGGGGCGCCTAGAGAACATGTCATCCACTTATCGTATGAAAGGATTGTTCAGCAGGCATAACCTGCTGAACAGTCACAACATTACAGTCGTAACCTAGACGTTCCCTTTCGAAAGGGAACTCGCACTGCGTCGCTGACGCTATTGGGAACGATATACAATCCAACCATGCTGAGGGGAGGGCATGCCAATTATGGCTTGTGACAAAAACTGTCAGAAATGGCAGCTATTTCACAGAAAATGCTAAGGAATACTCCCCCTTCAGGTCACATTCAGGCTGTCAGTGACATTATTCCCTACGATCACTGCCCAAGCTATAAGCCTCAAAGTGGCCTCTGAACAACAGAAGGCCTACCAAGGCCGCTCAAAGCCTTGGAACCAACAGCTTCCATGGAAGGGGTTCCTTTAAGGGAATATGGCCAGGGGGTCCAAAAGGAGTCCCGTCCAGTCACTTTCTGAGGGGAACATACGTAAAGTCAACCCCACATGCCACCAGGGAGGCTGACCTGGCCAAATTTACTGACCACAAAAGTCTTGCCAACAACCTGTCTGTTTCCTAAACAGAGTCTCTCAAAAAATCCAATAGGGAAAAACCTATTGCAATTAATGGCAGTAGTTCACTCACTAACCGGATCATAGAGACAGGCATCCTTGAGTGTAGAACTCAACATAGCGCTTTATAACCCTTGCAAACGAGGAGAGTAACTCTACTTGATTCTGGATCTACACAGCGTTTCAAAGCCCTGTGGAGGCTGGGCACTCTAAAGGGACCCTAAAAAGGGGGGCGCCTCCAGCTCTTGGGCTGATCTATCACGGAGGCCTTGTGAGAGTCCTTCGACCTTCTGACCAGACTTAGGGAGTTAAGTATTCAAACAGAGCGATCCTCAGATAGATTCTGGAACACTATGCTCAATCTGATAAGTACTGACCAGGCTCTGGGCTAAAATAAGGGAGGCTCCATGGGGCCTGCAACATGATATTTAATGCCTTTGCAATGCTAAGCATCCAACTCGTAGGGGAGCCGCCTTCAAGGAGGTCTGTTAACGCCCAAATACTTGATAGCGTGGACATTACCTGATGCAAGAAGCACCTGAGGTGTGGAAAGTGTGCAGATTCGGACCGCAGTGTTATGCAAGATTTAATGCAGCAGAGTTTGCCTTCGCCCTCTCTGAACTTTCCCATCATCGTCTTGATGGAGGTGCCAAAGAGTTCTTTCTCCCCAATGTCATCCAAGTTCAACCACGGATGCCTATCCCTGACCACCATCACCGCCATCGAGTTTGTCTGATGTTTGTTTGGTGGCCCGGAGAGCTAATCTGTAGTGCGGCGCAGCTCGTTTTCACTGCGTCAGGGGAAAGATCCCGACCTTAGTCCAAATCATTCAGCAGATCAGCGTGGTATGCTTGCAGCACTGCCATTGTGTGGAAGGCATCACCAGCCAGACCCGCCATTGCATATGCCCTGCCATTTAAGCGTAATTGTTTGTTTAAAAGGCAGGGCCAGAGCACTTGGTGTCGATGCCTCTCCAACCGCGATGGCGATGGATGTACGCTGAACACGGGTTCTTCCATGCATTTTCGATCTCATTGTATAGATCGGGCACAAATGGAAGGCTTCTTTCCAGCCATAACGCTCCAACTCATCATACGCGGGGCAGGGTGGCTGTGAGGGTTTGAGTTGTAAATCCTATTCAGCCTCATCAGCCATCTCCTGCTTTCTTGGGCTGCCAGCAGAGCACTCGCTGTCAGATAAGAGGATGTTAGTGACAACACATCCTCATCCGGCAGCTCAAATTGGCGAGCCGCTAAGGGGCGTGATAGATAAACAACTCTCTCAAACTCCTCAGCGAGCTCCCTCTGAAACCCCTCGATTCTAGTCTCTGCTCTGCCTCAGCGCGAGCGGGACCTGAATCGCCTGGCACAGATGTCGGTCCCTCTTGCCTCGAGAAGAAGGCCAGACGAGAGCGAAGCACAAGAAAAATCTTATAAACGGAAAAATGTGACAATTTTTGGTAAATGAGTAAATCTCTCTCTCTCTCTCTCTATATATATATATATATATATATATATACACACTGTATATAGTAAAATAACTAAGTAAATGAAGAAATTAACAGTAACCTACATTAATACATGCAGTAAAGTATTGTTTATTGTTAGTTCATGTTAGCTAATGCAGTATTTAATCTTACCGTATAATACCTTGTAAAGTGTTATCATTAAACAGATACAGTATGCAATTGAACAACTTTGTGTGTAGAGCAAACCTGCATGCTGCCATCCTCAGCCCTGTAGGTCAGGATGTAGCCATCAATATTAGCCTGAGGAGCTTTCCATGTAATAGTGGAGGTTTCAGTCTGAACATCAATGGCTTTGAGATTCTTGGGTGCATCAATCTCTGCGGATCAACAAAAAGTGCTTGGTTAAATGAAGTCGACATTGTGTCTGGAAACGGTCATGAGAAAACAACTCCTTCTAAATGAGCTCTTAATAGATGAGAAATGCGTAATGCCTCTCCTTATAACTATGAGAGTTAGCCTTCCAGTTAGTGTTGAAAAATGATGGATTCTTCCTCTTTAAGCTTTCTGTGCTGAATTAATTCAGTTATCACTACTGCTGAGACAAGACCTTAGCAAAGACCTTCGTCATGCTTCATTTGACATTTTTAGGCAGAAGACGAAAGCACAGGCACAGAGCCACGCTGCCTTCATGAATCAAATAACCTGTTTCAGCTTCTGTTGTGGCTTTTCTGCTTGAGCGAGAGCCTTTCACAGCCCAGACATAGACTGTGTAGAGAACTCCAGGCTTCAGACCAGTGAAACTGTAGGAGGTGCTGTCAGCTCCTACTCGAACCTCCTGACCGAAGCCATCTATAGAGCTGTAGCTCAGCATGTAGCCATCAATGTCAGCCTGCACCCTGTCCCAAGTCACCGACGCCGAGTCCTCTGTCACCTCTCGGGTTAAGAGGTTAGTAGGAGCATCTATGTCTAAAAAGCAATTTGTACAACAGTGTTAATGCTTCAAGGAAGTACTGACATTTGTCTCCTTCAGTTATTTTTCCATTTTCTGGGATTCATCTCAAGATTAAGAGTCGACCAGTGAAAGATATAAAAGAAATGAAAAGGTTTAGTTGTGTGAAGACATCTATGTACATTCTATATGTTTGTCAACGAGTATAGGACTTAAAGGTAACGTGATTTCACCAAATAGAACATGTTCATGGATCAACATTCCAATCAATCAGTCAGATTTGAGGGATAGCTTTACAGTTAATGTCAATCTATAGGCGTAAAACAAGGGTTAGGGGCTTCTACATCATTCTTATTTACCAATCCTTTCCCTCTGATTCTAGGGATAAGTTATGTGTTGGGTTAGGTTTAGGGGTAGGAATAGAGTTAGGGCTATGTTTTTAGACAGGAATGTTGACCATGCCTTACTTTTCAAAATCACTGCAACCAGGACATAAACTAGTAAACCTGTAGGGGGCGCTGTAGTTTTCTTCAAACGTCAAGGCTTTCTAAACATTCTCACACTCAACTTCTTTACTTTCATATTCAAATTGCAATTCTGCATCCAGTTTGTTTCCTCAATTCTAATTATTTTCAAATTCAATAGCTTGTTTTCATATGACGTCACGCCACTGCGTTGCCATGTCGCGAAATGCAAATGGAGGGCAGGAAGTGATTTGCTGTATTTAGAAAGCACTATAACAAACTCAAAATGCCTATGTTTTGCGTCTTTTATGGTTACTTAAATCGATCAAACCACGAGGAGTTTTTATCGTGTACCAAAAGTTGTTGTTCATAAGGGGGGAAAATGCAAGAAACCTACGTCTGCGGTCGGGAGGAGCCGAATGGGAAAATGCCCGTGTGTGCAGTGATAACTTCATCAAAGTTGAGTTAATACAACTTATATGGCTATGTTTGTGTAACGTGTAACATTTACAAACTTTGTAAAGTCAAAGTATGTCTGTAAGACGAGGTAGTTGCTGATATCTACCGCCCCGATGGCAGGAAAATCTTTCAATTCAGTTGAAAAATCGCTACTCTTCATAACGCAAGGATCACGTCCAACATATGTTTGATTTTTTGTTTATATCTTTCTCTTGTAATAGCGTGTAAAGTAGTACAGTACGGACTTTCCTCCATCTCGTCCATTGCGCTCTTCACTCCCTGCCCTCCATCTGAATTCCGCGCGTCATCATAATCACGTGACTGAAACCCAGCTATTCTGAATGGTGGAGAACATTTAAAAAATGACATCACTTTTAATGCACATTTCTACATTTGAGCCATGCATGATTGAACAATTTATCTGTAGAAACATAAGGCTACGTGTCTGAGTACAGCACAATAACTGAAATTTAGGGAGGGTAATTTAGTGCATCAGAAGAAAATCCACTCACTGAAAGGTCTTATTTAAAGCGTTATTATTTCTGCAAACAGATAAATGGTCCAAAACAGAGAACTCTGTGTTAGTTTGCATGAGCCGATTGGTAGATGCAATTCAAAAGCCTGTTAATGCTTCTGTTGAGCTCTTTTTGCTAGAGCGAGGGCCCTCCAGGCTTCAGACCGGTGAAACTGCAGATGGTGCTGTCAGCTCCTACTCGAACCTCCTGACCAAAGCCATCTATAGAGCTGTAGCCATCAATGTCAGCCTGCACCCTGTACCACGTCACCGACGCCGAGTCCTCTGTCACCTCCTTGGTCATGAGGTTAGTAGGAGCATCTATGTCTAAAAAGCCATTTGTACAACAGTTTAATGCACCACATTGCTGCATTAAAGCCATGCAGGTATAGGCAGTGCAGCAGAGGAGAAGATGATGTTTGTCCATGTAAAGGAATGCATCACTGAACCATGAAGAGGTGTGATGGCCCCGATGCAGCCACACATCAGTGAACGGTGATGTCGCACACATATATGCAAACACTCATAACTCAGATTTTCTTGGAAATTATCCTGCACATTCTTAGGTTTTACTCATTCCCTCAATGGTTTCTGTTCATATATTTATTTAGCAATAAGATGCAGACATTGTTTATTTATCATTAAGATTTATTTGAGTTACAGTACACACATTTATTAATATTGCTTTCTTTGAGTTTAAGTTACCGCTGTGTTGCTGAGGAGTGGATGGTTGGAGGGTTCGGATGGTGATCGCGTTCGGATGGTGATCACCAGTTTCGTTTGTGGTCCGTGCGAATTAAGGGCCGGCATACCGCTTCATCTGCTATTTTTAGTTCCACTTGCCGCTACCAACCAGCAGATTGACTGTGGGGGGGAGTCGAAGGGTTTGTGTTGGTATTGTCTTTTCTGATTGCTTGTACTTTTCCTTAGATTTATTATTGGTGTTAAGATATGCACTTAATTTGTAGGATAATTATGTAACCGGCCTCGGTATTGATTTTGTTATTGTATTGTGAAGTTTGTTGTTTTTGTCTTCCCTTATGTGTTAATATGGACTAGTCCGTTTGTATAAATGTGTCCCTGCTGTTTAACTTGGAGATCAGTTTAGTTTGTCTTCTCACGTACTCAGTTGTTTGAGTTTAGTTAGTTTTGTTGATCTCTTTTATAGGCCTAAACATTTGATTTGATTATTTGGACTTTGTTTTCCTGTTGAATCCTTTGTATATGATTTCTTTGATTTAGTAAAATATGTTTTTGGGAAATATTTCTATGTCCCTCATTCCTTGACTGCTTGGTCCCTCACAAGTGGTGGCAGCGGTGGGATCAGCCAGTAGGGGGCATAGTTTCCCAATATATTTAATTATTATTATTTTTATTTTATTTTTTTCTTCCCTGAGATCAAGATACTCTATATGCCATGAACCGGGGAGGAAGGAAAACCGTCTCAAAGCCTGCTCTAGCAGAGCAGAGTGAGGAAGTGTTCCAGGAGTTGGTGGAAGATGGAGCAATGCAGGAAGTAAGAGAGGTGGAGGAGCTGGAGCCTGGAAGCAGAGAACCCACACTGGCAGACTTGACAAGCCTGTTCCGAGCACACATGGCAAAGATGGATGCTCAAGAAAGCCACAGGAGTCAAGAGTATGTCCAGCAGGAGCGTCGCTTTAAAGGTCTTCAACACCAGTTTAGTCTGTTGCAGCTGGAGGTGCAGGCTCGCACAATTCCAACTCCTAATCCTCTGCTGACTGCTGGGGACCCCTTGGAAGTTTCTGATAACGGGGAAGCTGTCTCAGGCCGTCCATTGTCCCAGTCCAGTACCCGTCGGAAGGATCTCTCAGAAACCCGTGATGTAGGTCAGTTTAAAGAGCCAAGACTTGAGAAGTTATCTGAGTCGGATGACATTGTGATTTACAGCGACACGTGGGAGCAACATCTGCAACACATCCAGGAGGTTATGCAGCGTCTTCAGAGAGCTGGGTTGACCGTTAACCCACACAAATGTGCTGTGGCAAAGACTGAGACTCAATACCTGGGATTTGTCATTGGTGGTGGGGTGATCAGGCCACAGGTGGAAAAAGTCCGGGCCATTGAGATGTGTCCACGGCCACAGACTCGCAAGGAGTTGCGATCATTCCTGGGCATGGCTGGGTTCTATAACAAATTTATCACCAATTTCTCTGGCAGAGCTGCAGCTTTGACTGATATGGTCGGTTCAAAATGTCCAAATCAGGTCAGATGGACGCAAGAAGCGGAAGCAGCATTTCAGGACATCCGAACCGCCTTAAGCAGGAATTCTTCCTTGCATAATCCTGACTTTAACCAGCCTTTCATTCTCCAGACGGATGCTTCGGATAGAGGCCTGGGCGCGGTATTGTCGCAAGGGGCTCCTGATGCTCGGCGGCCCGTTGCGTTCCTCAGTCGCAAACTCTTCCCTAGGGAAGTCCGTTATTCCATCGTGGAGAAGGAATGTTTGGCTGTGAAATGGGCGTTGGACTCCCTGAAATATTACCTCATGGGAAGGGAATTTGTCCTGGAGACGGACCACAAGGCTCTGCAGTGGCTTCAACAAATGAAAGACACCAACAGTCGAATAACCCGTTGGTACCTGGCCATGCAGCCCTTTCGATTCTCTATTCAACATGTCCCTGGCAGAGAGAACTTGACGGCGGACTACCTTTCCCGCTGTGCCAGTGACATTGGTGAAGGGGAGGAGTATGTGATGGCCCCGATGCAGCCACACATCAGTGAACGGTGATGTCGCACACATATATGCAAACACTCATAACTCAGATTTTCTTGGAAATTATCCTGCACATTCTTAGGTTTTACTCATTCCCTCAATGGTTTCTGTTCATATATTTATTTAGCAATAAGATGCAGACATTGTTTATTTATCATTAAGATTTATTTGAGTTACAGTACACACATTTATTAATATTGCTTTCTTTGAGTTTAAGTTACCGCTGTGTTGCTGAGGAGTGGATGGTTGGAGGGTTCGGATGGTGATCGCGTTCGGATGGTGATCACCAGTTTCGTTTGTGGTCCGTGCGAATTAAGGGCCGGCATACCGCTTCATCTGCTATTTTTAGTTCCACTTGCCGCTACCAACCAGCAGATTGACTGTGGGGGGGAGTCGAAGGGTTTGTGTTGGTATTGTCTTTTCTGATTGCTTGTACTTTTCCTTAGATTTATTATTGGTGTTAAGATATGCACTTAATTTGTAGGATAATTATGTAACCGGCCTCGGTATTGATTTTGTTATTGTATTGTGAAGTTTGTTGTTTTTGTCTTCCCTTATGTGTTAATATGGACTAGTCCGTTTGTATAAATGTGTCCCTGCTGTTTAACTTGGAGATCAGTTTAGTTTGTCTTCTCACGTACTCAGTTGTTTGAGTTTAGTTTGTTTTGTTGATCTCTTTTATAGGCCTAAACATTTGATTTGATTATTTGGACTTTGTTTTCCTGTTGAATCCTTTGTATATGATTTCTTTGATTTAGTAAAATATGTTTTTGGGAAATATTTCTATGTCCCTCATTCCTTGACTGCTTGGTCCCTCACAAGAGGGTAGAGGATCTATCCTTTTCATACCGATACAACAAATGCAGAATGCAGATAGCAATTGCTATTATTTCAACACATTCTCATCCCAAGGCGTCATCTAACTGACACTTTTGACCATGCGTCAATATATGGAGGGATTATTGGGTCAGATTGAAAACTAAAAGTCTAAAACTAAAAGTCTTAAACTAAAACCAAAAGTCTAAGTTTGAAACTAAAAGTCTAAGTCGAAAACTAAAAGTCTAAGTCAAAAATGAATTTGGTATTTAGGATTGGGCATTTGGTATTTAGGATTGGGCATTTGGTATTTAGGATTGGACATTTGGTATTTAGGATTGGGCATTTGGTCATTTAGCCATTTAGGATTTAGGATTGGGCATTTAGGGATTTAGGATTGGGCATTTAATCATTTAGCCATTTAGGATTGGGCATTTGAGGATTGAGGATTGAGGAGTGTATGCAAATAAGGAGGCGTGGCCCAAATACTGGAGGCTGGGTTTGAAATGGCTGGTGCAGATGCACCTTATGGACAGCAGAGGGCGCTCCAGTGCTAAGGAGCACACTGTAATGAAACCAAACTAGCGATACAAAATATAAAACTCTAAATAAATAAAACTCTAAATAGCGATACATTCCGCTCTATTCGCGTTTGGTGTGAACGCAGCATAATAAACAGGCTGCGACGTCAAGATTGCAATGTTGGAGTGTGTGCTGCAAAGTTCAAACTGCAAAGTGTGTATATTTGTGTACACTCGCAATAAAATACAACATTGTGCTTTTGTCACACTCTAAAATCTTGTCAAACTGTAACCTACAACTGTCACCCAACCAAAATCACACACACACACACACTCTCTCTCTCTCTCTCACACACACACACACACACACACACACACACACACCTAGTTCGTTCGCGCCCACGCCTCCCCCTCTCTCTCTCGCGCGCACACACACACTCCAGCATTGCAATCTTGATATCGCAGCCTGTTTATTATGCTGCGTTCACACCAAACGCAAGTAGAGCGAAATGTATCGCTATTTAGAGTTTTATTTATCTTTATACCGTGTATTCTCCGTGTAAATTCGTGCACCGAACCGTGACGCCCGTAGGCTACCGTTTCGGTTCAATAGGAATACATGTACCGTTCCAGTACCCCTATACAACGCTGTCATTAAGTTGAAGTTATCACATTATAAAGTACAGTCCTCGCTTAAGACCTGCTCACTCGCTCTGTTTGGTTTCATTACAGTGTGCTCCTTAGCACTGGACTGACTGGAGCTCCCTCTGCTGTCCATAAGGTGCATCTGCACCAGCCATTTCAAACCCAGCCTCCAGTATTTGGGCCACGCCTCCTTATTTATGGAGGGATTATTGGGACAGATTGAAAACTAAAAGTCTAAAACTAAAAGTCTTAAACGAAAACCAAAAGTCTAAGTTTGAAACTAAAAGTCTAAGTCGAAAACTAAAAGTCTAAGTCAAAAATGAATTTGGTATTTAGGATTGGGCATTTGGTATTTAGGATTGGGCATTTGGTATTTAGGATTGGGCATTTGGTATTTAGGATTGGGCATTTGGTCATTTAGCCATTTAGGATTTAGGATTGGGCATTTGGTATTTAGGATTGGGCATTTGGTATTTAGGATTGGGCATTTGGTCATTTAGCCATTTAGGATTTAGGATTGGGCATTTAGGGATTTAGGATTGGGCATTTAATCATTTAGCCATTTAGGATTGGGCATTTGAGGATTGAGGATTGAGGAGTGTATGCAAATAAGGAGGCGTGGCCCAAATACTGGAGGCTGGGTTTGAAATGGCTGGTGCAGATGCACCTTATGGACAGCAGAGGGAGCTCCAGTCAGTCCAGTGCTAAGGAGCACACTGTAATGAAACCAAACAGAGCGAGTGAGCAGGTCTGGAGCGAGGACTGTACTTTATAATGTGATAACTTCAACTTAATGACAGCGTTGTATAGGGGTACTGGAACGGTACATGTATTCCTATTGAACCGAACCGGTAGCCTACGGGCGTCACGGTTCGGTGCACGAATTTACACGGAGAATACACAGTATAAAAATAAATAAAACTCTAAATAGCGATACATTTCGCTCTACTCGCGTTTGGTGTGAACGCAGCATAATAAACAGGCTGCGATATCAAGATTGCAATGTTGGAGTGTGTGTGTGCGCGCGAGAGAGAGAGGGGGAGGCGTGGGCGCGAACGAACTAGGTGTGTGTGTGTGTGTGTGTGAGAGAGAGAGAGAGTGTGTGTGTGTGTGTGTGATTTTGGTTGGGTGACAGTTGTAGGTTACAGTTTGACAAGATTTTAGAGTGTGACAAAAGCACAATGTTGTATTTTATTGCGAGTGTATACAAATATACACACTTTGCAGTTTGAACTTTGCAGCACACACTCCAACATTGCAACCTTGACGTCGCAGCCTGTTTATTATGCTGCGTTCACACCAAACGCGAGTAGAGCGAAATGTATCGCTATTTAGAGTTTTATTTATTTTTATACCGTGTATTCTCCGTGTAAATTCGTGCACCGAACCGTGACGCCCGTAGGCTACCGGTTCGGTTCAATAGGAATACATGTACCGTTCCAGTACCCCTATACAACGCTGTCATTAAGTTGAAGTTATCACATTATAAAGTACAGTCCTCGCTCCAGACCTGCTCACTCGCTCTGTTTGGTTTCATTACAGTGTGCTCCTTAGCACTGGAGCTCCCTCTGCTGTCCATAAGGTGCATCTGCACCAGCCATTTCAAACCCAGCCTCCAGTATTTGGGCCACGCCTCCTTATTTGCATACAATCCTCAATCCTCAAATGCCCAATCCTAAATGGCTAAATGATTAAATGCCCATCCTAAATACCAAATGCCCAATCCTAAATACCAAATTCATTTTCGACTTAGACTTTTAGTTTTCGACTTAGACTTTTAGTTTCAAACTTAGACTTTTGGTTTTCGTTTAAGACTTTTAGTTTTAGACTTTTAGTTTTCAATCTGACCCAATAATCCCTCCATATCAATATGCCGACGCACATGGTACCCCTTAAGCGTCAATATGAGACGCTCATCCTCGAGCGTCATCTAACTGACGCTTTTGACCATGCGTCTAAATCCGACGCACATGGCACCCTTTAGCGTCAGTTAGATGACGCTTCCGTTATGGGTAGGTTTAGGTTTGGGGTAGGGTTAGTGTTAGACCACTAGGAGGCGCGTCTCATATTGACGCTTAAGGGGTACCATGTGCGTCGGCATGTTGACGCATGGTCAAAAGCGTCAGTTAGATGACGCCTTGGGATGAGAATGGGCTGATTATTTCCCATCACAGTTTGACTTTATTTCCCTCTTGGATCTTGGTAAAGTTTTTAATCTTATCTGATGCTGGTTGCTGCTTTAAAAAGTTGAGCAAAAATAAATGACTTTCATTAGTGTAAATTTGGAAATGCTCTGTGCTTATGAAAAGTGCAATTTTCTCAAATTAGTGTTCAGCTTGATTAATGCAGCCAGCAGGTTCTGTTAGAACGTTGCAATTCATCATTATACGACACAGAGACGGAAAACAAAACAGCACCGAATGCTGCTGTATAATAGTATTTTTAAAAACATGTCATATAAATGTCTTGTATGAATGCTTTAATGCTTATGGGAATTTATCTATCAAAACTAACAAGAATTTCTTGCAAGCACTGCTTTTCTGTCAGTGTCTGTGTTGTTGTGTGAGCACAAAAAAGAACTGGTCAATCAACACTCCTTTATGAAATGTGGCAGCATTTGTATCAATATGTATATATATATATATAATATTTATCATTTTTATGCTGTTTTTTTTTTTTTTTGTCATTTCAGTAACCTCCAATCCAATCCACATTATTAAAATGTAAACTAATCGTTCCTGAACAAGGACAATAAAAAAAAGCTACTGTTTGACTACCTCAAATTTGTTAACCTGGGGTGCGTTTCCCGAAAGCATCGTTAGCCAACTATGGTCGCAAGTTGGTCGCAATTTCCATTGAACTCTATTGGTAACGACGGAACTTGCGACCATAGTTGGCTAACGATGCTTTCGGGAAACGCATCCCTGATCGAAACTTTGCATTTAATTTGAAGATTTACACATTAAAGTGAAGTATTTGCACCGAGCAAACATGTTTCGAGAGGAGTGATGGGTGAATTATTGTGCAATCAACTGTAAATTATATATATATTATTAACATAAAATCAGCATTACTACATTACATAAAATGTCTGAAGCTAATTAAGTCAGCTACAGAAGCAAACATTATGCAACGCTGTCATTTGTAAGTTCAGGCACCAGCTACTATAAGTAACATTTCCTACCAAATTAGCTAAACTTTAGATTCCTTGATTCCTGTAAGCAAAACCTTAGATATTCCACTTGTTAAAGGCTGTATCAGTCTTTCATAAAAACACAATGTAAACAAAAATAGACAATGAGGCTCACACTTTAGTGCACAGATTTCTTCTAAAGCTCTTTAGATGCTGTAATGTGAACAGTGATAAATGGTTATGGAAACCCAACAGAGGATACGCATGGGTACATTTGTTATATATCCAAGTGCTTCTGTTTGGGTTGTGTTTCCTGACTGAATGTCAGCTGCTAATGCACTTAGACCATCTGGTTTACCGTCTACATCACCCACTGGAGAAATAACTTTCTTGTTCTCACTTTTAAACTTGAATTTCTATGAAGGAGTCTTATTATTACAAGGTTGGCAGTTTAAAAGAGCTGAAAAAAACACTTGTATATGTGTTAATGATGCTTCGTCTTATGGAAAATTAAATACTAGAAAATGATGGCTCCACAATATGCGGTTGAAAACTGGTAGGTTGCTGCTGCATGCAACACTGATTCCCAGATAACATAAAGATAAAATGCGTACTGTGCGTCTGCTAAATGCACAAATGTAAATGTTTTCTGCTAGGAATGCATGCAAAGGCCTTGTTGGAGAGACAAAAACTCTGCCAAAAGAAATAAAATCAAGCAAGGAAATGACTGCTTAGATGCACATGAAAGCAATGAATATCTTAGAATGCCACTCTTCCATCCACTGAGAAACTAGAAAGATCAAAGCCAAGTGGCAAGATCTCTTGAGGGAATGCTTGAGATGAGGAAATAAAAACAGAGGGTAAAGCCCCAAATCCTCACCCAGAAGGTGAACAGCTTACCCGTCTCGGCCTCAGTCATGCTCTTCCTACTGGAACGAGAACCCTTATAGGCCCAGAGGAACACCGTGTACAGGACTCCTGGCTTCAGAGAGGTCAGCTGGTAAGACGTAGCGTCCGCTGCCACTTTAATTTCTCGGCTGGTGCCCTCTGCAGAGCTGTAAGTCAGCATATAGCCATCGATCTCAGCACGAACACCATCCCACGTCACAGTTGCGGAGTTCTCTGTCACCTCCCTGGTTGCCAGATTGGTTGGGGCATCAATGTCTGTTATATAAGATAAGTCAAGGCATTCAGATAAAAAAAATTAAATCAACACTTGTTGCACCAAAAAAAGAGAAAACATTTTCTAAATTAGTATTTTGTCCAGCAAAAATATTTAAACAATTTAAATTAATATTTAGATTCTTGCACACAATAAAAATAAAAGCAATAATATGTACATGAAATATTTATGATAAATGTACTAATTACTCACAATTGCATATAAAAAAGACCAGATTTCATATAAATTCTCAGATTTTTTGTTGCATACATTTTATTTTATTGTTAAATTATTTATTTAAGTACCGTATTTTAATGAATAATTTTTAAATAAAATATTTGATATTTAAATATTTATAAAATGCACTTTTTGGGGGATAAATCTACTTTAAACATAATACATTTACTTCCCACACCCCCATATTAAATGGATTTTAGTTACCTGACAAAACATTTTTACAGTGAATTGATTCTTTGTGAATTCATTGATAGATGGCAAACTTGTAGTATTTTGTATGCAAGGAAAAGTAACTGCAGGAACAAGATGCTGTTTTTGTATTTCATCAGGCTTATGGATTCTCAATTATCAAGACCTGAAGAGCTGAGGATGTGCACAGGGTCATATAGGCAGTGCGGTAAGCATTTGAGAGCCGTTTCACTGGAACTAAGAGAGTGCCCATGCAATGCAATGGAGGAAGTGAGGAGACAAGGAAAAGCAATCATCATTTAGGTTACCGTTCTGTGACTGCGGCAGGGTTAGCCGAATGTCACCATGCTATCCGCATCATGGAAACTGATTCCTGATGCCTTCCAGGATTGCTAGAATCCACAGCTCTCATTTTATGCTCACTGATTGCCAAGGTGGGCTTATCATGTTTGACTCATCTGGGTTTTAGACATGGACCAGAATACAAAACAACACCTTACACTGGACAGCAGACAATACCAATGCTAAACGCATTTGTGAGACATTGAAAACTTCATGATACTGCAATTGCCTGGTCAATATCCCATTACACAAACAACCACTCATGAGCCACATTATGTGCCAAGCAGCTCTTTTCTGTGTTATTTCTTATACACATAATACAGTATGTGCTTTATCAAATAGCATGTGGCCAGAGGGATTGAGCCAAACTGTCAAATGTATCTCTATTCCTGTCTCTGACCACTGAAGTATAGTCAAGATTTGAAATATTTCTCCCAAATTTCTCTGGACACATATCAAGCTTCCAGGCCAGGGTACAGCAGGGGAGAGCAAATAAGCTGGAAGCACTTTTCTATCCAATCAGGGCAGAATTCATGTCTATTTCAAGATGTGCGATACGTTGTGAAGATACATTGCAATGCAAAATGATGCACAGAAAACGGTGCGATTATTCAATGACTTGTGAGTGCATTCATTTCATCTGCATTGCATTTAGCACAGCATATAAGAAAATAAGCTTATACTGTGATGAATACACTCAATATAAGTATAGAGCTCGGGGTACGAAAGACACAAGTAACTCCTTAGCATGCTTTATTAAACTAGTGCATCTAATGTAGATGTGCATGTGTTATGTAATAGAATTAAAATATAGCTTTAATAAATTGATCAAATTTGTCCAACCCGATCTCAAGGCAATTTTACGAGGTGGCTAATTCGTACGAATTTGCGAGATAGCGTTGAATTTGTCACTATACCATATGGTACACTCTGCATTTGTTTTTGGTAATGGCTTTTATTAGAAAAAGTTTTCTGAAGTTAAAATAGGCCTTTCTCAAGAGAAAACAAACACCTGAACCATTTGTTTTAATGATTTTGAAAGCCCTTCCTGGTAAATAAAACTTTAAAGTAGTGCAGATCAAGATGTGAGGTCTTGCTTACCCCAGGACATTAAGTTCTTTGAAGCAGTCCAATCCAATGATTCTTTCCACTGAACAAATGATGCATTAAACTCCCTTGTGGTGGCAGAACCACACCTGATCGTTATGGAGGAGGTGAGGACACGTTAATTTCAGGGAAGTACAAAAGTCTGCGGCAGATTGAATGTCTTCAATTGTAGAAGAAACATCCCCTATAGAGCAATTTTATTCTTTTTATAGAGGCAGTCCTTTCATTTAATTTAAAAGTTGTTTGTCTATGGTTCCCAGGAATTAAAAAAACAACTAACTCAACAGTGCTGTTCAAGTCATTGATGCTAAAAGAAACCCGTTTTTTATGTTGGGTTATTATCCCCGGGTTCCTTGTAAAGCCCACAATCAGATCTATAAATTTCACTGTTCGTTCTCAGGTCAGTCTGAATGCTTCAGTTGTAAAACATAAGGAATTCTACATTAAAGAGTATGGTCGCCCTACATCGCATTGGATGGCAAGAAGAATAATATACACTCTGTGATGCACAAGTACAAAATATGTCATGTCCATGAAGAAGCATTGAAAAACCATTTCCTATTCCTACGGTTTGGTGAGACTAAGTGTGGGAGTATCTGGTGCTGTAATTCATAAGTTGCTGAGCAGAGGGAAAATCCTGTCTACTGGAGGCCTCTCTAATAGCTGCTGTAGCTGTCAGGAATAGACTTAAAGGATGTAGTACTACCGTAAATTTAAAGGCACAGTCAGGTATTAAATTCACACTAACCCGAGCACTTTTTGAAAATGAGAATCTTGTTGAGGCTCAGATTAGGTGTGCGCAACAGAAATAAAATATTAAATGTGCAATAACACCTGGACTGGAGCCACCTCACCCAGACTATCCTGCCCTCTCACTCAAGACGGATGAGATTTTAATCCCGCCGCCGCGATCATATCACCCTCTACAACCTTCACCGGCTCTCAGTCAAACACAGGATCAACTTCAAAATACTTCTCCTCACAAACAAAGCACTTAATAACCTCGCCCCTCCATACCTCTCCGTCCTACTAACCCGCCGCCACACTCACGCCCGCCTCCTCAGGTCCGTTGGTGCTGACACACTCAAGACCATCAGGACCAAGAGCCGGACCTGGGACAGAGCCTTCTCAGCTGCTGCACCACCAACCCTCTGGAATGCCCTCCCCGACCACATCAAACAGTCAAGCACCTTAACATCCTTCAAACAGGCCCTCAAAACTCACCTCTTTGAACTTGCTTTTTCCCATTAACAGACTTTTCCAGTTCTTCATCCTTTCACGCCACCTCTCTTCACTCAAAAAAATGATATGTTGGCTTTACTTAACTTTTTTTTGTAAACAGGTTCCACCGGTTCCACATAACTATGTTTCGTTAAACAAACATAATATGTTCATGTAACTTCAACATCATGGAATTTGGTCATTTTAAGCGACCCAATTAAACTCTGAGTTAATGAGATAATTAAGTGAATAATTGAGTGTTGATTGAGCATTATTGAAGACACCTGATGTTAACAAGCAGAATCTCTGAATGAGAAAACCGGAATGTTTAAGTCACCATTATGGAGATAAGTATTTGTTTTAGTTGGGCTCTTGACCATTAACTTATTAACTTTAGATTTTGTTTGGTTGCTGTACATGAGTTATAACAGCCGGATGAACAATAAACAAAGGTCATCTGATGGTATTTGTTGTGTTTTAACATAATAATTATTTCACAATCATTTGACCTGAGTCACTGAACTTATATTAAACCGAATTTCTGAGTTAAGTTTACCTTATGGATAATAACAGCACTGTCATTGTAGAGAATACTATTTTATTGACTTTTCAATGAAATTCAAATGATCAAATCAATAAATAAAAAAGAAACTTCCTAAAAAATCTCTTCAGTAGACACACACAGACATCAAGAATCAGCCTGTAAATCTCACCAATGGTGACAATTATAAAGCATGTTGTAGTGCATTCTGGGTGCCACCAATCAAAACTCATTCATGGCTCACATCATGCATTACTGCATGAATAAATAATGAGCTTATGATCTGTTTGTCACCATTGCTGAGATTCATATGCTGAATCTTGATGTCTGTGTGTGCCTACTCTAAATATTTTTTAGGAAGTTTCTTTTTTATTTCTTGATTTGGTCATTTGAATTTCATTGAAAAATCTAAAAATAGTATTCTCTACGATGACAGTGCTGTTATTATCCATAAGGTAAACTTAACTCAGAAATTCGGTTTAATATAAGTTCAGTGACTCAGGTCAAATGATTGTGAAATAATTATTATGTTAAAACACAACAAATACCATCAGATCAGACCTTTGTTTATTGTTCATCCGGCTGTTATAACTCATGTACAGCAACCAAACAAAATCTAAAGTTAATAAGTTAATGGTCAAGAGCCCAACTAAAACAAATACTTATCTCCATAATGGTGACTTAAACATTCCGGTTTTCTCCTTCAGAGATTCTGCTTGTTAACATCAGGTGTCTTCAATAATGCTCAATCATCACTCAATTATTCACTTAATTAACTCATTAGCTCAGAGTTTAATTGGGTCGCTTAAAATGACCAAATTCCATGATGTTGAAGTTACATGAACATATTATGTTTGTTTAACGAAACATAGTTATGTGGAACCGGTGGAACCTGTTTACAAAAAAAAGTTAAGTAAAGCCAACATTTTTTTTGAGTGTTGATTTGCATCTGCTTGTCCATGTAGGCTACCTTTGACCCCATTTACACCTGGTATTAAAATGCGATCTGTATCCAGATAAGTTATCCGGATAATAAAAAAACGCATGTTAATGCAAGGTGTAAATACGTTGTGATCGGATTGTGATCGGATCTGCCTGACCACATCTGGAGGTAGTCTGGCTCGCATTGTGTTCGGATCTTTACTAGGTGTAAACGCAATCTGGTTGTTGAAACCACATATGTATATTTTACTCCTCCCAAAAATGCTAAAACAATAAACGTGTGAGAGTGTTCTATAGGCTATATTTCATGTCAGATATGAGGACGCTACTGCAACACGCATTACCGCAGATGAGCAGCTGAGCATATTCATCAAGCCAACGTGCAAACATCGCAAATAAAAGTGAAAGTAAGTCACAGACGCT